TGTGAAAGCGAGGCTAGTAGGAGTACCAGTCTCGTCGATCTTGTGATGGTCTCGAGACGCGACAAAGATCATGCCCACCCATCCGAGGAACACATGGCACGCCTCAGAGACACTCGCGAGACACAAAGATGCGTTACACTGACAACCAAGTCATGCATCGTGTGCAACGACCTTGTCTCCGAGGCCATCTTGGACGGTTGTGCTCAACACCTCTGCGCACTACCCTTGATGTTTTGTCACTCCGTGCCACTCATCTGTCTCATTCGCAAGTTCAGTACTCGAGCACTACAACCGCAGACGCCGGAAGTCTTGGATCAGGCGGCCAGCTTTTAACTCCTTGTGCTGCCATATCTTATCTCCGTCTCTGTCCTACCGTAGCCAACCTGGAATTAAAGCAGTGAACAGCTCTGAGAATCTCCGCTCGTGCCGAGGAATCTATCAGCCTTTCGAATGAAGCCATCAATGACGAGCAATGGAAGTCTTGGACTCCTGGGAATTAAGAGGAAGCGACTGAGGTGTATGTGGATCAAGCGTCAATTGACTCAGCTACATGTGATCCAAGTAAGACTCGAGTCTAGCAGTGCCCACAAGCTTGGACGGGAGCCTCCTGACACAACAACCTTCATTGACATGCATCCTGGTGTAGTCCGTATGTTTCCGGATTGCGCTGGTGCTCGAAGTCCCGACTGGCAGCTTTCGAGGTGCAGCTCTAGGTTGTAGCCACCTAGAGAAGGGCGCCATTCTCCTCGTCGCTCTCCTCCTTCACGAGGCCGGTGTCGTCCGCCTCCTCTGGAGTCTCGCTCGCCTTGGCCTTGCGGCCGCTCCTGGGCGTCTTAACCTTCTGGAAAGAACCCGTCAGTGATGTGTGAAGATGCCTTTGTGCGTGATGGATCGTACCTTGGCGACTGGAGTAGCCTCCTCGTCATCATCGCCTCCCTCGTCGGCGGCCTTCTTGCCACGCTTCTTCGGGGTGGCCTTGGCCTTGGATGGGGTGGCAGCGCCGCTGCTGTTGTCGCCGCCGTTGGCATCGGCCTGCGCGGCGAGCTTCTTCTTGATGACGGCCCAGGCATTGGCAGCGCTGCGCGGGTTGCTCATGCCGGCAAGGTTGGCGAGCTGCTGATAGTCGACCTTGGGCTCGCCCTCGAAGCAGCGCCAGGCGTAAGACACTGGAAACCCCGTCAGCTCCGACGTGCACACATTCGACGGCGTGCATGCATGACTTACTGAGCTTCTGCTCGCGTTCGGTGAAGATGTTGTCTCCCATTTCGAGGAAGTGTTGGTGTGGTTTGTGTGGAGTGTGATGTTGTGGAGTTGGTCGGGCAGTGCGGGTCGATGTTGGATAAAGTGGTTGGAATGCAGGTAGAGAAAGAGAGCCGTCATGAAAGGAGCAGACCGATCACATGTAGTGTCACGTCAAACTTTACCTTTGTTTTTGTGTTTCGGAACTTCACCTGTGCAAACGCTGCAACTCCTGGTAGACTCCAAATGCAATGGCCAGACACACCAGAGATGTTTCTATGCAGATCCAAGCAGTTCCAGTCTCCCGTATTACTGGTCAATGACAAATGCCGACAATGATGGTCGGAGATCTAAGGTCAGAGGAACAGTGCAACTGCCCGTAATGACTGTAGTGGGTTTCCTTGGCAAACTGTATTGATCTCCTCTCTTTGGCCTGTGAGAATAGGGGGGGAGGCTGCGCGTGCCTTACACCAACTATCAGATGCTTCACTTGAAATCCTCACATGCGTCACCGGCTGCTGTGCGCAGGATATATCTTTCTCCCTTCCGCCGTACTCATTCCGCGACTTTCTTCCGAACATACTCAGAACACTCCAAGCAACTCGACTGCACTCTCCACAACCACGATCTCTCTACCACCGCAACCTTTCCACACACTAAACTCATTCACCACCCGACACATCTCAAAGCCCAGTCAAGATGTCTTCCGGAGAGGGTAAATCCGACAGTCCCTTCACCACTCGCGACCTGGAGCTGTGAGTATTTACCCCCAAAATTGCGGTTCTGCTCGAGCTGACACGGAGGTACAGGTTCGGCTACTGCATGAGAAGCCTCAAGTCCGAGTTCGCAGTCGACTACCAGAAGCTCGCGGACCTCGCCGGTTGTAAGTATCCCCTTCGCACGTATCATCGATTCGCCAAAGCAAGGCTAACGCGCGGCAGACAAGAACGCCAACAGTAGCAAGGCTGCCTTCCATGGCTTGAAGAAGAAGCTCGACAAGCTCGGTGTTGGACCTGTCGGTACTAACGGTGAGTACTCATGGCTTTACTGTGTGTGTGATCTCGATCTGACAGCCATCTAGGGCCATCTCTCTCGGCCGGCGGCGACGAGAAGGCTACGCCGGCTTCCGGCAAGAAGCGCAAGACTCCGACCAAGCGCGACGACGAAGAGGAGGCTGGCGAGGAAGGCACTCCGGCCAAGAAGAAGGGTCGTAAGCCGCGCGCTGCTCCCAAGTCCAAGGCAAGTACTGCTGGAGGGGACGCTGAGGAGGACGATGTAGAGACGGCCGTGGTCAAGGGCGAGGAGGGAGAGGACGAGGCCGCTGGAGTCAAGTCGGAGCCCGATGAGGCTTGAGCGAAGCACACAATGCCAGCAAACTGCATACCTAGTGTGACTGCAGTCCGAGAGGCCAGTTGCGGATGGTTTGGATCTCGATATGCTGCAACGCGATGGAGTGGTCCGCCACATGTGCGGCCTACGGCTTGGCTTATGAGAAGCTTGAGTATCGGCTTTCAGGCATATCTCGACCTGGAACGACAAAATCTTGACGTATGTGCCGATGATGTTCCTCTGTCCTGTCGCTGCGTTCTCAGCAACAATGCGTGAAGTTGGGCGATCCCGAGCGGAGTTCGGAGTTCACACCAGGGCACCTGCATCCGTCTCCTTTTCTTGTGCGATGGAATGCCTGATTGCCTGACCTGGCCACTCACCTGCAATCACGTGCACTCGCCTGCATCTCTCCTGCATCTCTTCAATGCAGCCTAATCGCGATTCCTCTGTGGCGGCGGCGGCGGCGGCATCATGTGACGTGCAGATAGACCGAAAGCTGAATATCCTGCTGCCTTGCCTGAGCAAGCGTTATCAATCATTCCATCACCTGGGCGGAATCTCTAACTCCTCATTCAAAATCTCTGCGTGCAAGGGTGCACGTTGCTGTATCGAGTGACCACCGGGAACTCCGCTCGGAGACATGGCGAGCTCGGACATCCACTACGACGACGACGATGATGACTTCGACGGTGACTCTGTTTTCGCGGCTGAATCTGATGTCGACTCGAATTTTGCCGATTCCCCGGCGGACGGATACTTTGGCGGTAGAGAACATCCACAAGACTTGTTCGTCGAGGACTCCTCTGTATCTGCCGGAGTGCGTGCTGCCCTTGAACCGTATCAGGCAAGGGACTCCTTGTACCAAGTGACGAGCTGATGCAGTTGACAGGCGGAGACGAAAGCTAGTATAGCATCAGCAGAGCAACCAACTAGCAACAATCCTTCTTCAGTCGCACACCAGACACGGCAAGAGGCTTCACCTCCTGCATCTCCTGCCCGATCGCCCGTCGACATGCCTTCTGCTAACGCAGACCCTCCACCGGACTACGAGGCAGCTATTTCCAGCACTTCAGGAACGCAAAGATCGTCCTACGATCCGCCAACCTCTGCCAGAGGCCCCAATCCATGCAGACAGTTCATCAGTCACGGCAGTGTCGAAGCTGCGAACTCTCACCGTGCGCTTCCAAACAATGGCGATGGAATGCAATGGCCGTCTGGAAACCGTGGCAATCCATTCTTTCCAGGCTTTCCTTTCGGTGCAACTGGGCCTCCACTTGGTCCTTTCGCTCCTGGAGGACCATCGACCCATCATCTTCAAAGCATGAGTGATCCTGTTCGGCAGATCAGCCATTCCCACGAGGAGACTGGCCTCTTGTCCAATACGCGTAGCCAACGCGGGAAACGTGGGCATGGGTGTTGCAGCGGGTGGCGCAAGCCCACCTCCATTTGTAACATTATGCTGCTGTTAGTGCTGTTGGGTCTGGTGTTACTACTAATGGGAGGTTCGAATGAAGCCAGCGGAGATGGCGGCGACAACCATAGCGACGAGCCTCACGCGAAAAGACCTGTTCTCAAGCCGACACCGGACCAGCCGTCGAAACCAGACGTGCCTTCTGCTCCACCACTGGCAAGTTGTCCCTATGCACACTACAGCGAGACCGCGACGTTCGACTTTCCGGAGATACAAAACTTCTCCTTCGTCGAGTTCATGGAATCGAATCACCTCTCAGGCGGCGTGCGTGGCACCATAGCGATTCAGCCAGCTCGCAATAAGCAGGACGTCGATCTCAGACTGTCCGTTACCTATGCGCTCACTAGTCCTTGGATGGTTGCGAGCTCAAACTATGTTCAGACGGAGGACACGTTCATTCTACAGACACCAAACCTTCAGGGAAATCACCAAGGTCAGTCAACCTTGACTTGAAACAATTCATAGACATGGCTGAATACCTTGCAGATTACTCCAGTAGACCGTGTATGTGGGTCTTCGCTCGCATGGAGATCCGGCCAGGCGTAGCGATCCATACTTGGGAGCTCAACACAGGCAATCTCAATATCAAGGTAGATGATGGCCTGTTCAACCATACGAGATCCAGCCAGCAGCCCCCGTACTTGCAAGTGACTGGATCGTCTACTTTCAACGCCGTCCGTGGCAGCGCCGAGTTTGGCTACTGGTCTTCGAGAGAAACGGTCGTTGAAGTGATCGCCGGCTCCATTACCGGGACCTTTGCCCTCAGAGATCTCCTCTCCCTGAAGACCCAAGCTGGCGCCATCACGGTCAACGTCGATCCCCAAAAAGCAGACCCAGATCGTCCACGACCCGCAGAATTCGTCGCAACATCCAAGTCGGGATCTATCAAGACCAACTTCCCCACATCCGGCTCCATCCCGGAAAGGGAATACAAAACTCGCGTGGAGACGTCTTCTTCTTCTGTACAAGGAAGCTACATTCTCGGAGCAGTCACATCTTTCCGCACGCACGCGGGAAGTATCCACGCGGATCTGCTCCCTTTCTTCGACAGGCGAGAGCCTTCGACGACACTGCACACCGAGACGATTGCCGGCTCGACAAGACTGAATGTCCTCACGCCTTATGGATACCCCGGTGAGCCCTGGAAGGCGCCGTCTGTTCACAAGTCTGTCTCTACCAGCGGTTCCATCAATGTGGTGTACCCGGGAGAATGGGAAGGCAATATCGACTGTTCCTCCCTCAGCGGCAGTATTCACGTCGAGGGCAGAGGCGTTCAGGTCACGAGGGACGAGAAGCTGGTGCCCATGCGCTATGTGGCAGCGAAGAAAGGGACTGGACAGGGCAAGGTCGAGCTCAAGAGCACTAGCAGCAGTATTCGGATGCGCGTGGGGTAACAATGTGTAGGGACGGGAGCGGAGAGATCTATTCTTCTTGAGGGTTTTGCGGTTACGGCTTGCACAAGATGTATGACACCAGACACCACAGACACTGGGCGTTACTTCTGTGGCGAGGACCGGGGGTTTCGGTGCGAATGCGGGCTTGCTTCTAGATTGACGATATGAATGTACAAAGCTCCATCGACTACCTTACACAAGTTTGCCCCCTTCCACCAGAGCTTCTACACACGGAGCGCAAGGCAGATTAGCTTCCTCGGCTGTATACTTCCAGCATCGTACGCACTTCTCCCCGATCGGCGGAAGCACGACAACTTTGCCGGTGACCTGTCCCCCACGGCTTGCGAATTCAAACGGCTGCTCATATCGCCAGTCTGCCTCACGCGTAGCTTCTTCTTCTCCCGATGACAAAATCTGCACGTCGCTGACGACGAGGAGGCCGGGCAGTTCATCGCGCCGGAGCCACGTCAAGTCTGTCGCGAGCTTTTCGGCGTTCTGAGATAGATGAATTGCAACTTCGCAGGCGAGACCACTCCCCAGATGCCGAGCAGACCTTGCTTCTTCCTGTGCAATCTTCACCGCAGAGCTTACTTTTCTGAAAGCATGGAGGGAAGCCTCAAGTCGGTGATCGTCGTCTAGACCGAAGCCTCCAGCCTGGAAAGGTTGATTCCATACCTGACGCAGAGGATGCAGATCCATATCTGCCTCAATCTCTGCTACGTTGTGCGTTTTCATGGCTGGAGGCATCCACTCCCAGGCCTCTTCTAACAGATGTGGCGTTGCAGGACCCAGCATCTTCATCATCCCGTGCAAGACGTACACGAGTATGGTCTGCGTGTGTCGTCGAACCGCCGTGGATCCAGTGTACAGTCTGTCTTTGATGATCTCGAAGTAGAAAGCGCTCAGGTCATTGTTGACGAACTTGTTGACCTCGTTGATACCAGCGTAAAAGCGATAGTCGCGGTACGCTTCGTAAACGGCCTCACTGCACTTGCGCAGTCTCCATAGCACAACGCGGTCGGCAAAGTCCAAATCAGAAAGCAGACTATGCTGCGGCGTGGGCGCCGGGTAGTCGTGAAGGACTCCGAGCAGGAACTTGAATGTGACCCGATACTTCTGAAGCGCTTGCTGGATACTCTGCAAGACAGGCTGCGAAATCGAAACGTCGCGCGTGTAGTCGGATGATGCGACCCAGAGTCGCAGCACATCCGGGCCCATCATCGCCTGCTGGGCCTGTTTGCTGGGCGGCGGTGGTAATGACTTCCCCTTGTTCTTTCCTTTCGCATGGGGGACCAGAGAACCCGACAGGATCTCATCCGGAGATACGACATTGCCAAGGCTTTTGCTCATCTTCTTACCCTCTCCATCAAGAGCGAAGCCGTGGGTCGTCAACAGGCGAAAGGGTGCGAGGGGTCGGCTCTCCGTGTCTTGGGTCGCAACAGAGGTGAGCAAGCTGCTCTGGAACCATCCGCGATGTTGATCCGTTCCTTCGACGTATACGTCGCTCAATGGAACATCCTCGTCTCGTTGGCTCAATGAGGTCCAGCTTGTGCCCGAATCAAACCACACGTCCATTGTATCTGTTGCTCTGACCCATTTGCCAGGCTCAAGAGAGTCAAACAGCCATGTAGCATCGTCTGCAGGGTCTGAGAACCAAGCGTCAATGCCTTTCTGCTCCACTACTGAAACGATGTGTTCGATGCTCTTATCTGTGATGCAGGCCTCGCCAGTCTCCACATGATACAGAGCCGGAATCGGTACGCCCCAGGCACGTTGTCGGGAGATACACCATTGACTACGGCCTTCCACGAAGCTTCTCAGACGTGTTTTGCCGCTTTCCGGAATGAATTGGACATCTTTCAGGGCTCTCAGCGCTCGATCCTTGATCGCAGAAGTGTCAGCGAACCACTGAGCGGTAGCACGCACTATGACCGGTTTCTTTGTGCGCCAGTCGATGGGGTTCTTGTGGACAAATTTGTGCGCTGCAAGCAGCAAGACACCACTTGATTCGTAGACCCCCATTGGAAGATACTTCCTGGGGTCGGCCAAGATTTTAAGCACTGCTTTAACACCCGCTGTCTGCACATCTAGACCTTCAAAGTCGTTCTGACCACTCGCCGGAAACGCTTCAGCAGTGTATCGACCCTTATCGTCGACTGGAGCGAATGCAGATTCTATGCCATTCTGCTGACAGACTTGATAGTCCTCCATGCCGTGACCAGGGGCCATGTGCACCAAACCTGTACCAGAAGTCGCTGTGACGAAGTCGGCTCTTACTATAGGCGACTCAGTTGCAGTGAATAAATTGAAACAAGCTGCGCCATTTGACAGCTCTGATCCTCTGACTGTTTCAATTATTGTCTTCGTCTGCAAGCCTTCCGCAAGATGCGAGAGGACATGCTCCAGACGGTCTTTGCCTATCAACATTTGGTCCTGCTGCTCGAACGAGCCAGAGTCGTTCGCAATTTCGACAACGGAATACTCAATGTCGTCGTTAACCGCGATGGCTTTGTTGGCAGGCAGCGTCCACGGCGTGGTTGTCCAGATGAGAGCACTGACATATCCCGCCTTGACAGCTGGATTGCTGCGAAGAACTTCTGGCAGTCTGACGAAAGGCATCTTCACGAAAGCAGCGGTACATTTGTGATTGTCGTCGTACTCTAGCTCTGCTTCAGCTAGAGCAGTCCGTGAGGATGGTGACCAGTATACCGGCCGGTGATGTCGTGATATGAGTCCTTTCCGCACCATCTCTCTAAAGACACCTAGCTGTCTGATCTCGAAGTCTTTGCTCATTGTCGTGTACGGATTCTCCCACTCGCCCATGATACCCCATCCACGAAAGCTCTTCTTCTGTGCCTCGATTGTGTCGCTTGCAAGCTGCCTTGCCACTTTTCGGATCTCAGTTGCGGTCATCGTTACTGATGCATCAGCTGCAGCCTGTGCTTCTGCGCCAGGCGTGTCCTTCAAAGCTTTGGCCTGTTGCGCGGGCAGCTTTGGTTGCTGAAGAGCCTTTAGCTCGATAGGCAAGCCATGACAGTCCCATCCCGGGCGATAGTGTACTCTCTTCCCTCTGGACAGTTCCCATCGCAGCATCAAGTCCTTGAGCACTTTATTGAGAGCGTGTCCAACGTGGACAGCGCCATTGGCGTACGGTGGACCATCGTGAAGTACAAAATTATTGTCCTTCACACCATCATCTGTGTCTACCGCGGTTGGGCGAATTGCTCGCTGCCAGGTGTAAAGGTCATCGGCGCATCGTTTCCGGTATGTTTCGACCTGCTCGGGACTGGGCCGGGCTGGAAATTGAGATCGCGGGAGGGCGAGCGTGTCAGACCAGTTCTGCTTCGTTTGCGAGAGCGTCCGCAGCGTTTCGATCTGGTGAGGAGTGGCCCTGAGTATGCGGCTGGGCGAGAAAGCCGGCATGCTCAAGCACAAGCTGCATTGCAATGCTGCTGCTCTATAAACTCGTCTCAAGTCGGTAATGCTTCCACTTCGCCGCACCTTCCTCCTTCGTCGACCCAGATCGCGCTATCGTCATTGAGCACGTGCAGCGCGTCGCTAGCGCGATTCCTTGTACAGATACTCCGTCTTCTCACGACGACGCCTGTTCATAGGCCGGGACAACACCCTGCTGAAGTTCTCATTTGGTGTGGTCTAAAGTGCAATATCATGCCAGACGTGAGATGTTCCGCAAGCCTCGACACGACGCCAATAGTACGAACAATGGAGAACTGCTAGGCCGACCTCCCACGCCACCAGAGACTCCCGCGAAGACGCCCTTCACTCTAGCCGTCCCTCCTAGTGTGCCAGCCCCGACCATGACTACCAAGGCGAAGAGCAAGTCGACGCCTCTGCCCACTATTGGCCGCCAAGGCCCGACAGGGAGCGCGAAGAAATCAGTGGCGGCCAAATCTCAAACGAAAGGCAACAGCAGCATCTTGAGCTTCTTCAAGAAATCCGAAGACGACGGTGATGCTTCAGGTCTTTTCGTCGAGGACAGAAGTCGCGGGCAGAATGTTCGGCAGGAACGTGAAGTGGTTGCACTTTCGGGGTCGGACGAAGAGGAGGACGTGAGTCGCTTCAATGAGTCCGTAGGCTCTGTAAAGCGTCGAAAGATGAGCGGAGTGGAAGCCAAGGACACTGCGGTAGTGGATGAGCTGTCGTCCCAGCCTGATCCTGTGACCAAGCCCCTTGCGCGGAAGTCAGGGCCATTCTTCGAAGAGTCGGACAGCGAGCAAGAGGAGGAAGAGCCGCAGGCGGTGATAGGTGTTGGTCTTGGGGTCGGAACACCCATGACGGCTGGTGAAATGCCACGTCAGGCATCACCTCAGCAGACTGAAGTCTTACGAGCGGAAGCTTCTGTCGAGCAAGCTGGACAGCCCGCAGAAGACGTCTCCTCGAGGCCGCCTCTGGTTAAAGAGGAAACAAGCTATGGACCAGATCTTGATGACTTCGCTGACTTCGAGAACATGGGCGATTTTGACGAAGATCCTTTCGAAGAAGGTGATGAATATATTGAGCGAAAGTACATGGAAGAGCAGGCGAGGTTGGAAGAAGATGACGAAAAGGATTACGATTCTCTCCCGGCAGAGCAGGAAGGGGGAACCGTGGATTCGGGCGGAAGTACTGCCTGTCCCATCTGTAGTGTCAGCTTGGACGGCGTCAGCGAGCAGGACGCTGGGGTGCACGTGAATAACTGTCTTGATGGGAATCCTACGCCGTTACCAGAAAAGAAACCGCCATTGCTTCCAGCGCCGGAAGCCAAGCCGCAGAACGTCGCATCCGCTAGCCAGTATCGACGACCCGCACGCACCCCCAAACCAGGTCAAGCGAATCCCTTCACTCTAGGTCAAGCTCCAGGCAAAGATAGTACAGGATCTGCGTTCAAGAGGCTCATGTCAGGCCACGCTGAAGACGCCGCCTGGGCCGAGGCTGCTGCTTCTGAGCGATCTTCTCATGGAAAGCCCTCATACCAACGAACGTGCCCTTTCTACAAGATTCTTCCCGGTCTGTTCATCTGTGTCGACGCATTCAGATATGGCGCTGTGCAAGGATGTCAGGCGTACTTTCTCAGTCATTTCCACAGCGATCACTATGTTGGGCTCACCGCGAGCTGGAACCATGGGCCCATATACTGCTCTAAAGTCACCGCGAACCTAGTTCGCCAGCAACTTCGAGTGGACCCGCAGTATGTCGTACCCTTAGATTGGGAGACACCGTTTGAGATACCAGGCACAAAGGGGGTAAAAGTTACAATGATATCTGCAAACCATTGTCCAGGCAGTTCTCTCTATCTATTTGAAAAGATTGTTGGAAAGAAGCATAATGGCGAGCCTCGACTGCAGCGCATTTTGCATTGTGGCGACTTCCGAGCATGTAGGATGCACATTGAGCATCCACTGCTTATGCCTGAAGTTCAGGACAAAGTGAGCGGCAAGTCCAAAGAACAGAAGATCGACGTCTGTTATCTTGACACTACCTATCTGAACCCGAAATACGCATTCCCAAGCCAGGAAAACGTCATCAAGGCCTGCGCGGACATGTGCGTCTGCTTGAGCAAAGATACTCCAGACGAGAATGATGGGTGGGAGCAGATGAAGCGACAACGTGCTGGAGAAGGAATGGCAAAGTTCGTTCGCAAAGAGTCGAACCCCGGGGTCAAAGAAGAACCAGCTGATGAGGAGACCGCCGATGATGTAAAACTTGAGAAGAACCCACACGCGAGTCAGCAGATCCTGTCATCAGTAAACGAGAAGAAGATGCGAGGCCGACTGCTTGTTGTTGTCGGCACTTATAGCATCGGCAAGGAACACATTTGCCTTGGTATTGCCAGAGCACTGAACTCCAAGATCTACGCTCCGCCGTCCAAGCAGCGTATAGTGGCCGCCTTGGAAGATCCGGAGCTAGATGAGCGCATTACAAACGACCCTCGAGCGGCACAGGTGCACATGACTCCTCTGTTCGAGATACGAGCCGAGACGCTTGATGACTACCTCAAAGACTTCTTTCCGCATTTCACGCGTGCGGTTGGTTTCCGGCCAAGTGGGTGGAATTATCGACCTCCGATCAGTCGCTTCACTGAAAGCCCTCTTGTGCAGACCGTACTGCATTCCGACAATTGGAAGAGTACGTACAGTATGAAAGAGCTAGTTCCGCAGCGCGGCAGCTCGAGTCGAGCCAGCTGCTTTGGGGTGCCGTATAGTGAGCATTCGAGTTTTCGAGAGCTTACGATGTTTTGCTGCGCCCTCCGTATTGAAAAGATCATCCCTACCGTCAACGTTGGAAGCGCAAAGGGTCGAGAACGGATGAAGGCATGGTGTGAGCGATGGGCGGCTGATAGGAGGAAGCACGGGCTTTACAAACTGCCCGGGGATGGCTCATGGTGAGCTGGAATGGAACGGCACATGATCAACGTGTATATGACCATGACTATCCATATACGATATCACCGTTGAAGTGGAATGGCGCAGTCTTCCTTTGGATGACAATGGAAACAAAATACGAAATCACATCGCGGACTGGTGGTCGGAGAATTCGTTCCGCATGCATGTGCTACCGTATCAAACTCAATGTAAGTGCTCCCATTTGTTCCCGTTCAGTGCTCATTGCAGCTCCCGCCAGCAGGTCTGTTGGACACGACTCGTGTTCCCTCCGTCGCGTTCCATTCGCCCTTTGACATTTGCATTCTCTGCTACAATTGCTCGCCTTTCCGCTCAACAAGCCTCACTGCTCGCAACTCTGGCCGCGTTCCAGCAGTCCACGCACAGCTGCTTCTGCTTGGCGTGGTTCCTACGCTTCAGATCATCCTTCCTATCTTTTCCGCCGTACACGCATGGCTGCGCGTCCATGTCCAAGTCTGGGAATGCTTTCTTCAGGGCGCCGTTGGTCTCGTACTTGCTCGAGTCGCCGACGCACTCGCCTTTCTTGACGCGCTTGCAGAAGTAGAGTTTGTCGTTCTCGTTGCTGGCTTTCCAGTAGCCGACGCCGTCGTTTTCCTTTGGTTGCGGCATCTCAGGGGTGGTGACTGGAGTAATTGGGACTTGAGCTGCTGGCTGGAAGGGGTTGAGTTGCTTGAAGCTCTCGCCAAATTCGAATTTTGCCGGGGCATTGAGAGCGTTGTGGGCTATCTTGATGCCTTTCAAAGCGGCATCGGGGGCCAGATCTCTAACCCCGAATTCGAAGGCTTGCGGTGGAGACTGCGCGCCGAAGGCAAATGGTTGATTTTCCGGTGCGGTAGATGTTATGGTCTTCATCTCCTGCTCGCAGCTCTGGAGACGACGTGCAATCGCCGCGCTGGATGCCTCAGACTCTTCGAGCTTTTTGGAGATATCCTGCAATTTATGCTGCAGGATGTCGGTATTCTCTCGAGTAGCACTAAGGCACTTCTCGAGCTCTTGGTTTCGCTGCTCAAGCGCAGTTTTCTCACTATCCAGACTTGTAATCATGTCTTCCTGGATGCGGAGCAGATGAGTGTACTGCGCGAGGGGCAAGGTAGCAGATTCGGTATTTTCATGTTCTGACATGGCCTCCTGTCCCGAGTCGCGAGGATCGGTGAGTGCAGCAATGATACTGCCTTGAGGCGCCGATATCCCCAACTGTAGGCCGAGTTGGTGGAGTGGTGTCATGTTTGTAGTCGAAGCTTGTGTGTTGGTGAAACCTCGTTGGTCCAAATGCGCAGAGCTGCAATAGCGGTTGGTTGGAGGTCTGTAGTCTTGGGTAGTGTGAGTGTAGGGGATGGACGATGGTGTGTGGGAATAAGAGGGAAAGTCAATGTGGTGCAAGAAAAGTTCTTAAAGGTTAGTAGATTCATAATAGAAGTATGCACAATAGAAGTGACTGTTATTGTGAGAGTCCATTTGGCGCTCTCTTCAATTAGGCCACGTCAAAGATTGAATAGTCGACTCCTATCCAATTGCTACTCGTATTGTAAAGCTTATTGTTCGAGTGTTCACATGTTCCGATGTTGGCCAGCACAATGTACAGGGAAACAATTGTTTACTTTGCTTTTGACATTGCGGCAGTGTCCTAGGTACCAGTAAGTTTACAAAGTAAGTAAGATAACAGGAAAGGCTTACAAGGTAGACCTGATAGAAGTCCATCTTTATATCTCCCACAGCCTTGCTAAAGTGCGCTCGAGCAGCCCATTCAACAGTGGTGCCTTTGCCGTCCTTCAGCTCGTAGTCTACGGTGCCGAAAAGCATGATGTCGTCCGAACTCGCTCCAAATGAGTAGAGCTGCTTCGGCTTATGAGAGCGCTTGGCAACCTTCTCCCACATGCCATGACGCATCTGTATAATGGCTTTTCTCTATTAGAATATGTTGAAGAAGAACAGTAATCTAAGCTTGAAAACTCACCGTCGCGTCCACTTACGCCGTTAGAGGCCATTATAAGCGTTGCATCCTTTGTGAACATGTCTGCATACTTCTCATGTCCATCTGGTGTGTCCGAGATGGCGTAGAAGCGCGCAAAGAATTCTTTGATTTCTGGTCTCACTTGGCCATCACTGGGAACCGCTGCGGAGTATTGGCCCATTGTTGACGAACTGTCTACTGTTCCAACTGTTCCAAATTGAGCAAACAACAATCCCAACCAAGGGAGCAAGATGGAGGAAACGTGAAGTTGAAAATGGTGCGGAGCAAAGGAAGCCTTTCTTTTCAATAGGTCGGATGAACGAACCAGGCCCCGCTGTGTCGGAAGAAGTGAAGTCACTTCTCGGCAAGCGCACTTCCGGCTCGGCTCGGCTGTCTGTGGTCGGCTGTCCAACCTCACCTCACCTCACCTTCCACTTCACCTCCATTACTTCAGTATCACCACCAACTAGCTTCGGCTGTATATATCACACATTGTCGGCACATCATCACATGATCGCTTCGAAGTGGTCATGAATTCGAAATTGTTTGCCGATTGAAAGCGGACTCAGTGCGACTGCCACCACGGCACAGCAGAGATGGATCACGGCGATAGAGTGTCCACCGGCCCGACGGACTGATTCGAATTTCGCTCTCGAGATATGTTGATATAAGAATAATCGTCCCTCATGGACACCTGAATTAGAACCTCACCGCTGCAGAATACGAGAGATAATTCCCAAGACGGCCAGCCCGTTCACGCAAGGATCGAGAGCATGCCACGGTTTGAAAGATGATGCAGAAAGTGATGGACCGCTCCTCTCACTTCAGGACTTTCTGATAGGGCCAAAGTTGTCGTACCAGATCAGTGTTTTGCAGCGTAAGTTGACATTGCGCTGCTGGATACATGCCACCGCACTTCGACCATTCGACCTAGTGCATCTTTGGATGTGCAGCATTTGGTCGAGCTGATAGTATCTCGGTCGATTGCATCGCCGAAACGCTTTTGTTCAGCTCGCCGTTGCCCCCGTTGTCACTGGCTTATTCCAGAAGCCGGGGAGAGAAGAATTTACCACGGCGCAAACACATGGCTTTATCCCACGTTTCAGGAAAACAAGCTAAGCGATCTCCTTAGACCAATGCAACCCGTTCTGATGCTATAGCATTGATTCTACGGAGCTTGGCGTTGATGCGGCTGCTATTCGGGAGACAACAACGCCGCTACGCCAAAGATGCTGTTGTTGCTCCAGGACCAACGAGCTTCCGGACTCTTCCGGCGAGTAGCGAAGCAATCCGCAGTCATTTCTGGGAGTCCAAGCTGTTACAAAGAACCTGAACGATGGCTCTCAGATTGCATTCCGTGAGTTTCATCCCTTGTTCTTGTTCAAGCGCCAAGTTTTGGACAATGCCATGTTTTGGACAAGGCCATTGTTACGTTCTCTGAGTCCGGCCCAACGTGCGCAATGCCTGGAGGTAAAGAACGGTGACTTTCCGGGGCATAGGGCTATCAATGATGGCTTCAAAGTCGCGTGAAGGAAGAATCGTGCCTGGTGTAAGTTTCATAAGGTGACTGACATGGAGAAAGTAGTCTTGAAGTGAATGGGAACGTCACATGCACCGGCAGAAATTCGGGTCTGTTGGCGTTACTGCGCCAGTTCCCGCTCCCGTCTCCCCGTTCCCGTCACCCGCCTCCCATCACTTCGCTTAAAGCTCTCTCTTCCTCCAGCAACTTCAAAGACATCCGCACACCGACTCAACCACCAACAACACACCTCGAGCACGTACCAACAAACGCTCCATACCTGCGAGACCCCGATATCTCACACACTGGTACTGACAATCCACCGAACGCGCAGAAGCCAGCACTGTATCGAGGCCATCGAAAGGGACTCGGCGGCCATGGCGGCAAACGACCGCCTGTCTGGCCTGCTCATGACGCTCGCCGGCGGCGCGACCATCCTCACCCTCCTCTACTCCCAACCTACCAACGACTTGCCCTCACCACTGTCTCCGCACCGACTCGAAAGTGAACGAGATACTGTCACTACGAATAATACGAGTCAAAGCGTACCGCCCGCCTCTATGCCCTCGGCTGCCGACACTTGCCCCAATGACCAGTCCCTGGCTTGGAACCAATGCAAAAGCCCGACCACCCCGGAAGCCACCATCACATCTACTGTTCCGACTATCGAGTCCGCCTATGTCCCTTCCTCAGCTGCCGTACCGCTCTCCATAATCCTGGCTCTCCTCTGCGATCACGCATTCTCGATCGTGGACTTTGCACTGTCTTTCCTGCCGTACCTCTCCACCGGACGATTTCGTCAAGCTTCTAAGCTGGCTTGCAGGAAGGTGAAGCCGGCTTTGGCTTTTCTACGAGTGCTTCTATTGCAAGCTCTTGAACTTCAGGGGTTCAGCCTCAAGGGGTACAATCTTGTCTTTGCACTTGTGTTGTACTCGGCACTGCAGATCGTTCTCTTGCGCGTCTACGCAGCATTTTTGCTCCGTACCAACCGCTGGGTCTGGGAAAAGGAAGACTACTTGAAAGCGATCAGACTTCGAGACGCCACGATAGCGGAGCTGCGGGAGCAAATGGAAGTCGACCACAGATCTGCAATAGCAGCATTAGAGAGCGAGAGCGACTCATTCTTTGAAGCGAGGAAGGAGATCGAAGAGCAGGATTCGGTCAGACAAATGGAATTCGACCAGAAGAAGGCAGATCTTGACGCGTGCTCTTTGAGTGAAACCCGTTACTGGCGGTATGTGCTCCGGAACCAGGAGAACGCGGACAAGGACAATCGACGAAGGATGCAGGATCAGTTCAATGAAGAAAACAAGGTCAACGAGCAGGAGATTGAACGGCTCCAAGACATGTGCTCGTCAATCCCGGATCTGCAGTCTCAAACCGACTCTCTTACTAAGACATTTGCGAACCTTGAGTCTGAGAAAGCCGCTCTCCAGACGAAAATTCAGAATCTGCAATCTCGAGAAGACACAAATGCTGATAACTACGCCGAATTGTATTCCCAGCACGAGGATCTGGAGTCGGAGTGCGAGGCAAGATTGGCAAAGGCCTTCAGCGGCTTGAAAAACTCGCTTGTTCAAACTGGATCGGAGGAACCCAAAGGAATGGTACCCACTCCGAGGTACTTCGAGATTCACGGCGAGCTTCCAGAACATTGTAGGCTACTCACGCATCAAGACATCAGTGACGAGCGAAAAAAGATCTTCGCGATCATCAAGGGTTCGCTCAAAGCAAATCCAGAAGCGCAGATCAAGAAGGTGTCTGCGATCAAGAAGTACTACATCGAATACGGTGAACTTCCTGCGGGCGTGCAACTGCAGCAGGCTGTGCCGGACAAAGCAGATTCGCCTATCCGTGCTCCTCAAGATGCCAGCACTGGACCTTCGCGCCTTGAACCGCGTGCATCCCCGCATCCTATAGACGGACAGCCGGATATGTCCCGTGTTGGACCTGGTCGCCTTGGCTTTAGCGCGAACTTCGGTCGAGGCATTCCTGACCCTCCAGCGCCTAATTGGTCCACTATAAGAAGTCAATCAACTGGCAATCGTCCGCCGGTAGTATTGGCGCGGAACGTAGCTTCTGACGGCACTCAACTCAGTAGCAAGGCTGGGTCTGGTATGGATGCGCCAGCGCTTTTGGGAGGCCAACCTGACGTCGCTCTCAACGGAAGCTTGACCAAAAATGAAGTCAAGCCCACAGAGCCAGAGCTAGAGCCCACGGACACACAGTCAAGCATGCCCGTTGTAGCTGAAGGCGGCGGCCTCAACTTTGGCGCGGACTTGGCTCAAGCCACTCCTACTCAACCGGATCCCGCTGATGTTTTGACGAAAGCATTCCGGTCACTAGCCCTCGGTTCGAATAGCACAAGCGCCAAGAAGGCAGCTACTGGTCTCTTCGAACCCGGCAGCGGCAGTTTCAGCCAGCTCGGATCTGGCATGGAGATGCCACTCCATGCCACAACTTGTTGAAAACAGTCCCAACGCCGCGTCTCATGGAAGTTTGCAAAGCAATCCGCTCATTTCAAGCGTCGATGCTAAGCCTCCTGAGATGTCATCTGCATCTGTGGCAAATGAACCCATCTCGAAGGATGCAGAAGTTCAATATTCGTCGCAGACATCTTTCAATATCGACAATGAGAACGACAATCCGCCCGGCTCATCTGCTACCCCGTCGACGTCTGACAGCAAGGGTGATGCCACGAGCGATGCTGCGTCCGGAGACAATGCCATCAACGCGGTATCTACCGCTAGTGCTGGACCGCCAGCAGGCAGCCCTCCCTCCGAGTCTGAGAACGAAACGAGCCATGTCGTTCACGGGAGAGCTGAGTCCTCAGAGAGCGCCGCGGATCTGGAGCGCGCGGCTCAAAACGGCAGCTCTGAGACGTCCTCAGTCGTCGAGCAGCAACCACACGCTACAGCGGCCGCCAGTAACGAGTTCCACTTCGGCGCCCAGCAGAGCACGTTCGGCTTGCGTGTCGAGACTTCACGCGCTTCGAATGAAGCAAAGACAGGCCGATCGTCTCGTCGAGCCACCGGAAAGAAGCAGGCCTCCGCCGTGAATCGGTCCGCAGGCGAAGACGCCGAGGGCAAAGAGACGAATCTGGATACGAAGAGAAGAGATCCCTCTTCCGGCACTAGCGGCGACGAGACTGTCCTCTCGCTTGATGACAACTATGCGATAGTGACAAGCATGAAGAGCTTCTCCCAGAGCATCCACAAGCCCGCTCTAGCCGCTCAGCCACTCCTCGTCCCGAAGAAATGCTACGCACAGCCAGGCGTTCCATGCAAGAAGATTTTCGGCTGCGTCGGAGACCCGGACCGGTACGACAGCGAAGGCAAATACATATCTCCGCCAGGCGGGCAGGGTCGATGCCACGGCGGCGAGAGTCGGAATGCGCACAAGAAGCGCAAGGACGAGGCGCGGAAGATGGAATTGTGTTGCGCTTGCTATCGCAAGTTCAAGAATGAACCTTTGGAAGATTGAGAAAGAGGGCAAGAAGGTTTTGAGGATGGTGGGTACCTGTCTCGGAGGAGAGGAGGAAGACCAGCGCGAAGCCACATTGTCGTGGTGTACGGAATCTGGTCCCTCAAAGCTCGTGACTTGTAGCCCATCTCGTATCTTGCCGGAACCCTACTCGAGATGGAAAATTGTGTGTGATGTCTGGCAACAAACTCTGCAAGGGAAGAAAAGAGGAATGCGCGGGGAACAGGCGATGACTTTGCGCTGCTGCTGTGTCAGCGATGAGAGAAGAGATGTTGGAACCAAAAAAAAAAGTGAAGGATAGCAAGGGCAAACAGGCAAACAGGCAAGGAGTCCGAACTGAACCAATCGATCCAATCCAAAACAGAACAAGAGCAAAGCCGAAGCTACAGACGTAGTAGTGTACGGAATACTCTGTTCTTGGTCTGTGGATCTGTTTGGTTCGTCTCGAAACGTCTGTCGCCGGAGGGACCCAAGCTCTCGAAGAGAGTGTCGGGACTTTCATTGCTACTTACTACTCCTACCTACCGCTGCGATGTATGTTAGAATACCAAAACCAGAGATTGATCCAGAAAAGAAACGAGCTATTGAAAAGATTTGATATGGCTCCTTACTCTCCTTCGAGTTTTGCTGATCTCGCAGCCACCCGGGTTTAGGAAATCGGCAGATGTTCCGCCACTTGCACAGCGTTTTCGCCAGGAATATTGAGATCATGCGATGGCTTCAAAAGTTTGCAAAGCTGAAGAGAGAAGATTGTGGCGGTAAAGCCGTACCTTAGTGTCGAAAAATTGTTCGTTTCATGAAATCGTATCTACATGCCCTCAATGGTAAGTAACTACATGTGTTCGTTGGAAGCTCAGTGCTGCGCGGTCCAGGGCACTCTCGGCGCCGTGCCATCCTCATCGAGACAATCTGCCAAATGCAGCAGACTTGTCTGTCGTACGAACTGCTCCAGAATTCCGTGCGTTGCATGCTGTAGAGTGAAGGCCGCGTGTGCTGATCGCCAAAGCGGCTCATCGATGCGACAGCCCAGGCGAGCTCTCCTGGTACCACCGTGATGCTCAGCAACACTGCAGGGGTTGCGATACCAGGTTAAATCGACTGTTTCCATCATTCCAGCGCTCTGGCAGCGGGTTGGAGCGCGCCTGGACCTTTCCAAGCAGAATCGTGGCCGCGCTTGGCAGCTTCGTTGCGACGTCATGCGGACCTTCGCGCGCTCTGCGATGGCCCTACGAGCTGCATGTAGGTGTCGCGAATACTTAGGTGCTTGCGGGCCTTCAGAGCTACCACCAAGGAGCCTCCAGAGCGCGCTTGGTCTTCCAACCGTAGTACTGGGACCGCAGAGGCGCCAGAACGCAGTGTGCCGTGCTGCCAAGCCCGGATCTCGCGAGCCAGCTTCCAAGGCGGAAGACGCGACACCAGGCGCCCGCCCCGCAACACCGCAACTGCTCCGTCGACTGCCAACTCATTTCTTGATGATTGTTATGATATCTTCGTCCGCGAGCTCGTGTGTGAGCCCCACGCGCTGAGGCTGGTGTTTCACGCTGCGGCCGTACACAATCGCAATCCGGAACTGCTCCACGATGGTCTTGTGAATGGCGTTACAGAAGTCCTCGACCGTACAGGCCGTGCTCCTCAAAACCACAGGCGCCGTGTAATCGGGCAGCTTTCCCTTTGGCTTGGTGTACACTCGGCGCAAGTTGAGCTTCTCCCACATCTGCTCCAGCAATTCGTCCACGTTCCACCCGTGCTCCGAGGAGATCGGACAGGCGTTCGGGATTCGGTAGAGCAAATCGAGCTCTTCGATGCTGATGGAATCGATCTTGTTCAGTGCGTAGATGACGGGAATGTAGGAGCGACTCTTGGCTTCGATGACGTCGATGAGGTCGTCCACGGTCGCATCGCATCGGATGGCAATATCGCAGTTGGCCATGCGGTATTCGTTCATGACCGCCTTGATCTCGTCGTGGTCGATGTGCGAGAGGGCGACCGTGCTCGTGATGGAGATACCGCCCTTGTCTTTCTTCGTGATCTTGATGTTGGGAGGCTGCTTGTTGATGCGGATCCCGAAGCCCTCCAGCTCGGTCTCGATGACGCGCTTGTCTGTGAGTGGTTTGTTCACATCGAGAACGATGAATATGAGATGACATGTCTTGGCCACGGCAATGACCTGCCTACCTCTTCCCTTGCCGTCCTTGGCGCCCTGGATGATACCAGGCAGATCCAATATCTGAATCTTAGCGCCGTTGTAGACCACCTGCCCCGGCACCGTGGTCAAGGTGGTGAACTCGTATGCAGCTGCTTCGGAGTGCTGGCCGGTCAGGCGCGACATGAGCGTCGACTTGCCCACGGATGGGAAGCCTATGAAGCCGACCGATGCCACTCCCGTACGCGCAACATCGAAGCCGACTCCTGCTCCACCTCCTCCGCTCGACGGTGTGAGCAGCTCTTTCTTCAACTTGGCCAATTTCGCCTTCAACTGTCCCAAGTGGAATGACGTAGCCTTGTTCTTCTGCGTCCGAGCCATTTCGGACTCAATGTCCTTGATTTTGTCCACCGTGGTCGCCATGATGACCAATTTCCGCGCGCTCTTCGATTCGGCTGGGTTCGTAGGGTCTCGGACGACGTTTTCAGGCTCGATTATTACCTGAAGTCGAAAGAAGGTGTGTCGAGAGCGGTTTTGGGACTGGACTTAAGACGTGAAAAATGGTGTGCTCAAGTCTTGCGGTATTTTAGCGGCATTTTTGCGTACAAATTCGGCTTATTTTGCTAGGAAAAAGTCCACATAAATACACCAAAAGCAGCAAACACGACCCCCGACGAGCCGGCCGATATCTGGCCTTCTGTTGCGAAGCTTCACACACACAACGAATGAGTGTCCGCTGGCTTGTCGGCGTCCCAACAAGGTCTCTGATGAATCCATTGGGCGGTCCCGATCATTCGACGTCTGCATTCCCTGGTTCCCGCATGCTTGCCTTGCCCTGCCGTACTGAATCTCGTGCTCCCTCCCCAAACTGTGATGGCTTCGGCCGGCCATCGGCGACGAAGATGAAAGCTCTTCACGTGTCCTCATGGTTGCTCATCTTCGTACAGGGTGTAGCCGCTGCCGCGTACCTCTGAGACAGATTTCTCTTAAATCCCGCTTGCTCTGCACCTGCTGATTCCCCGATCGTTTTTGCTTTCCTCAACACACACACACACACACACACACACACACACCCGGCTTTACCATCTTATCTTTATTGCTGGCACAAATAACAACAACATCTACGACGCCCACATTTCAAGACCTGGCATCCATCTCTTCTCAAGAATTCTCTTTACATCGTCATAGCTTGAAAACTATTCACTCATCGCTCAACATGGATCCATCCACGCAACTAGTCCAGGCCAACATCACGGAGAAAGCAGAATCCATCCACGACTCTGCACGCGGATCGCCGGAGCCTCTCGATGCTTTCCATAAACTCGTCGAAGATATCAACTGCATCCTCGGGCCGAGCAATGGCATCGACAGCGACAACGTCGACGTCGAAGAGCTCAAGAAATTGATGCTGGCCTACCAGTCCAACGAGCAGGATTGGTCCAAGTATGCTTTCGGGGACAGTAGTCGAGCATACACCCGGAACCTCGTCGATCGAGGGAATGGGAAGAGCAACCTGGTGAGTAGAATAGTAGCACGCAAGATCGGGAACAGCACCCCTCGTAGAAGAGACTTCCTTGTGGTGCCGGCTGGCTGGTCTTGGTCGTTGCAGTGCCTGACGCACGTTTTGGATCTTCCTGTCTTCTGGCCCAACCCCTTCACCAAGTCGCGGGAGTGGTGCTAGACGACATACATTGCTGACAGCCTCGGCAGCTGATTCTTGTCTGGACGCCCGGGAAAGCCTCACCAATCCACGACCATGCCAATGCCCATTGCGTCATGAAGATACTGAAAGGCTCATTGACTGAAACAATCTACGGCTGGCCCTGTCAACACGCCGATAACCCAGCCGATTGTGCCACGGCTCCAGACTCACCCTACCCGAGCACCAAGCATACTTGCCAGGCGCCAAGCTCTCCAACGGGATCATCGGAGTTGAATGTGAGAAAGGAAACGACGTACGCGGAGGAACAGGTCACTTACATGAGCGATCGTCTCGGTTTGCATCGCATCCGCAATCCCAGTGAGGATGACTTCGCAGTCAGCCTACATCTGTACACGGTAAGCAATACGAGCAACAATCTCCCGAATTTCCATTCTCCCCCATCGAAGGAAGATATGTCTAATGTGTGATGCTCGATGGACTGACAATTCTTGCAGCCGCCGAATGCTGCCAAGCATGGATGCAACATCTTCGATCAGAAGACGGGCAAGTCGTCAAAAGTCCAGCAATGTCACTTCTACTCAGAGCTCGGCATCAAGATGGATTGATGATTGATCCATGATGCTGTGCGCATCAGCTCGACTTGTCATTTGCTGTTTCATCGGCGCACGGGTTGTGCATCGGATAGTTTTATCCCAACTTCACTGCGATCTAAGCGTCGGCGTTGGGAGTTGCCGTCTACACTCGTTCAGATCTTGGACCGAGTACTTTGCTAGGACACGGTTGATGTTGGTCGTTTAGCAATCCATCAACGAAAGTTTTTTCAATTTGTCGTGTTTCAGAATCAAGCTCTTTCTCCGGACCCGGATAAGCGAAGCAGCGGGTTCTGGCCTTGTTCGCCTGGTTGTTGCTCGCGTTTCCATCCTGGTAACATGTAGCACAGTAGGTTCCTTCCGAACATCAAACATGCGGCTTCAAGCATCTGCCGACCATCAGTGCCGGGGCCTTGATGTTGCGCAATCCGCATCCTTACACAGCTGACGATGAACTTCAGATTGCTCAGCGCATAGGAACTCCTTGTATATGTCGAGTTTGCGCGCAGAGGATGTTTCGGCAATGTGGAACCTTTGGTGGTCGTCAACTGCATCAATCCTTCCATATCCATCGCGCAGGCTTCTGCGTTGTATTTGAGGTCGTATCGGTCGCAAATCGTGTCGGCATAACCGTTTGATGTTTGAGTTTCGACGTGCGCGCTGCACGAGTCAAAAGAGCAAACCAGGGGGTAGGGAGTCAGCAAAAGTTGTAAGCGAAATCTGACCCGTACGCTGGTGCACAGCTGCCATAGCTAGGACATGGGGACCAACTTCTGACCAGCGATCACGTCCCAAACGAGAGCGTATTGACAATCTATGGCTCCTAGTGAGTCCTTCAAGGCGTGATTTCGATCATACAAGGGCCACTGGCTATCGTGCTTGAGGGCCTTGATTCGGGCAATCATTCGTGGTGCCAAGCAACGCTCCAAGATGATGACACCAGTGAGCTTAAACTGTAACGCTGACGCTTGCCACATGGGATGGCGACCTCTGCGGCCACATGCTGCAGTACAGGAAATGAAGTTTCATCCCGTTGTCAACCAGAAGTGTTTCGATGGCCAACTCGTAGGCAGTCATGGCTCCTTGGAACCCAGGCAGATGGACGCAGGCATGGTATCACGCCGAGATTGTTTAGATGGAGCAGAGTTGAAACGAGTTCCATGGAAAGAGTCGCCAGTACGTGAGTCGTAAATCGCTCGACCGCGACGAGTGGTGGTGAGTCATAGGATAGTTGTGGTCTTTTGCGACTTTCGAATGGGCATAGTAGTATTCCTGGGTGGGACGATTGACTATCGCTCTCTGTTCAATGCTTCATTGCGTGCGGTGTACTGCTCTGGCGCATCGGATATTGCTGTGTGGAGATCGATAATGTAGACCATGTGTTCCCCGCGTCTCCTCGGCAGCAGAGGCTCCACAGTGACCCTGTCCCTCAATGCAGCCATCGCAATAGTGAGGCTGTCAGGTCGAGAAAGGGAATTCAATAGTGTCGCGGCGCTATCACACTATTCCACAGAAGATCGGTAGCTTGCCCTATCCTTGCGCAGAGGTCCGTGAGACTTCTACAAATCAGAGATCAATTCGACGCAAGTGGGGAGGGAGCAAATAGGCTGGACTGATCCCAGCACTTCACGGGAAAAAGAAAACAGCAGGACGCAGGTCGCTAGTCCCTATCAGAGCATTAAGGTTGGCCGAAGAAAGGAAGCCAGCAAAATCGTAAGCCAGCCGGACCGAGGAAGCTAGGGATACTCACGTTCGTGCTACTGTTCATCAGTAGTGACGACCAACAGACAAGAGTGGGCCGGTTATTTTGAGCAGTATCCCAGACTCTTGTAGAAGATTCGTTCACTGTTAGATGAGATGCGTTGCAAATGTTGCGAGAGCCGAGACGTTGTCATACCAGTCATTTTTGGCGCACGGGCAGGACGTAAAAAACAGGTACGAGGTGCGAATAGCCTTTTACGTCCGGTTCAGCTTTAAGTGAAACCCGTCTGCGGCTGCGTGGCGTCGGTTGATCCGCTGGCCCTGAGATTTCCACGGGCAAAGACGTTTCGCGAGCGGAGGTGATGAGGGCCATCTCATCGATCGCCTTTCCGTCGTTTGATAAGAGAGCCAGAAGAATGGGAGCGGGCTTTCTGCGGGCGGGTCAAGCAATTCTCGGGCCTCTCCCGATGAGGGAGAAGCGAGGAGTCGAGCGGAGCGGAGCGTTGAGGAAGAGGTTCGCGCCGTAGGTGGGCCGCATGATCCTTCACGATAATCTTGGGCGACGATTGGCCGAGGGTCTGCATAATGCCGGAAAACTGACCAATGAGCAGTGGCCAGTGTTCTGCCGACAGCGAATTATCTCACTCGCGCAGAGGGGTCACCGGTGTGGCCTCTCTCTCTCTGTCGCTGCGGGCGCTTACAGGTGACAGATGCTCGCACGTTGACGAGAGGGTCAGCGATCTTCGGCCTCGCGCACGTCAAGAATCGGCTCAGAGAGGCGTCGAATCAAGGTTGAATCAAGGCCAGCAATCGACGCATGCCGAGGTGGATGGGATGTCGCCTGCGAGTCCGAATGACGACGGCGACGGCGGAGGCGGCGGTGGTGTTGCTATCTATAAGCAGCGCGGTGACCGAAGACGATGATGTGAGCAGTGTCGTATTATTGCGCGCAGTCGGTGATGATGTGGTGGAGCTGGAGCAGTGGCGACACAGAAGCAGGACTTCGCGCGACAGCCATTGGAGAGTGTCGCGCAGCAGGGCTAGACAGTGTGTAAGGATGCTGAGGACCGAGCGTGCGAGCCTCGAGGTGGACTGGACGGCAGGGATCGCTGTCTGCGGGCCCGAGCGTCGTGCATGCGGGAGGCGATCGCTGCGGGTCCGGCTTGCGCCCCCGGTGCCAGGTGTTAAGGTAGCGTGAAGTGTTTCGGTCGCATCGCTGCGGCCAGGAGACCTGTGCGGCTTGTCCCTGCGCAGGCCTCGTGTGCCTGCCCAACAGCGCACCGCGTTCCGTGCGCGCCGCAGATTGCACGCAGATTGCGCATGATGGAGACAAGAGAGAGAGCTCGTCGTCGATGGCCCGTCGGTGGCCTGTCGGTCGACGTCGGAGGTGCGAGACTACCGGAGTGCCTGTAGAGCTGTCCAGCCCTAGAGCTGTACAGTGCAGACCGTGTGCAGCCCTCGGTGGGTGTCTCGCGGGAGATGGGATTTTAGTGCTGCGCGGCGGGGCTGGACACGCTAGCGGGCCTGCCTGCCGAGAGTCTGTTGTGTGTCGTGCCTGCCAGTGCTCTGCTGCTGGAAGGAGGTCGGTGTCGGGGCGCCGAATCATTATACGCTCCGCTCGGGGGGGGGCAGGAGCGACCTCCAACGTCGACCGCGGTGGTGCACGTTGTTGATCGGACGAGGCAGGCATGTCGACACCCGCGGCTTCTGCTTTCGAGCGCGTACGAGAGCAGCAGCCGTCCATACTGAGGTGCTCTTCCTCCAGTCGTCCAGAGAGACTCGTCGTCATCGCCCGGCAGCCAGAGCCAGTCTGCGGTCTGCCAGCGGAGGTGCCAGATTGCCAGGCATGCCATGCCATGCCATGGATGGCATCCTTGCCTGCAGCCGCATCCGTGCCCGCGCGGCACGTCAGAGTGTTCGAGTGTCGAGAGTCGAGTGGTGCACACACACCTCGTGCTGCGAGAGTCCCGTCCACGCCCAGCAGTGTCGCCGTGCAGCGCGAGAGGCTAGAGACGCGACTGCTCAACTTCTGTCCATTCCATGTGCACGCTGCGGTCGAGCCATGTCGACGTCCCAGCGCTCGCGCCGAACCGCACTCGCCGTCCTCCCAGCGAATGGACAACCTAGATATCCACGTCTCCGCAACCGCTTCCAGGGCTGCGATCTACCCATGCTACGGTATCGATTCATTCCCATCCCGTCCACTCGCGCCTTCGATACCTTATATTCTAATCTTAAAGGACCCGTTGCCCGCTGCATCCTGTTCCCTAACCCAACCCAGCGACGCCGTCCAGCCCATCTACAAGTATAGCGCACACGACGCTCTCTGTCTATCATAGATGGCAGTATGCCCTGCGCTCTCTGTCGGCCTCACTCTGCTGCGTCTGCCGGGTCGCGCCTGCCTGCCGACAACTTGCCTGCTGCGTCTGCGATCGCGCCTGGTCTAACGTCTGCCACCTTATTACCGTACCTGACGCATCGCCGCGCCGCAGACGCCGTCGGTGTCGGTGTCGGTGTCGGTGTCGGTGTCCGTGTTGGTGCCGCTCCCAGCGTCAAGCGTCAAGCGTCAAGCGTCAAGCCACAGCCACAGCGTGTAGACCTGCTCCCGCATTAGCAGGAGCGACACCACCAGTCGCACCTGCCTACCCGCCTCTTACTACTGCCAACGCCCGCATCGACCCTAAGGCCCACCCGCGCCTGCGCCTGCGCCTGCGCCTGCGCCTGCACCTGCACCGGGCGCCGCGCCATTAGCCCTCCCTCCTTCCGGTTCGCCTTGCACACGCTCGCTGTCACCGTCGATGCTATGGACGACGACGACCGCTCCACCGCATATCGCTCCTCGCCGCCGACACACTGGGGCCAGAGTCCACACGTCTATCCCCATTCTCACCACGGCACTCCCGCCCAGGAATACACCAGCTTCAACTTCGCCTCGCCACACATCCCCATGGAGCCCAGCGTGTTCAGCGGCGGCGCCAGCAGCACCATCCAACAGCGTCCGGTCCATCAGCAATTGCAGCCCCTGGTCATGCCGCAATGGCCCTCGATGCTGAACAGCCACTCCCATTCCACCTACCAGCCGATGTTTCCTCAGCCGGTCCAACCCATCCAGCCCATGTCTATTGCCCCGCTACACACGCCCGTGTCGGCAACCTCGACGAGATCAACCTCTACTCCGCGCAAGACATTGACCGACCTGGACCGGAAGCGGATGTGCCAGTATGCTGAAGAGCATCCTAACAGCAAGCAGACTGAGATTGGAGGTGAGCATCGACCCCTCGTCCAACTTGATCCGAGGACGCTGACACCGGTACAGCGATATTTGGCGTAGAGCGAAGGTATGGCAAGATTCATTTCAATCTATGGGTCTTCTAACACTAGACAGCACCGTCTCCAAAGTTCTACGGCAGAAAGAGAAATACCTCTTCCAGGACGATGGCAGCCGATCTCCCATCAAGCGCGCAAAAGGCCGTTCTCCCGACATCGAGCGAGCACTCGCTGTGTGGGCTAAGAACCAGGTAAGCAATGACAGGGCCGTCGACCGTCCTAATCGCTCGCAATTCTTACGTTACGGCAGGAGAAGAAAGGCAATCCTCTGAACGACGAGCTCATCCGCGAGAAAGCGCGCGCATTTGCGGCTACAACTTCGGGACCGGAGAACAGTGTCACTCTCAGTTCCAGCTGGATTGAGAAGTTCAAATTGAAGAACAACCTCATGGGAGCTCGATCGCGGAAGACTTCGCTTGCTCCGGACGACGCAGACGGTGCATCGGCCGCCGCATCATCATCCCACACCCCCGGAGATGCTTCTCCCATATCACCATCGGGCATAGGATCTTCCTCTCCACTGGAGTTGCATACACAACTGAGCCATGAAAGCTTGAAGAACGAGAGCCCGGACAGCTACTTGGATTTCGCCGGCAGGCACGAGCCTTTCCACTCGCAGAGTACCACCTCCCTGAATAGCGCGTTCACAGACACCGCGCCTTCCTCTTCCTTCTCTCCCGGCCCTCTGAGTCCGACTTCGCCTTTCTTCACACCCGACTCCGGGACAGCGCCCTCACCGTTCGTACCGGGTCCACATCCTACGGCGCGGCCTATCCTACCATCGTCAATGAGCAGCAACAGCCCACGACCGCGAAGTCAAACTTTCCCGCTTCTCGATCAGTACATGACTTCTTCAGGGGAACCAGCTACGCCCAAATACAACAACGGCGCGGCGCTGGACTCGCCCATGGAAGAATCGACAGATCCGCTCCTTAGTTTGGATGAAGCTTTACAGCCGGAAGATAGGCCACCCACCGTGACACCTTCCGAAACTATGCGGCCCCCGCCCCAACCCGCCCACGTCCTACAGCAGGACATGAAGCGCGAGGCATCGCAGGTGGCAGCCGTCACGAGCCCGGAAGAGGCAAGAAGAGCACTGCAGGTAGTGCTAAGCTTCTTCGAGCAACAACCACACGGCTTCCTGGATCTGCAGGAGAGCGTGACCATCGGAAAACTGATGGAGAAGCTCAAACTGCATTCCAGAGGGAGCAGCTAACGATACGATACCCCTGTTCTTGTTTCTGTATCTTTTATGGATGTATTGGAATGTACATTGATACTGTTCTCGTTCTGACTGGAGGACCTTGGGTACCTCCTCCTTTTTTTCGGTTGGACGTACTTGTCTGCATGAGTATTACTGGTAGGCCTCACGACGACGAGGCATGACGGAGACGGGGAGTAGACAGACGGACAGACCGCTCACGCGGCATTTGTAAAGCTTGGAATATGCGTTGGCCAAAGAATTTTCTCTCGGCCTTTGGAATGATGCTGCTAGGTTCGATTGTTCTGCGCTGATCGTCTGGATATCAGATGGAGTCACTCGGAGCAAGCCCCAGCGTCTACCGCTCCCTTCGGTTGGCCGAGTCTTCCGCCGCGAGCTCGGGAAAGAGACGGACCACCACCAGTTCGACGATAGCTATGATCAAATGCTTGTTGAGGTACGAGTCGCCCAGCAAGTCCAATTCCGCTTCCACGTCCTCTCTCATCAAGTCTCTATCCTTCGTAGCGAAGAAGCGGATCCGTATGCTCTCGGGAATTGCGTCGAGGATGGTATTGGCACACTCGCGCTTGATCTCGACGACTTCGTCTTTCGATGGCGGTGTGCGTGCCGGTGCCAGGGCGTTGTCGGGGAAGATGGCGCTTCGAGCGGCTTGCAGTACGGTTGGCAACCAATTCGCATTCAGAAGCGACGTGTGGAGGTGGAGCGATATCAACCTGCAGACAAAGGATCCAACTGTCAGTCCCCGCTATTCATCAATCAATCAATGGTACCGTAGACGCGTCATGAGCTCCTCTCTCACAAAGGCAGTGTCTGTGTTGGGCAAAACAGCCTGATTGCGCACGCATATTCGGGACCAGAAAGCCCTTCGCAAGGAACCGGGGGTGCTTTGGTGGGAGGGAATGGGGAAACGCGAGCGGAACAAGGATCGGCTCGCCCTGTTGGCACTTCCCGGCTTCGCTTGACGCGAGTTGACGAATGAGAGCCGAGAAGAGCTGAATTGCGGTATGAGTGGTGGACACCGCCAAACTTCGGCAATCGAGACTCTTCAAAACTCCGGTCGTGGGATCCTGATCAAGCTGTTACCGCATGTGCTGGCGTTAAGGTTTGGGCCGTGAACGCAGCCGCACGGCTCGCAGAGACGATGTGCAGCGTGGCATGCAGCCGTCAAGGCCCGAACCCTCAGGGTACATCCGCAGTGGTCTCGACGACGAGAGATGAAGGTCGTATTGCCGTCGACTTGGCGAGTGTCTCGAGATTTGCCCGGGTGGGCAAGCGATGCAATGATGCCCAATGAGCGACGCTGGGCTGGGGGCAAAGTCCTCGGTCCCGAGCTTAGCGACAGCATCATTGTTGATCATCGAAAGCTCACGTTGCGAAATTTAGTGGATTGCTGGATGCTATGCAAGAACGGAGCGAATGGTGTAGGAGGGTAGTCGTAAGCGCGCCGAGCGTCGTGGATGTGAGGAGGCCAGTGAGACAGGTTTACGAGCTCAAGGAGCGTTCCGGCACGGTATTGGCCGACGCTGGAATCAGATGACCGACATCCAATGCAGCTTCCCGATGTGGCTTCGTCGCTTCCACGAATGGGCGAGCAGAATTCCAGAAATGCAATATCTCGCATCGCACCGACGCCTCGCGACAAATCGGCCAGCTCGCCAATATCAAGCGCGTTATCGTGGGTGGTGTGGTGGAGTGAAGAAGAGACTGTCACTCACCTGTCCAATCTGCTGTTAATACTGCCAATCTGACCGGGACCGCATAACGATATCCACTGCAAGAGTGACAGGACGCCTGATAACCAGGGCATGCGTCGGTTGAGAGACAGTAGCTGACCTATGCATTCCCAGATGTGCATGCTTATGATCGGCTGCCTTTCCATGTCATTCTCAGAGGTTGCAGGCGGAGACGGACGCGCTTTTCCGTGACTGGAGGATACCAGCCGTCCGCGAGGAGAGTTGGGACCATAGGAGGTCATCTTCCTTCGTGCTGGGATCGAGGAAGCCTGCATTAGAGCAACGGTGCAGGCGCGTAGAACTGACCCTGCCGTCATTGCGTACTGAGCAACGGTTAGAAGCAATCGCAATGCGCCCTCGAAGGGACGCCGAGATCGGCTTTGACGGGTCTGGTCGGCTGACGGTGGAACAGCGTTTAACAGGCCATATTGCTCCAAGCGCGGCGTCGGTAGAGCATTCGGGGTAGGACTTCGGCTTCCAGATCGTACTGAACGAAGTAACTTTGCCAATCCGTCCCATAGTAACCATGGTTCGGTCGCTTTGCCGCAAAGAGCATTTCGCACAATGATTTCGGAGAATATTTCCGGCACAAGAACGTCCAGGCATGGGTTTGCGAGATCTTCAGGCGGAAGCAGTAAGGGAAGAATTCGATTGACGAGCATCAAGCACCAAGCGACTTCATTTTCCTGCTGTTCGAATGTCATCTCCGGATCTAACGGAACGGGTTCGAGGGCGACATGTGGGAGCATGGTATGGAAGCGAATGCGTTGCTGTCCAAGGGTTACTTGCCCCTGCCGAGAAGTTTTCGTCGCTCTGACAACTGTATACCATTAGTCTCGCTACAGCTTTGTCTGTGCAAAGCTTATGACAGGTACCATTCACGTGCTCTGTCAGAAGGTCTGGTAACTCATCCAGCAGCAGTGCCTCGAGATCTACCTTCCTGAGTCGTTGCTCCAAGCCTCGAGTGCAGTGTGCAATGATCTGGACGATCTCGGCCACAAAGTGCTGATCCGGCGTAATGCGGTTATACCATGTCTGCACGAAGTTGCTGAGGATCACAGCAATGAAAGCGTACAATTGGATATCAATGGCATTGGAGCTCGTCAAAGGAGGCAGAAGTTCTTCCAGCGGCTCGGAGTGGTGGTCTTGGGTGCGATCCCCAGCTGCAGCCTCGCCGTCCTGCTGCTTTGCGCACAGAACGCGCTTGATGTATTCTATGGTCTCCGCATCGCTTATGGCGTTAGGAGAATCGATACGATGGCCGGGGCGACTGTATCCGTGCTGTTGCTGGGATGCTCCCCTTCCAGCGTTGCGAGGCTGCTGTTTGATGGGCTTCTGCATAGACTGCGCCATTGATGCGCGGATTACACAATGACTCGTGGTACAGACTCCAAATGCAGCTCCATCTGTCGATGTTGAAAAGAAAGTATGCGATGGCGTTGTGTGTCGTTGTGTGTCGTTGTGATTCGATGGATCGTCACACACAGTGAAGCGGCCAAGCGGAAACCTGAGGCCATCGGCCCGGCCCGGTGCTGTCTGTGCCCGCGAGAGCATGGGCGCTTCCCTGAACCTTACCCGGTGATTGCTACAACATCACTTGCATCCTTCTGTTGGAACTGCACAAATCGGCAACTGCATCCTCCCGAATCGACGCATACGGCCTACGATATACGATGGCTGCAGCGACCCTCGACGAAGTCAACAGTAGGTCTTCCTTCAAAATGAGGCGCATCATTTGCTGATAGGCGAAAGACCAATTGAAGGCGGTCATCCATAACCTGTACGTGTTGATCACGCAGGCACATGACTATCATGGGACGGAGACGCAGCGCGGGATGAGCGCTGAAATGTAGGTACTCATGGACGTCACTGCTAGTATCGAATCTAACACATTTTAGCCGCACTCTCGTCCAGAATCTCCAGACCCTTTCACTAACCGCCAAGAATTTGCCCACGCACATCCCGTGGGAAATCATCCAATACGTGGAGAACTCGCGCAACCCGGACATCTACACGCGAGAGTTCGTTGAGCTGGTCATACGCTACAACCAGCAACAGAAAGGACGCAGCGAGGCGTTCGCCCACTTCCGTGACATTCTTGGCGCGAAGATGGCATCCGGCATACCTGAGATCCGAGACGACGTCAGGAAAGTTGTTGAGTCAACTGGAGGGCATCTGGAATAGTTCTCTCGTGGCATTACGAGCACTACTGGCGCATTTGATGATGTTTGGATTTGAGATACCCCTTTGGCTTATTAAGTGATGGAAGTCACACTCGGGAGTTATGATACGAATAGAGGCTGCGACATGACTCAAAATTGCCGCGAAATTACCAAAAGCTTAAGAAGGAGTTCTCTACACATTCTGAAAGGATAGACGCAGCGAACCACCGGCAATAACTCTGAGAGCTGGACCGGTTTCCTTTCTAAAGACCGCCTATGGTCACATAGGACGCAGATCCAGTGCTAGAAAATCAGATCGGCTTTGCAATTCGCAACTCGCTTGCAGGTACAAAAAGTCTTATCCGAAACCACAATCAAGACTAGACAGGCAGCCCGCCCTACACAGGATCATGTACAATTCTGCGTCGAAACCAGCGCCGTATAGACTGAACCCTGTCTATCTTCAGTACATTGCCCGATAATGCGCACAAATAGGACATCGTACCGATGTAACATGGTCTGCATAGTTATTACATCCCAAGACGACCAATTTGGAATGCGGCGGGATGTTGCTATGCCGGATGTGCCTTAAGCATCGACAGTCTTAACGCGGCATGGGTGATGAATGCGTGTAGTCGAGACATTTCTAGCCAGTATATGAGCCCATGTTAATAGCAGTTGGCCAATTTCCACCGCTCCTTCGAATGACACGACCTTCAAGATATCTCTGTGTATATGTCTGCCCGGTTTCGATGGAGCAGTGACGAGTATCGCCACGCCTTGAACATGTAAGTGGACTTCGTAACGTAATCGCGCCTATTCTACTAGAACAGCATTTCTGTAACAGACCGGGTGTTTGTCACGCTGAATCTATAGCGATGAAAGCATGGCAAGCCGTATGGGAGCTGAAAATGTTGCCTGAGGCAGCAATCACATGAAGATTGAAACATACTTTTGGACATTTGCTAGCTCTAGTGGTACGCTGACCACTTAGTATCACAGAATCCACGCCGAAGATCCGATCGAGCAGCCGGTCGTGCTGTCTTAGGCGCTGCTCGTTGTTATAGCGACCGTCACCGCACAGCTGTATGCAGTTCGACCCATCACGTCCGCCTATCTCTAACAGACTCGATACGGAACAGAAGACGTCTTATTATGGATGTCAACGTAATGGTGTCTTCTGTTCGCGCAGCGAGTCTACGGACAAAGTGCGCTGTTTCTGTGTACCTTAGCTTTATACTTTCCCCTACCTCACTATAGTTAAATAGCAATCCTTTACCTAGCTATAAAAATACTTAGAGGTTGTTAAGCAAGGTTTTCTTGAGGGCCTCGTGTATTTAAAATGTTTGTATATAGTTGTCAGTATATACCTAGACCAGGGGTAGGGGAAACTTTTGAAGGCTCTATAACGCGAGCAGTTTTAGTTTCTAGTCGATATCCTTCAAAATCTTTACGTGTTCTAACTATAATCCTCCTATATTGTTTCCTAATTAAATACGGACAGCCCCCTTTATATGACCGAAAGCCGTAGACTCGTTATTATCGAGGTGTTTAATCTCCCTACCCGAATATAGGAAGTGGGTAAGGAAGTCGCGAAGCGTGCCTAAGAAGGAGGTAGCTATGCAACACTCGAACGACTCTACCAACGCTAGTGCCTCGCGCGACTCGTGCGACTCGAACGACGAGCATACCAGGTAGCAACAGCACAGCAAGAGCACAACGATGTCACAGAAGAAGCTGACCTTCTATCCAGCTCAGTTCCTTCGCAATGCAACTCCGCTCGCAGTTGCCCCCGCTCCAAAGCGGAACCTCCGTCCCAAAATCAATCCCTTCCTAAAGAAGCGACAGAAAGTCGCGCAGGCCTCTACCAACCAAGCTGTATGGGATCAAAATGAGTGGGCCGATGTCAGAGGGCAGGCTGAGCAAATCGAGCTCTTCCAGACCTCGACATGTGCAACATCCCAGACCAATATCACAACTGCAGGAGAAACCCACCTGAGAACGATTCTAATTGATCCCAACGGAGTCGCGCTTTCGAGCGCGCAAAAGGTTGCCTTCGATAAGGCTCGCATCAACAATACCAACAGCCCAGCTGGTATGGGATACTCCTGAACATTCGTGCGTACATACGGTCGGCACCAGGACGAAGAGCTCAAGAGGGTCTGCGAGGTGTACATGTTCTTTTTCGGTGATCTGAACGACGTTCAGATACACGATATCATCAACGGGCTCTATGATAGCAGCGGGACGTACGAGTCGGGCAGAAAATGGATCATGGACTATCGGACGCAAGTCCAGAGTGGCAACCTCAGCTTCCTCACGATATTAAGAGCTGCATTCCAGCAGTCATGTCGAACGCCTCTTTTTGTACTCGTTCGATTCGCAGGCAACAAAGCTCGGGTTAGAGAACCTGGGCGATGGCGACATCGCGACAGGCATCCAAGCATGGCTCCAGGCGAGCCAAGAGGACCGAGAGGACCTGGTCGTGGAGCTCTTCAACGAGGCTCCAGTCACGATTTGCGCCAACACTTTCGGTATGTAGTTCAACTCCGTGAGCTTCTGCCTGATTTTCCTACACTCTAACAAGACGACCACCAAGGAATGGCGCGACTTCGTGCGCACCAAGTTCGTGAATCTAGCCCTGAGGGTGGTCGAGTACAACACTATCCTCTTACCAGAGATGGGAAGTCCGGTTTCCGGGGCCGGCAAGCGAGCCTTAGAAGACTACTGGAAGGGTGAGTCGCCATCTCTTACTTCGAAAGCGGAAAGAATTTCAGGGTTACTAACTTCGTCGCAGCAATGATGTAAGACCCGGCGGTTAGGGGGATCGTCGGTCCCGCGGGAGTCGACGGTCTTCCAAGACTCGCAAGCCGCAAGGATAACAAGGCCGCGGCACAGCTGAGCGTTGCCAGGGTGGCGACCAACGTCAAGACATTCAGTGAGGGAAGCGAGGAAAGCCTTGGAAGCGAGGGAGGCGATGCCATGGACATTCGAGGAGCAAATCAAAGAAGATCCTACCGTTGCTGCTGCTACATTGGAGATTCGTTCCAAGGAGGACAGAGAGATGTATCACAAAATTCAAGCACACATACCGGAAAGTCTTACAATTCATTTTGGGACGGATTACTTGCAGAGGAGTTCGAAAAGCAATACGAAAGCGGAGACACAGCATCGATCACCAGTCGCAAGCACGCACTCCTAGAGAATGACATCCGAGCAAGCTTCTTAAGCCACGTGCCTTCACATGAACCGGACGAGTGCTTTTGGTTCAGCGTACTTCTTCGACTCACTTCTTTACCCACCAAACAGGCCAGGGTATCAGGAAAAGGCATCGCTGCGCCTCCGAACCAAGACTCTCGCAAGGTAGCCGAGCACTTCACGGCCATTCGAGAAGCGTTTGGGTTGGGTGGAATGTCCATATGGCGCATCCGATCGCTCGCGGAGAGGAAAGAAGTGCCAAAGACAAGGCCAAAGCCAGAGAGAAAGCGAAAGCGTGAGCGCCACTTACACAGTAGCTGCTAGCTCTAGGCCGTTGAATCTCTTGGTTTCGATGATTGCCAGTTGCTTCTTGATCTGTGGGCTAGAGCTGGCCCGTGCGTGCCCCTGATCACATGCATCCGGCAAGTTCCGCGTCATAAGTGAATACTAACAATGCAACTCCACATTTTAGAAACTATTACGCCGACTGAAACAGCACTCCATGGCCATCCAGACACATGACCATCTTCGAAGGCATATCAAATCCGAGCAAGCGAGAATCACAACTAATCTTCTCCCCTTTCCCTCTCCTTCCCTCGTTTTACATCACGACGGCCACGTGATCATCCATGTACTTCGATATGTCACCAAGAAACAAAGCCGCAACGATCGAAACACCACCAAAAGCGATGCTGACCAGATAGACATACCGATACGCGTCTGAAAAGGCAGTCTGACCTGCGAGCACCCTGCGAAAGCAAGCACAGTCAGTTTCTCACATTTTCCTGGAAATGCCTAGACATCACACTTACACTCCTTCGTATGCGCCCGGTACACCATGAATGCCTGGGAGATCCGCGATTCCATCTATCAGCGAGGCGCCCGTCAACGAGATGGCTTCCTCGATCACGGACGAGTTGGTGATGTTGAGCTGCTGCTGCATGTATTCGCCAATGATTTCCTTAGCAAAGGGAGCGAATTTAGAAATGAAGACGTTGCTGTTAAAGACAAAAGATGTCAGCCTATTGATTGGCAACTTGGAAGCGGGACATGTCTCCGACTTACTAATAGACACAGTATCCGATGCTACCGCCTATCACTCGAACCGCGAGTGTCAAAGCTGCGACGGTGGCGATGAGATCATCTGGACAGATGATAGTGGCTAGGAATTTGTCGATCAGTCCCACTGGAGCCCTGTTCAGGCCTGGTGCATGCACACTCACTGATAATGGATGCCGGGACGACGATGCCTCCTATTCCGAGCCCTGCCAAGACAAGCAGTCCCCAGAGTACATGCAGATTATCAACCTTCCCAACTGCAAGCGCTCCACATCCTGCCGTCATGAGCACGGAAGAGACAATCATCAGTTCCTTGTTGTGTCCGCGGAACACGGAGAGGAGCCAGAGAACGATGACAGCACCTGCTAGAATTCCGAACCCGGTGGGGATTCCGCGGACGCCGACGCCCACAGGGTCGTGTCCGTAGACATTGAAAGCTTGTGTGGGCCAGAACATGAGAATGCTGAAGAAGTTGGCTCCGCTGATGAATGTGATGACGAGTGTTAAGCCTAGAATCCTCGGGTCTTGACGCAGACGGCGGGGAAACATTGGGTATGGTGCGTATCCTTGCCAGACAGTAAAGCAGGCAAGCATGACCGCTCCAAGGATCAGAGGGACCAGGACGTGCGCCGAAGACCACTTGTATCTGTCACACATCAATCGCTGCTCAACAGTCATTTGGAAAAGGAATTCAACTCACTGATATCCTCCCCACTGCATCCCCATCATAAACAACAACATACCCCCAATACTCAGGAACCCACCAAGATAATCGATTTGCTTCAAGACCTGCCTTCTCGAGAGCCCAAGACTATTAACCCTCTCGGGCGGGAAATAGAAAAACAGCACACAACAGAAGCCTACAAACGCCCAGAGGCCACAGATCAACCCTATCCATCTCCAGGAAGCATAATACGAAATCAACTGTCCATACAACACCGACGGACAAAACGGTATAATCGTGATTACCAATACGGCAACATACTTGCCCCGTTTACTCGTTGGCGCTAGCTCAGACGTCGCGGCGAGGGCGGTCAATTCGTTGATGCCAGCGCCAACACCTGCGAATACCATGCCTGAGATGAAACTGTTCATGGAATGAACGGTGGAACAGATGATCATGCCGATGATGAGGAAGGCGGCGCCGATCAGGGCAACATAGCGCCGGCCGATGAGGTCGCTGATGGAGCCAACGAAGGGACAGACGGCTGCGAGGGACAGCAGATTGGCTAGGACGAACCAGATCCAGCGATCTGAGCCGCCTATGTCGCCGTAGATGTAGGGTGGTATGCCGCCGAAGAGGTAGACGGGGATTTGGCTGCCGGTCCAAACTGGATGCAGTCGTCAATTCTGAGCAGCGTTCTAGGATGTGGGTCACTTACGGAATGCCATAGCGATGAGGCTCATCATTCGGTTGAACGACATCTTGGGCTCTACATCTTGATTGCCGCTCTCGTCGGCATATGTTTCAAGTCCTCCTCTCTCGTAGTACCCGTCGTGCCCTGGAGCTCGTTCGTTGGTATCAATCTTTTCGACATGCTGAGTTTCTGCCTTGTCCACGTCTGGCAAGCGATCTGAAGTGTCTGACCTTTCATCAACACAATGCTGAGGTTTCTCATGCATCCGTCAACTTACCAGAGCTTCCAGTAAAGGTTTTCTCGGCTTCCATCTTGACTGGAGAGAATCCCTGGTGAATTGGTATCGTATCTGGTAAGGATCTTGAAGCGTTCACATCAAGACAGAACTCAAAAGCGCACCCCAGGAAATTCTTATACGCCGCCGGCGGAGATATGTTGGGCCTTTCGAGATATTTAAGCCGGTTCACTGCGCGGAGAACCCTGCACAGCGCAGTCACATCAGACGGAGGAGACACGCAGAGGCCATGGCTCCTGACGAACCGGATGACGGCCCTCAGACGCACTGCACGACTCTGATCAGCAGTGTCTGTAGTTGCTGTTGTACCTTAGCCGCGGGCAAGCACAGGTCCGAACCAGGAGACTCGGCAGGCGACCAAAATCCCCTACGACTGCAGCAAAAGCCTGAACAGACTCAATTAGCGATCTCTGGATGAGCGTCGATGAGAGGAGAGCCTGTCGTAGATGTTCCGATAGCTTCGATATATTGTTCGTAGGGCTCCTACGTTCCGTCGCTGCCATCTATGTCTATGTTGGGGTGCATCTTCAGACAACTACCTCTCGTCTTACTGCTGCATCATTGTTCGCTGTACGGTCTATACGCACGTGTAAGATTAGCCTGGAACCCCGCAAACAAACTGCCCTGTCGTACAGAGGGAAAAGCAAAGCTCCTTGGCAACCATGCGCAGATCATTGGCCTTGCGCGTGTGTGTCAATGACGTCGAATTTCAATCATCTGAGCGCTCTTCTTGAGTCGTCTCCGTTCAGGCCAACAAGTGTGCGAACCCTCAGATACCTGATATCCCTCGAGCTTGAGATCATGCCTGTGAGCAGCAGTCTGGCCGAGGACTCTTGCCCACGTCTAGGGCGCAAGAGCTATAAAGCCCTGTAATACCACTTCCTGCCAACATTGCGGATAAGCATAGCCGGTCTCCGCGCGTCGATCATCCTTCACGTATTACTGAGTCGCCTCCATCGTGTCAAGAAGGCTTTGAGGCTTTGAGGCTCTGAGCCAAGAATTTGCTTTCGGAGGGTGGACCAGATACCGATCTGAACCAACCCGGTAGAACTGCGAACGCGGTGTATCTGTACACGCCTATGATCCCGAATAGCCTATCAATGCGCGGTTGTCGTCAATGACTCTGCCGTACCTGGAGATTGTGTCAGCGGAACGGAATGTCATCAGACGCGAGGACACCCACTCAAGCAGTAGTCTGAACAGCCAGACTTCAAGATCCTCATTACGCAGCGCCTTGAACGCCCAGTCTCGTCCTTCTTCAGCAATGCTGGTTGCCAATGGCCTACCCTCCTCTTCCCCGTCAAAATACCTCACGGACTCCAGTACTTCATCTGCTCTTAGACTGAGTGGGATATAGTGCACCCATGGTCTGATCCACTCTTCATGCCACTCACGAAAGACCGACATCTTGAAAGTGAGACTGTGGCTCATCAAAAACGCGTAGAATCGACCCGAGAAAGCGTTTCCGTCCATGTCGAGCAGATATTTGAACTTCCAAGCTTCTTGCTGATCTGCCGGCTCGACGATGTTGAAGAATTCGCGCTGTGCGTCGCAGTCACCAGGATCGCATTGCCCCACATGAGAGAAGTGCACATCCATGATATCCTTGTAGTCTTGGCGTGGAACCTCTTGGACAACCCATTTCGCTTCGTCTGGATTCTCGTCAGTGGCGCCTGCATTGCTGTGCTTGAGCACCTTGGCTGCGTCGAGGGCGTTCACTTTGCGCACAAACTGTTGGCGGTGCTGTCGTTTCCACCCGCCAGCTCGACTGAAGCCGCCAGTAGTGCTGCCTCGCCACCATAGACGATTCTGCTTCTTTTCCCAGTCCATGTCCTTGCCTTCTTTGTACTCCACCTTTCCATACCAATACCAAGGACTCGGATAGAGGATGTCTTGGAAGCTGGACATTTTGCTCTGACTGAAGACGGGGAACAGATCGTGCACCACGTTGAACGCGTTGGGCCTGTCGAAGAATCCATGCGACTTGCTGAAAGATGGCGAATTACACACATCTGAGAAAGCCGTATGGTTGTAGACGAAACCTAGCTCGCTCAAAGCATAGGCACTAAGCTTGTCCAAAGCCATCGACTCCTCGATAGCTCTGGCTGGACTCTGCGGAGAGCAAGACAGACGTGAAGGTATCCATGTAGGCTGATGCGCAAAGACGTTGAATCGTGTAGTCTTGACTTCCAACACTCGCTTGCCGCTGTTGATGTCCTCCGGTCTTGGGGAGAACGCATTTTTGGGAGTCTTCTGTCCTGACGCTGCCGGTATGTTCTTCTGGAGCGCGACTTCAATCAGACGGGATAGCTCATCATGAGGTACGACGACACGGGGCTCGTCGTGCACATTGAAGGCAAGGTCCATGTCGGGAAGGTAGTCGATGAACGACTCCATCATGCCCACTGCCGCTTGTTGAAGCCACTCCTGGCCGCCTTCAACGTGTGCTGCCTTTCCATTTCGAATGAGCAGCCCCATCAGCTGGTTGTCACCAAAACCCAAAGCTTCCTGTGCTCTTGCGCGTATCGTGCTCGGCGATAGGCCCCAGAAAGGTAATAGCGAGTGGTAGATGGTATCGTATTCGTCAATCAGCTGAACGCCTTTACGCTTGGCGAATTCGTACCACTTGTCGAAGTGAGGTGGTGGAGGCATGCCATATCTACGCTTGTATTCAGTGACCGCGGCTTCGAGCGTGTGCGACTGCGACTGGAGCTTGACGTTCCATGATGCCTGGGCATCTTGTACAAGTGTCTTGATCGGATGGACTTTTCGGCTCGAAACGTTCAACGGCTCTAATGTTCTACCCAATGCGACGGCGTCCAAGCCAGGAGGATGAGGGACGAAGGGATTAAGGGCCGCAGCTCGCGATGAGTGCTGTAGATAGTAGATCGTTAGGATGGCGAAAGATACAAGGCCTGTCGCCGTCAGAATGCTGCCAGCTCGTAGCTTCATCCTTGAGCGGGGAATGAAAGTGTCCTGTTCATCGAGGAAGGAAAGCGCAGAGCAGGCGCATAGCACCGCAAACCACAGGCTGGAGAAAGAAAAGTCAAGCAGGAGCTGCGAGACGAGAGCAGCGGCGAGAGGGACGAGACTGGTGGAGAGTGCGCCGTGTCGTTGGACCTGGGAAGGGAGTTAGTTTTTGGTCTCGGCCGCCGAGCTGCAACAAGCCCATGTCAATCGCGCCAGGGTGGCCACGCTAACGGCTCGGGATGGGCCGTCTCTGGAAATCATCCAAGCAAGACTGGCAGATCTTCAAGGTGGTACCTAGTAGTCCCATTGTCTTCTCGACCATCATGCCAACAACATGCTTGGCAATAGTCGGACAGATGCGTTGCCAAGTCCTGCAAATCTTGATACGCGAGAAGTTGAGACTTACAGCCAGTAGCAGCGCGCCGTACATGGCCATGTGAACGGCGATGGTGCCCACGGCGTATACCAGCGAAAGTACGCCCTGGCCAAACACCCAGTGGTTTCCCATTGCTTGTCCGAGCAGGCCATAATATGCCAGTCCACCGAAGCGAAAGCTCTCAAGCGTGAGTGCTGCGACAGCTGCGGCTAGCCCTCCAGCAGTAGACACGTCTCGCACCAAGGCCAGCCATTGCTCTTGGTTCGAAGCGGGAGCTTTCGTCGACTGCGTGAGCAGTCCACTGGCGGAGTAGATGACGCTGCCGCCATTTGAAGTGTGATGTTTAGCTGCTCCTTTGGCGCGCTCCACCAGGTCTAACGCAAGCACTTGTAGCACGGCGTGGGACAGCCCAAGCGCGACGGCGGATATTGAGCCCAAGTGCGCATAGACTGCGACGAGACCAGACACTGTAAGAAGCGCCAGTGTAGACTTGGAGCCATACGTCGACGAAGCATGCCTGTCTTTGACTGGGCTTGCAGGTGTTTCCAATTGGGTATCGCTTGGCTCGAAGACTCCGCTCTTGGTGAAGAGATGGATCAAAAGCGGTAGCAGTGCCTGTGAAAATATCTCAGCCAGAGCTCCTTACTCGTGTAGTCTGGCGTATTGACCTTCGCCCACCAGATACCCTTCCCATCAACAGCTCTTTCGCACACCTGTGCCAAAGCAAACATCCCGCCCGCTGCCCATGCCAGTCGTTGCGAAGGCGCGCCGTCCAACAATGACCTCGCGCCTACTTTTGACGTTGTGTAGATGCATAGCGAAAGCCAAGCAGTTGCGCTGGTGAGGAGGGCGTGCTTGGTCGAGGTGCCGATGTTGGCGAGGACGGAGGCGGCGAGCAGGACCAAGGGGATGGTCAGGGCGGAGGAGGCGGCGGCGGCATCGTGCTGATGGCGGGACAGCAACGATGGCATGAGGGTTGATTAGCAGGGAGAGCGCATGGCGCATATGTGAAAGGTATGAGAAGTAAGCGTGTTTGAAGCCGAAGTCAGCCCTTCGCGTGTCTGTCTGGCGTTTCGCTGTTCGACCCCCGCGGAAGAGACGGCATGTCTTGTCGCGCAAGGATCGTATTCCAACTTCACCTGTCGTCTTCGCAACGCGACAATCGAATCATACCTTCGCATTACATCACGGAGAATGGGAGACACCGGCGATTTCTCACGATCATCTCACGAGTACGAGTGCCGTCCGACTGACACGGATGCCCCGACTCATCTGCACCTTTCCTACGGGATACTCAACTCGAAACACCCCAATCATTGTGCAACCAGGCATAGGATAGAATGTACAGAGCATTTGCATCCACGACATTCTCTCACCCGCTCTTGTACCAAACTGAGCTCCTCCACGGACATCCGTCGCTACCTTCAGCATGATTCCGCGGCATCCCATATATGGCATACGCCCATTGCTACCTCCCGTCCTACTCACCAGCTGCGGGGTGAACTTTCATACATCTCCCATTCCATCTCTAGCTTTCCTTCTGTTCCCCTCTCTCATACACTTCACCCAGACTCGCAACATGCCCTTCACTCTCGATCCAGCCATAGGCGCCGCTCTGGCTGCCCAGATGGGCCCGGATCCTCCTCCGCCTCTGGCAGTAAGACCTACTACACCAGCAACATGTAAACAGAACCATTAAATCCACCCACAGGTCGGAGACGTCCAGGGCCGCCGAAGACAACTCGACCTCTTCTTCTCGGGCGTCGTAAACCAGCTCCCGGACCCCCAAGACGTCTCCACCCAAGACTTCACCACGCAAGCCGAAGACGGCCACACCCTCACCCTCCGCTGGTTCACCAAGACCGGCACCCAACCCCCCGGCTCCGCAGTCCTCTACGCCCACGGCGGCGGCATGATCGCCCTGGGCCTCAAGCACTACGACCAAATCATCAAACGCTACGTCTCCCGCACGGGCGTCCCCTTCCTCCTCGTCGACTACCGCCTCGCCCCCGAAGTCCAAGCCCCCATCCCGGTGACGGACACCTACACCGGCCTGCGCTATCTGCACTCCCACGCCTCCGACCTCGGCATCCAACCCTCCCGCATCGCAATCATGGGCGACTCCGCCGGCGGCGGCATCACGGCTTCCCTCGCCCACTACATCAAACTCCGCGGCGGCGGTCCCCCCGTCGCAAAACAAATCCTCATCTACCCGATGCTAGACGACCGCAACACGGCGCCGGACCCTCTCCTCTCCCCTTTCCTCACCTGGACCACAGCCGACAACGCCACCGGCTGGACCGCCCTCCTCGGCGCCCGCATCGGCGCAGACGATGTCAATGTCCTGGAAGCCGCGGGTCGCATGACCGCTGCGGAAGCCAGGGGTCTCCCGCCCGCATACATCGACGTCGGGGGATTAGATCTCTTCCGGGACGAAAGTATCGAATACGCGCGTACCTTGGGCAAGGGCGGCGTGAGTGTAGAATTACATGTCATTCCCAATGCACCACACGCGTTTGAGGGCTTCGCTCCCGAGGCAGAGATCTCGAGATTTGTCATGGACATGCGGGAGAAGGTGATTAAGAGCATATAAATTTCAGAGAGATAATGACAGCGATTGGCAACGAACGTGCAACAATACTAGAGCACTACTACAACGGGCGCGAAAGAACAGCCCATGAATGTTGTTGGAGAAGTATCGTTTGTTGCAAAGTCAGCTGCTAGAGCCTGGATGCAGGCGAGAGACTAAATTTCTTCTCTCCTCCTTTGCAAGAACACTATAAAACATTGGATGATAATCTCAAAGTGGCGCCAAAAAGCGACGAATGGGTATATCCATCCTCTCGACACATACGGTGAGAGGATAAACGCCGCAACTACCAACCCTTCCCATGGGTATAAAAAAACCAAGCATCTTCTCCCTCATTCCACAGATATGACCGCATTTCTTTCCTGTACCCTTTGCCACATGTTCCAAGAAAAAAAAAGCATATGCGCCCGCCGTGCGCCAACGCTAGCTGCAGAGTGAATCCATGACAATATCGTCGTGAATAATTTCCACCTCGTGGTCATCAAACCGAAGCGGACTGATTGATGAACTCGTCCCACGCGTCTTGCACTGGCAATTCCCACGCCTCTTCGGCCTTTCTCTTTCTCGTGTGAGGGGAATCGCCACCATCGGCCATGCCGCCCATGACGGCATCTCCATCCTCATTCATCATGTCTTTGATCTGTCGGTAGAGCGGGATCAAGGATTCCGGAGCACCACCGCTGCCGTCACCCCAAATGTCCGCATCCCAATTCTCCATGGTGATGACAAACTTCATGGCGTCGCTCTGAGAAACGTCGCTGCTCTGACTGGCCTGAGAAATCTCGCTGCCGTTGGGCGTGAGCTCAGGGTCGGAGGTATAGATGGACTCGCTGGGACGATACTCCCAGACGTCGTGATCCATCTCGTTGGGTATCCATCCCTCTGCGTAATTCTGAGCAAGCTTCTCCCAGGTCACCAATTCGTCATCGGCATTGTCCAGCTTTAAGATCGACTCCACGGCTTCGGGCTTGAGTGAAACGTTTTCCGTCGCTGGCTCTGCCGGCAGAGCAATGTCCAGCTTCTGCGACATGTGCTCTCTTAGAGTCATCTCCTTGCCAGGATCCTTCTGGGTCGCCGCGTCAAATTCAGCCTGTTTCTTTGCAATCTTGCTCTTGACGCTTGCCGGAGTCAGTCCGCGGTTGATCTGCTCCATTTCCAGCTTGGTGAGCTCTTCTTTCTTGAGATCTCGAGCCGTCGCAATTCTACGCTTCGCGGATGCTCCGGGAGCCATCTTCTTGCGCGGTGGTCCAGGCTCACGGAGCGCGTTGCCCTCTTTGTCAACGCCAAGCGCATTTGCTGCATTGTCGAGCAGGAAGTTGAGCGGATTCTCGATAACTTGATGATGCGATTGCTCGTGCTGTTTGAGCTGATCCTCAGTCTCGAAGCCGCGCAGAGAAGCATCGCATGTCGAATCCTTGCAGCGGAATTTCCTCTGCTCTGCATCTCTCTCAGCTTCAGCCTTGAGTTGTGCTGGTGTTTTTCTGGTCTGCTCCGGGCTCTGAATCTTGCCGTTGACGAGCGCTGGGCTGGCTCCCATTGCCGCCGGCGTGCTTACTTGGGCTGCTGGTGTTGAAGCCTGGCTCGTCGACTGATCCGTCTTCCGCTTCTTCTGTGGCGGGAACTTGAGCTTGTCGGGAGTAAGCTCGTTGCGTCCGGGTTCGTACTTGGGCACTCCGTGAGGGCTCGGAGCAGCCCAGTCGAACGTCTTGTTTTCCGTGGGCGCTGGAGGAGGCTTCGAGTTCTTCCGCGCATGGTTCTGCTGTGATGAGCTTTGGGCCATCGGAGCGGCCTGGGCCTTGCCTGTCTGGGCTTGTGTGGGAGGCACTTTTGAGCCAGCGGCGGTTTGTTGTTGCCTCTGCGCATCGTGCTGCTCCTTGCGGATTTTGAGCTCTGTCATATAGGTGACGACAGCACGCTCAATGTCTTTCAGCTGCTCTGGAGTGACGGAGAGGTAATCCTTGATGCTACCAGAGTCATCCATGATGTTCTGGTGCACAATGAGTCTCGCCCGCATTACGTCCTTGAGCGTCTTGTCCTCGAATCCGTAGGCCAGCGCAACGGGGAAAGTGGTTGGCAGGTGCTTGAGGGGATTCCAGAGCTTCTTGAATATATGCTTCATGCGGTCCATGCCGGCCTTGTCAATCTGAACTGGCGGTCCTCGGGGGTTTTCCCTGACCACTTCCTGATTCATCCTACCAAGTCGCTCCTGATCTGCTTGAGACATTCTCGGCGGTTGAGGCATGGCCGGCCGATTGCTTGCGGAGGCTGCTTGTGCAGGCTGATGGGTTTGCGCCCCCATCTGGCCCTGAGCTTTTCGAATGGACTCCATCTGTGCTGATTGCTGCTGCGCCATCTTTTGAATGTATTGCTGTTGTTGCTTCTGGCCCTCGGGGGCTTTTGCAACTGGCTCCTGCTGTGACAAGCGTGAGGCTGGTCGCTGCGCTGGTGCTTGCTGTTGTGACTGGCTGGGCTGCATAGCTGGCGCTTGTGGAGTAGCCTTGGCGGCAGGCTGGCTGGAAATCTCAATTATGTCGTTGTTGGACTGCGAACTTGGCTGCTGCTGGCCTAGTGCTCCAGGTTGGCCCTGAGTGCCAGGAGGCATTCGTGGGACAGGCGCGGCCCCGTTTTGCATGTTGGGTTGTGGACCACCAATCTGTTGGTTAGGCGGGCCAGGAACCTGACCATTCTGCGCCTGTTGACGCTGTTGTTGCTGCTGTCTCATCTGTTTGATTCTGGCACCGACGAGCATTGAGCGGACCTGGTCATCGCTGGCAGCCTGGAATTGCTGGAATCTGGCGCGAAAGGCTGCAATCTCCTGAGGAGACGGCTGCAGCTGGGCCATATTGAATCCCGCGGGCATTCCTTGTCCCGCAGGCTGCTGCATCATCTGTCTGGGAGGCACCATTTGAGCTGGTGGGGCGGGCATTGTGCCTGCCGCTTGCGGAGCATTGGGAGGCTGAGGCTGTCCCCCTTGGCCTAACCGTCCTTGTTGGGCTTGCTGTTGCAGGCGCGCTCTCTGCTGCATAATGGCCTGCATTGCAACGGCGTACTCCTGTGGATTTGCTTGGAACCATCCTGCTTGCTGCTGTTGAACCTTTTCGACAGTGGCGGCCTGCGGATTCTGCGATACGTGCTGCTTGAGATCGCCCCACGTCTGGACATGGGGCGGTGCTGCAATGCTCAGCTGGGTCAAAATCGACCTCGGGAACGGCCTCGAGTCCAGCGCCTGCGTCCTCAGTCTGATACCCTGCTGAGTCCTGATCTGCGCCTGGACTTGCTGTTGTGTATTGTTCATCGCACCCTGGTTGGCAGGTGGCTGCGCATTGAATCCAGGAATGGCATTGCCCATCGGCTGCACAGGCATACCCTGCTGGCCCTGCTGATTGCCCTGTTGCATTTGTGCCATGTTGGGATTGTTCAACCCGAACGGCCCCAGCGGTGGCCAGCCCATGGCCTCCCATTTCTGCACAAAGGCTGCAATTTGTTCCGGTGGCATGTTAGCTAGCTTTTCCCTATATTGTGGAGGGACCCGTGCGAGGAGAGCGTCGACATTCAAGCCTTGTGGCGCCTGACCTCCTTGACGTAGTTGCTGCAGCTGTTGCTGCTGTTGGCTGTTCTGTGCGAGCATGTTCTGGTGGTGCTGTGCCAGTTGGTTGGCATCATTTGCCATCGGTGTCTGAGGCGTCGGCCGCTGTCTGTTTGGCTGCGGCGTGCCAGGAGTTGTCTGACCTGGTGGCGCCATGGGACGGTTGAGCATAGACATCGCTGGACTGTTCACCTGGCCATTGGGCCCTCCATTGAAGGCATTCGGCGTGTGGAGACCTCCCGGTTGTCCTTGTAGTTGTTGTCTGGATGCTATTGCATGTTGTTGAGCCATGATTTGTTTCTGCATGCGTTCTCGCTGCTGCGCTTCTCGTTGCTGCTGCATGAAGAACTGCATTTGACTCTGGTTCATGGTGCCGTTCCCAAGCTGACCGCCTTGCTGGTTATTTTGTGTTGTTTGACCGCCCTGGTTGTTCTGAGTGTTCTGGTTCGCCTGATTGCCCTGGTTTCCGAGCATCGCTGGATTAACGCCCTGTGACATGTTTACTTGTCCGCCGAAACCCATGTTGTTGTTATTGCTGGCCGGTACGACCTGTTCGCCGGACTCCTGAGACTTGAGAGCATTCGCCTGCTGACCCATGATGCCAGAGAAGTCGATGCTCTGTCCATCAGCCTGCGACGGCGGCCTCGGAGGTCCATTGCCCATTTGTGCATTTGGATTGCCTCCGCTCGGCGCGGCCTGATTGACCTGCTGGCCATTTGCGGCACCACCCGACATCTGCTGCTGCTGCTGCTGCTGCTGCTGCTGCTGCCTGTTTTGAGCAGTGAACTGCTGTGTCGCCTTGGCCACAAAGAACCTCATGACCGGATCCATCTTGAGCTCTCTTCGCTGCTGATCGGACATGGTCGCCATGAGCTTCTGACGCATTGCGTTCCTCTGCTCTTCCGGCATGCTATCATGGAGCTTCTGTGCGACCGCAAGAACCCGCTGCTGTATCGTCGGGGGCTGGCCTTGGCCGCCCTGGTTCATGTTTGGTTGCTGAGACTGGCTTGGCTGACTCATGTTCTGTCCTTGTGGCTGTTGTGCCGGCTGCTGGGGCGGCATTTGCAGAGCGGAAGGGTCCATGGTCGTCGGAGGTTGCTGAGAGTGCTGGGCTTGCATCTGCGCCTGTGCTTGGGGTTGCTGTTGTTGGGAGCTCTGCTGCTGCTGCTGCTGCTGCTGCTGTTGTTGTTGTTGTTGTTGTTGTTGTTGTTGTTGTTGTTGTTGTTGTTGTTGTTGTTGCTGCTGCTGCTGCTGCTGCAGAGGCAGTGGTGACGGTTGCATCTGGCGCTGCAGCTGTGCTGGAAACATTGGATTCTGGGCCTGGGCACCGTTCATCTGGCCAGACTGGCCCATAGCGGCACGATTTGGGAACGGACCGACGTGGCCCATGCCGTTCTGCATGTTCATGGCGCCAGTTTGCATGTTGCCTGGGTTCGTCATGTTGGGGATCATGCCTCCACCGCCTTGCGAGTTCATCTGGTTCATGGAGGCTTCTTTCCTCTTGGCCGTAATCTCTTGGAACTTCTTGTCCATTTCCGCATAGTAGGTTTCCTTGTTGGGAGAGTTGAGGATGGTCCGCCGCTCCCATTGCTGTGCAATATGAAGACACTGCCACGGGTTGTTCTGCTGATTGAGGCCGCGAAGCATGGTAAACCTACGATTCAGTCAGCGGGAAACGAAGTTTTGGACAACCGAGGGGTATTACAGAGCATCGTACAGCTGCATGATGCCAACAGTGCGTTCGCCCACATTCATGGTGGCCTGCCAACCGCCCTGTAGCGAGGCCAAGCCGTTTCGCAGGTCGGCCATGATCTTGGCATTGATCTGCTGGTTCGGATTGTTGGGTTGAGGCCGCTGCATGGTATTGTTGACTGGGCCAGGCATGCCGCCTGGCATATTGTTGGGCATCTCCATTGCAACGGCGGGCGGGCCGCGAGGGATCAGATGGAGAGACAGCAGCGGCAGCGGTGACCTACTGCTGCTTCTTGAGCCTCGACTTCCTAGCCGGGTTGAGGGTGGTTGCGTCGGCGTTTGCGCTCATTCGGTGGGCAGCTCTGCGGATGTTTGTGTGAGGAGAGTTAGGGTTGCGTCAGACACGATGCCGTGATGGAGAAGGAGGAGGAGCGCAGGTGTCGAAGGGGTGTTGGTCTGAGTGTTGGTCACACGGGTGTCGCAGGCAGGCAACGGGGCAGTGCGGAAAGGTGAGGCAGCCAGGTTGCGGATGACGATGAGCGGTTGACGGTCAGGTCGGCGGTGCGAGTGGGTGATGGGATGCGGAGGGCGGAGGGCGGAGGGCGAAGGGCGGCGGAGATGGCTGACGAGAGCGAAGCGGTCTATTGTGGAATCGGCGGTCGGAAGCAAGCGCCCAGCGGCCAAGGAGTTGAAGGTGGTGGTGGTGAGGGGAGTTTTGCGAGCTGGGTCATTCGGCGCACGGGTCTGACGCCTCGTGAGTAGAGCAGATTCGGTGTTGGGTTACGGGTCTCGACGCACAGGCAGCGGGGTGAGGTCGACGAGAACGGTGCGATGTGGAGAGGGTGATTTGCGGTGGAGGAGGGTATGTTGGCGGCGGTCGCGGTCGCGGTAGGGCGTCTTGGGCGTGTAGGTGTAGGTGTAGGTGTAGGTGTAGGTGTAGGTGTAGGGTGCAGTGGTGTGTGGTGTGGTGGATGGTGGGTGGTGTATGGATGGGCTACTTTCTTTGACTGCCTCAGCACAGGTGATCATCCTAGCTCTGCTAGCGCCCGTTGCGACCAAACCTAGAGCCCTGGTCCACCGTACCGTACGGGCAACAATAATGCAAAGTGCGCTCTGCGGGGCTATCACATATTATTCTGGCCGCTACTCTGCCTATTATTGTCCGCGGACAACAGTGAGGAATTGCACGTACAAACTCCTATCTACGAGCATGTCCCGTCCGCGGTGTCGTGTCGACGAAGAGAGGGTGGTAGTCAGCAACAGGACAAGTCTGGTGGGTGCTCGCACAGACAGCGAGATGATGCGCGCGGGCGGGTCTGCTCACAGGCTGCCACTTAGATCTGCAGCAGCGGCGGAAGGCGTGTGGGCGTTTGACTGGCTCAATCAGCCGGAACGCTGCTAACCTAATCCGACGTGGACGGGCACTTGGCGACGGCGAGGTCGTGGCCAGGGAAACGCAGCCCTGTCCACGCCGGGCACTATCATCACTGCTGAGAAAGCCGCCGTGCCCAGCATCACGTATGCTATCTAGCATCGACCGACTCGTCTCGTCTCGTCTCGAAACACCCACTCTCCAACCCCATTCTCCAACCCACTCTTCACTACCATCCGCCAAGACGGACTGCTTCATTGGAGCTTCCATTCGATGCAAATTCGGTCTGCCCTGATTCGGCTGCTGTGTGCTGCGTCGTAACGATGGCCTCGAGCCTGACACTAGCGGCGTGCGGGCACGTGTTGGACATTTGGTTTGCTGTGCTGGTGTGCTGGGGTGCCGCTCTACCCTGTCCAGGTGCCCTGACGTCTCTTGCAACGAAGATGGACCGAACTGCTTCATGCTCCCTCTCACGAGCGACGAGACTTCTATTCTTATCCTCTGGTGCGACAGCGTACGACTGATGAAGCAATACTCCTACTTATTAAGTGTTATTACTCGGATCCGGATCCACAGCCGCAGCCGCCCACAGCCAGCCGATTCACGCAACGCTTCTCGAACGGCCGCCGCTTGAGGTGGGCAAGGTACGGGGAAGTAGCTGGATAGGCGAGAGCTCGCTTATCATCGTGGCGCGTCGCTATGCAGTGCTCGACGTCTTCACTCGAGGACTACTCTCCAAAACACACACTGTCAAGAGCTACATGTATCCACTGCAGCAGCCGCATCTCTTGACAGTGACGTTGAACAAGAGGTGCTGGTGCTGATGCATGTGATCGGCGTCGACCGCCGTCGGCACTCGGACTGTCGGAGCGCAGCCCTGGAGATCTCCCCACATCTTGGCCTCGTCTCCACTCCCGTCTTCTTCCTCCCTCATCACTCCCGTCAACTTCAGGTTCCCTTTCCATCTCACCAACATCCTCACGACACTTCACCACGGCTACTGCTTCAATCTCGTCATGGCCACTGAACAGACTGGCCCGGCGGCCGCCTTCCCCACGCCTCCGCCTTTCTACCACCACTTCACAAAGCAAAACCTCGCGCGCATCCGACAGATTCGCAGGGAGGCAGGCGCGTCAGCAACTTCGGATGGCCAAGATGAGTCCAACCGAGACATCCATGTCCTTTCACTGCCCACGGAGCTTCGCTATCTCATACCACCGGAGCCACCGGGCGACAATGCGAACTACATGAGCTTCGGCAATGACATGACTCGGAACGCAACTGATCCTACCCTCGCCGACTCCAAGATCGAACAGCTCTACCCATCAGATCCCTCGGTCCGCCTCAATCCGCAACCATACCTACTAGCGCTCGCGCGCTCCATGCTCACCACCTTCCTCTCCCTCACCGGCATCCTGAGCGAAAATCCAGAGCTGCAGGAAATGAAGTCGTTGGACCTACAGGCTATTGTGTTCAACATGCACGATCTGATCAATCAGTATCGCCCACATCAGGCGCGCGAGACATTGATTCTGATGATGGAGGAGCGTGTGGAGCAGATGCGAAAAGAAATCCGGGCCGTAGATGAGGGACAGAAGAAAGTGCAGAAGCTGTTACAGGACCTACAGACCAATGGACAGGCGCAGGCATTACAGGAAGACGACGCAGGCCGGGAGAAGATTGGACAAGACCTGGACGCGAAGAAGCGAAGAGCTAGGCAGAGCGCCGCATGGGCTGCGCTGGAGGCTGAAATGGGTTGAAGAAAGCAGACCTTGGCCTGCAACTTTCGAGAACTCCAGGTTCATCGTACCTCATTTCGGCGTGTCTCTAGCGCTAATACTACATCTGTTGGAGCGGGTTCATACCTCATGAGACTCGTTTCGTGTTCTGCTCCTGGATCGCAGCACGCATCTCGCGACCCCGCTGTTCTGCACTGGCCGCCGCATTGGCATTCGCATTGCCGACACCGGCTCCTAGAAATTACGAATCAGCTACGCGATTTGAGCACACTCAACCTCAAGAGGGCAACCTACCGCTTACAGAAGCGTTCTCCTCTCGGTCCTCAACCGAACTACCGTCCTGTTCTGTCTTCTTACTAGACTTGCTCGAGAAAGCGCCAGAAAGCGCACCGAAAACATTCAAGTTCAAGCCGGCCTGCAAGACGACGAAGATCAGAATCAGAGAGCCCTCACGTAGGATAGAGGACTAGACTCACATTCGCGCTAGCCTTTGCGCTAGCTTCCTTCTGCTCTACCACGCCGCCTGCGGCATCCGGTCTCGAGATTTCCTTTGGCTGTTGTTTCGCGACTGCTCCCGATGAAGTCATATCTCTCTCTCTCTGTGTATCTTGTAGCAACCTACTTGCTACTTTACTGGTTGGTTGGTTGGTTGTTTGAGGGGGGGTGGTATCCTCTGCAGTTCTGTTTCTTTTCTTCTCGAAGCGTCACGTGCTGGAATTCCGATCTCGAACGGATTCGTTTCGTTGTGTCTGGAACACAAAAGTTCTGTTCTCTGGAAAATGTTGTTCTGGATAATCAGCCCTCTCACGGGAAATTTTGCGACTCGGTGAGCCTTTTTGTACGTTTGTGGTTGCTCCAAACCGCATCGAGAAGTTGCATTCACATCATCCGGCAGGGGTCTCCGTCCCAGGGTCCGATGGATAAAACCTGTTTTTCGGGCTGCGGCATTGCGTCAATAATAATTACTGTGAGGAATGGAATACTAACTCGTATTCAGCCGCCTTCCAACTTTCCCCGCGGGGGGAATTCGACTGATACGACAACTTGAACTTGTTGGTTCGTTTCCTGTTTTGGTGAGCATTTCGTCATTCCATCTCCACTGTTCCCGTTCTTGCCAGCGTTACATGTAGGGAAGAGGTCTGGTTGTTGTGCTCCCTCCCTGGGACGCGATTCAGTATGCATACCTGCTGCCTTATCATTCTTATTATTATTATATGTCCCGTCACTGCCCAACGACGAAAAATGCGATGCAAATTGTCTTCTTCCAAGATGGGCAGTCGTTGTTGGTACAGACTAGATATCTACACGATTTTCCATACCTACCTACCGGTTCTTTCGCTCTTCGTTGTTCTCCTCTACAAAGAAAGAACAAGAGTAGGTACTCCCACGTTGTTGACAACCTCGTGCGAATAATGCCGGCATCAATCCAATCCTATCGATCGATCGAAAAAAGAGTATACGGGAAAAGTAAGTGTCTTCGTTCGCAAAGTGAATGCAGAATAGAATAGAATCGAAAGGAGCGATACTGTACCTTACCTTACCTTAGATATCGATTCACTTTATTCTTTCCATCGCGTCATCTCGACTACCTTACCTACAGCCCTGCTCCGCGGCCTCTCCCTCTGCCCCCCTCTTCCTCTTCCTCTCTCTCTTTCTCTCTCTCTCTCCGTAACACACTCCCATCTAGCTAGCCATAGCAGGCTACAGAAGAGCGCAACATCGCAAACTCTTCGCCTCCTCTTCTATACCTACCTTGCGAAAAAAAAAAACAAAGCGTGCCTACGAACGAACCGAACACGTCCCCAAGAGCGAAAAATTTCTCAAAGAGCAAAAAACTCAAAATTTGACAGCGGTACGTACCGGTACGCAAACTGAACTGTTCTACTTTGTCGGCTACGCTAAGAAGCGCACGGACTGAGGGATCACATGCCCCCCCGCCCACCAAATTCTGGCTCCTCTCGGGAGACGTTCCGTTCGGAGCTTTTTGGAAAACACCCCACAACGGAGGGAGAAATTCGAAGCTCCCGGTGAGGTGAGAGAAAGAGACACAGAGAGGGCTGTTGAATCGACCGAGCAGGGAAACCGGAACCGCATCGTGGTATATTGCTAGCAAACGACCTATGCATAAAGTACCGCCTCCCTCGCTCCTCTCTTGCCTTGCCTTCACACGATGAAACGCCACTCATGCAAAACAGACCTCAGGCGACAGACAAAGTAGAGAGTTCTTTTCGTGTGAGAGGCACGACACGATAGACAATGTTAAGGCACAAGAAGACTCGCTAGCGTGACCTCGTCAATGCAAAAGAAAAAGATGTGAGACTTCCTCTCTCTCTCCGTACCATGCCGCCATGCAATAGCCGTAAGAAATGAGAGCTGCGAGGGCTGGACGCGAAATCTCCGAGCTTCCCGTCATCCTCCATCACCGACCCGGACCACGCTTCTCGCGGCATCTCCATTCACCATCGCTCCCGGTTCAGCCTTGTGATGTCTCTTCGCTCTTCCACTCCCGGTCCCGGCCGGTTTTCTCCTCTGCGTGACTTCTTCGACACCATTACTCCGGACTGCCGAGGACACGTCCATGTCCTGATCTTCGACCTCTCCATCGTCGATTTCCTCATTATCATCAACCATTTCCGAATCTGCCATTTCTGCTTCTACTGCCGCCGCATCGTTCATCATTGCTTCCTGGTTCTCTGCCCATATGCGACATTCGTCCAATTCCGTGATATCCAATGGCCTGCTTCGCAACCATTTCAGGCGCGGCCCAGTTCTGGCAATCTCACTCACCCGGAAACCATATATTCGTGGCTCATATATGTTCCCCGGGCCCAGACCGGGTGCAAGATTTTTCGGTGTCACACCATTGATTATCTCGGGCTGTTGGGGTGTACCAGCAGCGTTGTCTACCAGAGCCGTCGGTATTCCGGGCTGCTGTGAAGTCAGTGATGAAGATAGGGACCCGCGAGAGGTCTTGTCGAGGTGACTCTGCGTGACGGCTGTGCTACCTGACAGCGGTGAGGATGCTGAAGGCTCAGTGGCCGCCGGTGGGAGGGGTCTCTGTCCACCAACGTCCAAGTCGGGAAAAGTCATGAAGAATAAGCACCCGAAGGTCGTCCCAAAGAATGCACCGTCCACAGTTTGAAAGCGACTGTTCGGCGGACTGTAGACATCCAGGCAGCTCGGGCAGAAAAGCTTCACCGTTTCTTGTCCGGGGATATCTGAGCATCCAACAGGTAATACTTTCGCACCGTGGCAGTAGACCCGCGGGCAGTGCCCAAAATGACCAAGCTCGTACTTCTCCGCCATCTGCTGAATGCCCGGTCGGCTGGTGATGAATCGCTGATGTATCAGACCGTACAGCATCTCCGCCGAGCTCTCGATAACGCTTAGATCGCTAGCCATGCGGAGGTGCCTCCTCTCAGCGGCAGCGGCAGCGGCATCTGCTGCTCTTCGATATCCCCTTCCCACGCCCTCCGCGTCCTGCATCTCGTCTTCGTCTTCATCCTCATCTTCTTCTTCCTCCTCCTCTTCTTCGCTCGCATCCTCCGGTTCCACATCCAATATCATCTCCAGGGCTTCCTTGTACATAGGGACCTGGCTTTGCAGGCCCGTAAGATTGAAGTCGTCTTCGATGAAATCTTCGGAGACTTCGGCGAAGTATTCGTGGCCCACAAGGGAGCAGAAGGCCGAGATCCAGCTCTCGGGAGCCTGCGATGAAGAGCTCATGCTGTTGAATTCGTCCGGCGCTACTTGGTGGATGTTGCACGCCTTTTCAAAGGCAGTACTCAGGGCGCGCTCCTGCAGTTCAGGCCGCGCTCCTGGCTGGCCTTGCGATGGAGGCGGCGATTCGATTTGGGTTGGTGGAGAAGAGAATGCTGTCGACGAGGAGTCGCTCTGGAGCGCGTCGTCCAAGATTCGCTGAGCCAGATTCGCTGTTGCTCCGCGCAAGTGTCCTAGCGGAATCGAGCCTGCTCAGCCGAAATGTGTGCCGTCAACTGGTGTCTCGCGGGGCTTGACCAGTGATTGAGACCCGTTCACTGTGCAGTTCTTTGTCGCTTGTTGGTGATGCAACACTCGCGTCGTTCTCCCGAACACAGAACGGCTACTGCGACCGCGCCGTCGGGAAGCGCCTGAAGGTATTTTCACCGGATATTTCCCGTGTCTTTCTCTTGCTACTAGAACTTTATCAAATGCGCGCACCGACGTGGTTCCCAGCGCGCATGCTCTTTCCCGCGTCCAACGATGCTTTCGTTGCCTCGCTTCGCTTCTCCCTCGCGCTGCGCCGCTGTCGGTCTCGATATCGGCGAATGACCGCGAGCAGCGTCGATGGGCAGACCAAAGACTCGGAGCTGGTGGCCAGGCCAAAGTCAGCGAAACGCAAGGAACCCTTTCCCTTTTCTCGTCTGTCCGTGGGCTCCACTCTGTGGCTGTCTCCAGCTGCCGCCCGTACTGCCTATATTACCCCCGTTATCGAAACCTGTCTGACGTAGATGAAGGCGGTGCCACGAACTCAGGTCCAGGGTAACGGTGAGGTGGCAAACAAGTCAGGTGTTGGGCAATGTGTAGTTGCGTGTTTCTGTGTTTCTGGCCTTGCTGACTGCTGCTTGGATAGTGGGGCCATCTCGTTAGCTCGTCACGTGCATTAGAATATACGATCCTTTATCGGAGGGGGTGAGGACGGATATCTTCAGCTCTGCATATCTACATAGTCAGACTAAAACAACTCCTTCAGAATATGCGACAGCCCCTCTTCACCATGGTCTTCAATGCCGTCTGCAACGTAGCCATCATGAGTGCCGTTCGCTCCCATGTGATGGTAGCCACCAGCCGCCTCGAACAAGCTCGTCAGGTCATGCACCATACCTTCAGGGCTGCTCGACGCTCCTAAATGCCCCAGATACTGGGACTGGTGCGGCGCACCATTATACAAGGACATTTCATCCACATTATGTCCAGCGAGACCTGCCATGGCTACTGCTGCCGAACGACTCGATTCGAGATCATCCTTGGCTGTGGCACGCGGCTGCGTGGATGCGCTGTTCGGGTCCTTTCTGGTCAGACCCAGTTTTGGCCCAACCTCTTTCAAGACCCGTATCGTCCTCCACAGCCGCTTGCTCACCCAGCTACCTTTGGAGAAGCCGCGAATGAGTTCAAGAGCCATATAGAACTCTTCCCGTACGCTGTCCGCAAACAACACCGGCGTATGGCTGACAGACAGAAATAAGACAGCCAAGGCCGAGGTCAAAAATGCGTTGAAAAGGACTTGTTGTGTGCGATATAGATCCGATGTTTGGTTGATGTGAGTCAAGACACGGACAGTGTCCTTTGCCACGTCCGCGACCTTCTGGGCTTGATCACGATGCTGTATGATGGAGGTCGCTGAGTGTAGCACGGGCCGGAATATCAAAATTCGCATCTGATTTGCCCGTAGATAGAGGAGGATCCGTAGCCGGTTGCCCGCACGAGAAGATGCCGGTCCGCTCTGCATCGAAACGCTTCCAGCCTTGCTCGGGTGCTCGAAGCGAAGATGCGCAGGTATGTTTTGAAGCCATTGAACGACTTGGTAATCGAGGTAGTTCATCTCGTCAACATTGATGGGTATTCCATTCCGAGCGTCGGATCCTGGGGCCGCAACAGACTTCCACACCTTGCTGCTGATGGTGGAATATTGGATCATAGCACTCAAATACGGCGATCGGTCTTCTGGCTTTGGGAGCTGAGGATCGATGTCTGAGTCCTGCAGAGCAAACGGCATGCCGGTGCCGAAGCTCCATCTGCGGTCCAACACGTAGATGGCCCAGAAGAGGAGCATGGTGTCAGACCGATCACCGTCGTCCTGTATGGCATCGTAGGTCTCTTTCCTGTGCAAGCCTAACTCGATGCACAGTCGCGCAGTGAGCCCAATGAGGCGCCAGGATGTTCCCTCGTTGTCGCGATGAAATTCATACATTGCCTATGAAAAATTAGAAGGGACCTGCTCAAACGTCATGCTGCGCATTAGTACTCACCGTCATCACGAGCAGTCGAATTGCTTTGACGGCGATGTTTCCCAGGAGCATCTGATCGATCGCCGGTTGCACGTATTCAAACATGCGTTGGCCGACTTCGCTCCGGCCAGAAGCCTCAACAGTCAAAGCAGTCGCAATTACCATCTTGAGGATGTTCGTATCCTCGTCGTCTATTGAATCAGCTCCGGGCATGCCCTGTTGCATTAGGCCAGAGCGACGTGCTGCTTCCATGAAACGGTACAATTTCGTCGCGTAGTTCACGACTTTGTCGACATCTACGACAGGGTACATCAGCCCCATCTCATCCTCATAGACTCTACACAGTCGAAGCGCCTCTTCTTGAGGAATGCTCCAGATTGGATCCTTGTCTCCGTGAATGCTCGGCAGCAGCTGTGCATTACCATACAATGGTGACCTCTGAGGAGATACTTCAGCTGTGCCTGTACCCGCATCTCCACTGCCGCCAGCGTCCTCACCCTGCCCAGTGATTCCCATGGTCTCAAGGCTACTCTTCGCTACGCCGAGGTTGAAAACGTTGCTGGTAGGTCCGCGAAAGCTCGGTTGCTGGGCTTGGGACTGGCTCTTCCTCCGCGCTGAGTTGGGAGACATGGTAGCTGTTGGAGCGCCGGGCGAGGGTTGGTGTCCCGGGTAAGATCCACGGTGAGAAGGGTATGGTGCTCCAGACTGTAAAGATGGGTCTATGGGGGTGTGTGGATGCTGCTGTCCTGTGTGCCCACCCATGTGATTCATCTGTACGCGCAAAGCATTGAAGCCCTCATATAGCTGGTTGACTTGCTCTTGCAGAACGGCTATGTGGTTGCACATTTCCCTATATTCTTGAGAGTCCTTGAAGCCACTGCAGCAATTCGGCGCATAGACGCATTCGAGGTTCAAGTTTCCGCAGCGCTGGCACGGCGTCTGGCCATTACACTTAATCTTCCTCCGCTTGCATTCATTGCAGGCAATGGAGACGTAGCGATTCCGTCGCGCGCGCTGTTGCGGTTGCCCTCCATCGTCGCCGGCTTTGCGCTTGAGGCCATTCGCGCCGTCCTCTTGCTCTTCCTGAGGCGACTGCTGGAGCTGGTGGGCTAGACTCGCGATTTGCGTGACATCGACGTTTGATCGGGTGGCCATGGTCTGATCTGCTGAGGAGTGGACTCGGTCCCCAGCAACGCTGGAAGAAATTCCGCTGTCGATGGCTGCTGGCTCAAGCTTTCGACAAGTGCGGAGAAGTTGTGCGGAGAAAGTGAATTGTCCCGCACCCGGGCCTCCCGGGCACACAACACCAGACGGTGCTACAGTCCTTTCCGCAAGAAGATTTGTGAAGAACGTCTGGCCATGCACATTCGAGAGTGTCCTCGTCACAGGAAGGGCGATGATGCAACGTTTGCTTCAGACATCGAGACATTCACCACGCGACTTCCCGTTCGGGAACTACGGAATTGCTCCGAACTCAGGCAGCTAGAGCTTGTGAATTTCGTCAGCATTGGAACGTCGAGCGCGTTTGCAGTCTCAGAAACTACGTAGTTCCTCTTCTCGACATTACGAGGCAGCATATCACTATGTTTCGCGAAGAAGATTACAGCGACGTTCCAATATCAATCAACGCCGAGCAGAGACGGTAAAGACACGACGAAGTCTCAGCAGAGCCACAGCATTACGAGGAGGCTCGGATGTACTTCATTTGCTTCTCTATGCTTCGCTCTGCATTTATCAAAGCTAGCTTCTCGTGCGTGTGAAGCAGTCTGGTTTCCTTATGCAGCTCGACAACCTGACCACGTCAGCAGCATTTCGAGGAGCCGTAGGTCCTGGCTTAAGAGACTTCAAGCAATGAATGAGATTGCTAGATTCGACCCACAGTGTCGCCACGGCCTTCTTCCGGAATCTTTGTGACGTTACAACGGCAGTGAGCTTGTGAGCCTGCACGTCTGGTGCTCGCATGATCCTGTTCTGGCCCTTTCCGCCCGTTGTCGAAGGTCGCCGCCTGCGGTAGCAGTGCTGGTCCTTTTACTCTTCGCCATTGCGACAGCTAAACGGGACCCCGCTCTTCTCATGATGCGCCTGCACCGGATTGTCCTCCCTGTTGACCAGCAAGCATCTTTTGTCTCAGGACCTCTTCAACCAGCCGAAGGTTATTGGCCTTGCTATTCACAATGTTCTCCAAGTCCTTGATGTTCTTCCCCAGCTCCTCAATCTTGCCATTGTAGAACTTCTCGGCATCGCCGGTGGATTTCTCAACGTAAAAGCCTGTCCCTACATCGACGAGCACATTCTTCTCATCCGCGAGTGTGCCAGGAACGTAGAGTGAGGAAGTTAAGGGAACAAGTAGAGGTTTGTCTGTGCGACAATCAGCAGCTGTGCCAATCTTGCGTAGCCAGACTACGCCATACCTTTCACGCTATTCGCCACGCCATTTGCGATGCTCACGTTGCAGTCGCGAAACTTTTGCTGAGCAGTGCGGAGATTTTGATAGGAGTTGGTCAGGTGTTGGACCTCGTCGTCGAGCTGCTTCTTCACTTGGGACAGCTGTTGCGCCGATAAGGTAGCGAGGTCAACTGCGACGACGATTAGCAAATGCTGAGGCGCAAAGAATGTTCACGGCCTGCTCACTCTGCTGACCCTTCTCGCCGGCCGCCATTTGTGAAGGTGACTGAGACAACTAAGCCAAGACCCAGAAGCTTGCGGCTGCAACGAAATTCGCGGCATGCGGGGCGGCGCTAACCCCTAACTCCGGACCGGCTGTTACCTCTTCAAGGCGTACGTTTGCGAATGCGAACAGTCGCCATTGAATGGACGATCGCTTTCAAAGAGACACGTGGTAAGAGAGGGTGTCTTTGGAGGCATGCGAGTGCAAACCTCTGGATTCCCAGCGACATTGACAAGTCTGGAGGCTCTCGCTCAATGTGTCGGTCGTTCGCTTATCACCTCCCATTGAGCTGCAGGATACTCACAAGGACCTCAAATGCGGTCCCGCCGCCCATGCCCTCCAGACTGCGCCGCCTGTATTGTTGCCGTGCTGCCTGCGGGCTGTAGGGCGCAGTCTTCGGTGTCTGCATGGGGATACACAGCGGCTCACGGCTTTGCTATCAGCCTGCATCCTCGCATAGCGCTAGGCTCGACTCGGATCCCACGCGCGGAAGGCAGCGTGAAGAGACGACATTTTGGAGGCTTGCACTGCGACAAAGGAAAGCGGAAAATCGGATCTGGATGCACATTATGGTCCGGCGATATCGAAGACACGGGAAGAACTTGTGCCAGAGAGAACTCATTGGCGTTGTTGTTGATGTGAAGCGCCAGAATTCAATAATAAGCTCCGTCCAGAAATTGGAAACCGGTCAAGCACGAAGTGTGGAGACGACGCACGGGCCTGCTTTGAACTTGGAACCCGAGTGAGTCACCTCGTGCCAAGCCCTCTCAGCCCAGCCCACCCGCCAGCTGATAAGCAACGATTTCCCCTCCATCTTTCCTTTCTCCCTCATCCACCAACCTTGACACCAACATCGACCAAACATACCGAGACAGTCATTCACCAAAATGGCTGCCTTCGCGTAGACTCCCAGTCGCCCACCATACCGCAACAACCCTCTACCATCAGCCACTCCACTTTCGAAGCGTCTCCGGACCTTCACCACTACGCGCCTCGTCTTCTCGACACTCGCCCAGTGATACCATCTTCGCCGTCCACCACGGCTTTCACACAGCAAACATGGCCTTCTCCATCAGCTGCACCACCAAGGCAAACGCCGCAACCCGTCTTCACGCAGGACTTCGATCTCTTCCAGCCGACCGCGCCCCAGCCGGCTCCTTCTCGACGGGCTCCATCGCTCGATCCGACGCTGCCTCCTTCGTTTAACACCGCAAATACCGCGGCGTTCCAAGCGAACCACAACCTCAACTCAGCTCAAACGAACGAAATCGATACTCGGCTCAACCGTCCTACTACTCGTCCACCCGTGCCTCTCTTCCACTCCAACTCTACCGGAAACCTGGGAAACCAGCAGTATCAACAACCAAACACTGACATTACATCTTTCGCGATGGGTGGCGGAGGTAATTCACATCCACTCTTCTCCCCGGCTTCGTCCTCTCTGACCATGCCGGCAGACATCAACGTAGCCTACAACGGCACGTTCGGCGACCTCAGCTCTGCTGGGGACGCCGACCTGTTCAACTTCAATGGAAGCTATGATTTCCAGCTCATGGACTCCGCGGACAGCTTCACAGCTCCCAACGACGGTTCTGCAAACGCTGGCACCATTTCTCCAAAGGACTTGCTCAACGATTCACTACCACCTTCAACATCTTTTACCAACTTGACCACTCCTGGTTCTACTGTGCTCGAGACTCCCGACGACTACCAGACCTCTCCGCTCTTCAACGACAGCATGGTTGCTGAGCAGGCCGGTTGGTACTCGCTGTTCCCTGAGGACTCCAACGACGCTCCTGCCGCACCACTGATGAAGCGGTCGTCTTCGAGCCAGATCATAGTCCATCCGGGCGGAGAGTCCAACCACCGCAAGCGCAGCTCGACCGCTGCCTCGCCTACCTTTAGCCCTGTAGTCAAGCACTCGCAGGTTGCTGGTGTTGGTGCTCGCAAGCGTGACAAGCCACTGCCACCTATTGTTGTCGACGAGGCCGATCCCATCGCCTTGAAGCGTGCGCGAAATACCGCCGCCGCTCGTAAGTCGCGTGCGAAGAAAGTGGCGGAGCGCGACGACCTTGAGACCACGATTGCCGATCTACAGGCACAGGTTGACTTCTGGAAGACAAAGGCTCACGAATTCGGCTACACCGAGTAAGGGATCGTTGAGCACTGCATGATTTGGATGCGGCGTCTACCTGGCAGGTGACGCTGAGGGGGGATGCTGCTTTTCAGTGTTTTGGACGGAGCGCAATGGGCGCTCTGTCGCCACTGGCCTTTGGCCGCTCCAAAGTTTCCTTGCCGCGATCCGACCTTTCCTGCTTTTTGGCGTTCTGATGTCTCCTGCCTTGAGGCTCCAGCGCCCAGGCAGTACGGATGACTCGTCGCCCATGTGTTATTGGCTTGACTACAGACTGTGATGGAAGTACTGTATCGCGAACAAAAGTTGCTGTCATTATCGAACAAAACCACACTCGTCGTTTGTTGCTCAATATCCATACTACTTCTCAAATTGAACCTTGGTCAGCAGCAGCGCCAACACTCGGCCCGCGCCAACACTCGGCCCGCGCCAACACTCGGCCCGCGCAGCTCATGTGCCTCCTTCCAGAGCGGGAAGGGGCTTGCGAGATACAAGTCTGCTGCGACTCTGCATGTGCGCTTACCAATCCATCCACCTCTCATCTGATGATCAATGTAGCTACAAGTGGTTGTTACTTGTAGGGCGCGCTCTTGCATGGACAGCGAGTTTCGTCCGACGGCGTTCCCACGTTGAGAGCATCAACCCCAATTGGCGCTGCCGGTAGAGCGGCACAAATGCATCGTTGGCGTGCCGTGGGGTACGGGTAAATGGAGTGGGTTCGTCGTTTAAGCTGATGAGAATTGGGTCTTAGCGCGGTTTTGGTCGATGTGTGAGCAATACTTAGGTTGTTGATCGATCTTCTGCGGCGCAGACACCTCCCTCGATGCGAGCGAAGGTGGGACTCTCATCGCTGGCTACTTGACACCACCTGTGGACAGTCGTTACACACCATTGCCCAGATTCTTGTGTATCAAGCAAGAGGCTCTGTGAAGAATGACTGAAAGTGGCGTGGAGATGGAGGAGAAGGACGACGAAATCAACGCGCCTAACATGCCCGCTTCGGATGAGGTTGAATCTACTGCGAGCGATAATGCGCCGGTGGATAAAGAGAATCAGAACCAGGAGGCCTCTCGAAAACTTCAAGCGCCTCCCAATGGTGGTTATGGTGAGGAAGCCGATGACCGCGGTGCTGCTGTATTCGACGTCTTTACTGACTTCTATTCCCAGGATGGGTCTGTACCGCGTACGTCCAAAAACAACCATGGAACCCACGTCTACCTTGCAGAACGCCTGCTAATCATTCCAGCGCAGTTGTTGCGCCCTCATCAATGCGCATACATGGGGTCTCAACTCAAGGTATGTAGGGAGTCGAGTGCTCCTCGCCAACCTCTACTGAGTCTCTCCATCAGTTACGGCGTCTTCCTCGCCCACTATCTCGCCACGAATACCTACCCCGGAGCGACCAGTCTCGAATTCGCCTTTGTCGGCGGCCTCTCCATCAGCTGTGCTATGCTCATCTCGCCTCTGGCGACCTTAACCACTCGGTTGTACGGTACCAAAGTGACACTCTTCACCGGAGTTGTCCTGGAAGCGGGCAGTCTCATCGCAGCTTCGTTTGCGTACGAGATCTGGCAGCTCTTCCTCTCTCAGGGTGTTTGCTTTGGACTGGGAATGGGCTTTCTGTTCGTGGGCTCGGTGGGCATTCCTGCGCAGTGGTTCACGACCAAGCGCTCTCTAGCGAATGGCCTTGCCGCTGCTGGCTCGGGTCTGGGCGGACTGATCTACTCTCTGGCTGCCGGCGCGATGTTGACGTCCATTGGGCTGGCGTGGACGTTTCGGGTCCTGGGGATCCTGGCCTTTGGAGTGAATAGTATCTGCACCATTCTCTTGAAAGACAGGAACAAGGTCATTGGAAGTTCCCAGAGGGTCTTTGACGCGAAGCTCTTTGGTGAGTACACCTAGACGGCAAGCCGTTTTCTGCTCATCTCCACGCTTGTGCTTGCTGACTCTGCTATGTCTGCGTTTTAGCGAGAGCTGAGTACTTACTCCTCTGCGGATACGGCTGGTTCTCGATGCTCGGCTACGTCGTCCTCATCTTCTCACTCGCCAACTACGCAAACGCCATCGGCCTCAATGCCTCGCAGGCTTCCATCGTATCCGCATTGTTGAATCTAGGTCAAGGACTTGGCAGACCTCCCATCGGGTACTTCAGCGACACCATTGGCCGAATCAACATGGCTGGGCTCATGACTTTCCTCTGCGCGATCTTCACCTTTGCAATATTCATCCCAGCCAAGAGTTTCGCCGTCCTCATCGTCTTTGCGATTCTCGGCGGCACCGTCGCTGGAACTTTCTGGGCCACAATCGCACCCGTCGCGGCTGAAGTCACTGGCCTCAAGCACGTCCCGTCGGCGCTGAATCTGATTTGGCTCGTCATCGTCCTCCCGGTGACATTCAGCGAAGCCATCGCGCTGGAAATCGTGAACGGTACGGGGTCCTATTTGGGTACACAGGTTTGGGTGGGGATGATGTACATCGCCGCCGCGATCTGCGTGCTGTTCCTGAGAGGCTGGAAGATTGGAGAGCTGGAGGAGATCGCTCGCCTTGAGGGTCAGGGCGCCGGGGAGGTCAATGCCATGGCAACGGAGAATGACGAGAGTCTGGCACAGGCTGCTAGGGCAACCGGTAGACGTTCGATAACGACAGAATTCTGGAAATGGCGGAAAGTGTAGACCACCAGCTTCGAATACAACTGCGTTTTAGCTCAACTTTTGGCATCCGAAAATAGCGTCATCATAAGCGACGCACATGGCCGCAGGATCTAGTCTTGCTTTTCTTTGCCGTACCAGAAGTCATGACGTTCAGGTAAAAGTAGGTCCGTTTTGCTCACCAGATGTTGTGCCAAATTGCTTCGAAGACACCCTTAGAGAGAAAACTCTGGAGGGCAGTCTTATCCATTTCGACAAGAAAGCAAGCAGTGCTATAGTCTGACTGGGCGATTCCAGCAGCAGTGTTTCAGCGCTGTCAATCTTTAGTGTGAGGATCCTCACTTGTGAAGGGATTTGGTCGACAGGATGGAATGTACGTACTCCGTTGCGAATGTGTCATCTTTAAGTGCAATCGCTACTCCGGCGCGAGATGCTCTGCCTTAGTGTAGCGATATAGCATGTTCAATTGCTGGGCCCTCGACGGCCTGTAGGCCTGGTCCGCAGAGCTTCGTCAAAGCATCGTATCGCTGGCCATCTCCATTGTCAATCGTTGGGATCGTATTGACGAAGTTCGGTATGGCAACCAAAGCTGCGAAGGATCCGGAGGTTCCGCTCGTGACGAGGCATTTTCTCGTTCAGCAATCCTTTGGTAGTCTTGAGATCCATGCCATACACCGAATCGTCCTCGCTAGTTGCGTCTCTAGCTTGTTCTCTTTCGTGGTCTTCTTGTTCTTCGACCCTCGCGTGCATCATGCTCAATGAATTTCGTTGTCGCCGTATCCGGGCTGTACGCTGTCAGCCTTCAGAGAACCGTTCACTGCGCTTGGAACACGACGGTTGCTTTGGTGTGACCATATGTGTTTCGCTTCGACTCGAGGGGAAGCAACATGAGGTGATGTTGTGAGCGCGTTGCAGATGAGTGGGAAATTGCCGACCAGGCTACCGTTGCTTGAGTTGTTGCACACGTCGGAAACACGAGGTCACGAGCGCGCGTCGACCAAACTCGACCACGACTCCAGTCCACATAGAAGATCCTCCCAAATCCACTTGCATCTGGAGATGCAGAAGCTCCTAGCATGAAGATATCGTCTTTGCAACCTGATTTTGTCGACATTCAGATCATATTCTAATAGATGGGCGTGGCCTAAGGAGTGCCAGTCAGTTGCTTGTAATTAATTGTGTCTGGCAGCATTGTATTAGCTCTTAATAAGGCTCCTTTGCGGAGAGGTGCTGATATGTGTCGGGATCCCAGATAGGTCCTCACTTGGTTGCAAATAGGCAGAGACAGGGGATAGCATCAGAGCCCGGCTCTCAGAGCGCCTTCGAGAAAGATTGCTCCACTAATCACTCCGTCGACGATTACGATCCGCTTGCCCATTTCTTCACCAAGAGTCTCAACGCAAGCCTCCCTCACCGTTTGACCCATCCCACTCATACCGGCGCAGCCCAAGCAAATGGCTTTCGCTCCATCTTCGAGAAGTTTCTTCGTGGCAATCTTCATTCGACGGTCGACATCCGGCTTTGGGGTGGTATGAAGCTCATCGGCATTGAGGCCAGTGGTTTTGGTTCCAGCATATCGTCCGGAGTTTTCCGTCCCCAGAAGGTTGGTGACTGCATCGCCGAGGATCCTCTCCCATTGAGAACCGGTGCTGACGATCCCGAAGGAGTCATGGGGGTTGATGGCCTGCAGACAAGTCGCGATGGAAGCCTCGAAGATTCCCGAGACTGGCTTGGCAGAGCCTAGCTTTGCTAACTCGGTTCGCAGCTGAGCTACGAGTGGATGCTCAGAATAGCAACACACCAGGAATGCATCGAAGTCTGGCAGCTTCTGCTTGAGCGCGAGAAGGCAATGCTCCGCCGAGACTCTGGCATCATCTCCGTTGTTAATTGATGGGACCTAGAACACCTCGTTTAAGCCTGTGGATCTCGCGGCAGATGCTAGGGCGAGTGCTTACGCCATCTGGGGCAGTGAAGTATTCGAAATGAGTCTGTGCGGTGTATTACTACTACCGGTGCTTCACCGTGTCATCGGCAATCGATGTTTCTTACAGTGTCGAAATGAAGCCCCGTCACCAGTGGTCTCAAGGCGTCAGTCATGTCCTTGGTGGTATTGGGGTTGATCACGAGGATGGAGTGGTGGTAGCGGCCAACCATGGCAGTCGTCTCTGTTTGCTCGTGCCCCACGATCGGTCAGTCGGCGCCGACTGATGTGAAGAGAAGTTGAACCGGCTTCCTCTATTCTGGCTCACGGGAGTGGAGCAGCTGGGACCCTGCAGGTGTAGTGCGCGCATGCACCGTGTGATGTGCCAAGGTAAGGTACCCTTTCACATTGACTATGGCAAGGATGACCTGCGTCATCGGCTACCATTGAATCGAGTCACGACGACAAAGGCATCGGAACGGTCGACATCGTCAGCATGTGGGTAGATACAGTACAACAGCACTTGCATGCATCTTGGAGCTTCTCAAAAGGGAAGCGGAGGAGACTTCCGCCTCGGCTCGCGCCGAGTGATAGAACTAGCGGCGGCATGTCGTGGTTTGGCGTTGCACCACAACTACCGGGTGGATCTTTCGCTGAACGACGGTGCGGCATGAGGCAACTTACGCGTTTGCATCAGTCGAGACATTATTCGTCCTTCTCGACTTCACCTCCTACATACACACACCTCCCTACCGCTCCAGCCCGCTGTCGCGCCGAATACGCTCGCTGGCGACTACCCCCCGTCCCCAATCTCGGCCGTCGTACGGCATCGAACTGCTCGCTCACTGCAGCATCTCAACAGATTGAGTGTACCACCGACGGCGTAACCACTCTACCCTCCCGTACCTGAAGGACACCACAGACCCGAGACAAAGTAGATCTGAGCAGCAAACATATCGCGGCCAATGACGAGCGGAAGTGAACGTGGGCGACGACGCGAGGAGCGCTGAGCCCATGGCCTCGGACGACCATGCGCACCGCCGCAACCAGTCCGACAACAACGCCATTCCCTTGCGTAACCTCACCCAGAATGGCGCCGATCGGACTGGTGGCCTCTCCAGGCACGACCCGCATCAGAGAAGCCTTAGCGACAGGGCCAGAGAAATGGTCGGCGCCGGCAGCAGAAGTCGTGACCCGCAATACGCACCCATATATAATAGAGAGCGGGACGAGTCTCCAACTCCACGTCCACGGGGCGGTCAAAGAAACACTCCGACGATAGCCTTCGTGACAACGCCGTCTGGCCAGCACGAGCGAATACCAGACGAGGATGACGAGGCTCCGATGTCACCCGTTGCAGACAGAGGTGCATTCCAGTCAGCCATTGGATTCGCGGGGCTCAGCTTCAACGCGCAGCACAGTTCTGCAGAAGACTCAGACGAAGATTTCCCTGAGCATCCCACGTCGATTACAGGACGCTCCACGCCCAGAGCCACGACAAACAGTCTGCCTCCGTTGCTCACGAGTAGTAGCATGGATAGCATGGTGCCTGTGCAATTAGACGACGGTCCTGCGTTTCTGTCGCCAGGCGCTGCTGATGAGGAGGATACGATTCCATTGACTGATTCGTCACGTTTACAACCGTCGAACACGGCGAATACAAGTACTGGCCAGAAGCACGACAGACAACGAAGCCGGGCTGGATCGGCTCTCAGTGGCTTGAGTGTCCGCTTCCAAGGAGCAACACGATCTAGGAGTGGTTCGAGGCTTGGAGATGATCTAGCGAACATCGAGCTGGGCTCCCACAGCTCTTCGGAGTTGAACAGGAGCCCGTCAAGCCGTAGGCCATCTTCATCGGCGATGGGAGATTCTCCATTCACAAGAACGGGCACAATGCTTCGCAAGATGTCACAACGAGTGGTCAACCTCAGCAATGAATCTGAAGTAGTGGAAAGGACAACGCCACGCAAGTCATCCATAATGCAACCAAGTATCAACGACTCTTCGATACCTGAGGCTGGACTAGATGGATCTGCGCCGCCAAAGTCACCTGCGAGCGAAAAAAGACCATCAATCACTGTACCGGAGCTACCTGAACTGCCAGTAATTGAGCGCAACCCACTGAGAGGGAAGAGTCTTGGTATCTTTTCACCAGAGAGCAAGATTCGCAGAGCATTGTTGGGATTTCTGGTGCATCCGCTGGTTGAGCCTCTCATTCTGGTCCTCATTGTTGTGCAAACAATCATCCTAGCCGTCGATTCGGCGCCAAATGTGAATTCCGACCCGCGGCCTACAACCTGGGGCAACAGCTGGACGGACTATCTACTTCTTGGCATCTTCATAGTCTACACCATCGAAATGGGCATCAAAATCGTAGTGTCCGGCTTCATGTTCAATCCAACAGAGTACAGCACCATCGATCGCAGCGTCGGCATCCGGCAGGCTCTCAAGAAGAAGGCAGATGCTCTTTTTGCATTGCATAGAAGGCCATCGACACGGGGTCTCCGAAGCGAGAACCTCAGTCATCACGCTCCAATGCCGGCGCCCGAGTCACTTTTGCGCACTTTTACTACACAGACCTTCGATGACATACCTGGCGGGTCTCGGCAGGCGCAAAAGAAGCGGCTGGCCTACAGAGCATTTTTGCGACACTCTTTCAATCGCCTGGACTTTGTAGCAGTAGTGTCATTCTGGATCAGTTTCGCGCTCGGTGCTGCCGGAGCGGAATCCAGATACCAGATGTACGTGTTCCGCATGTTGAGCTGCCTCCGGATTCTCAGGCTTCTCGGAATTACCAGTGGCACATCTGTCATTCTTCGTAGTCTGAAGCGTGCTGCGCCGACCCTGCTTAACGTTGCATTCCTGATTGGGTTCTTCTGGCTCCTGTTCTCCATTATCGGCGTGCAAACTTTCAAGTCCAGCCTGCGAAGGACATGTACATTCTTGGACTCGGGTAACCTTTCGAACAACACGCAAAACCAGCCTCCCCCGGCAGGAAACTTCCAATTCTGTGGAGGTTGGCTTGCAGACAACGGAACGGCAATGCCTTGGTTGAAAGCGGACGGAACTTGGGGTATCGAAGAGCATAAGGGCTATCTATGCCCCCAAGGCTCGGTCTGCATGGAGGGAGGAAACCCTTACAACAACACGCTCAGTTTCGACAACATCCTGCAGTCTTCCGAGATGGTATTCGTGGTGATGACATCCAATACCTTCTCAGACGTCATGTACTATCTCATGGACTCCGACTATCTGGCCGTAGCCCTATACTTCGCCTTTGGGATCATCTTCCTGACATTCTGGCTTATCTCGCTGCTAATAGCTGTCATCACCTCTTCATTCCAGGTCATTCGGGAAGAAAGCCGAAGCAGCGCATTCATGGCACAAGAAGACCCAGCAGAAGACGAGGAAGAATCTTCCGACCAGGATGGTCCCAAAAGCCAACGTCAACCGGGCTCGACCATCCAGCGCGCATATGAGAAATCGTATTGGGTATGGATTTCCGTTATCGTCTTCGACCTGGTTGTGCAAAGTTTGCGAACGGATACCATGGGACCCTTTCGGCGGGACTTCATTAGCGTCACCGAGGTGATCGTGACTCTGACTCTGTTGTTCGAAATCATCTTCCGATTTGTGTCTGACTGGAGAGATTTCCGACACCATCGCCGGAACTGGTTCGATCTGTTCCTTGCGATCATGACAGCAATCATCCAATTGCCTCCGATCAAAAACTCCGGCGATCCCTACGCGTGGCTCACTATATTCCAGATTCTCAGGATATACCGAGTGGTTCTGGCTGTTCAAATGACCCGAGATCTGATCATGCTCGTTTTGAGGCACGTTTCTGGTGTCTTGAATCTGATTTTATTCGTCTTCCTGCTCACTTTCCTGGCTGCTATCTTTGCCGCTCAGCTTTTCCGTGGACAGCTTCCAAATCTCGATGGCCAAGGCAATTACGTGCAAGTGACCTTCGCCACCATCTTCAACTCGTTTCTGGGCATGTATCAGATCCTTTCGTCGGAGAACTGGACCGAGGTTCTGTTCAACGTGACTCGCTTTGACCACCAATACGGGACAGCTTGGATTGGCGCCATGTTCTTTATCATCTGGTTTACCTTGGCCAACTTCGTCGTGCTGAATATGTTTATTGCTGTCATTCAAGAGAACTTCGATGTTTCGGAAGATCAGAAGCGAATGCAGCAGGTCAGGATGTTTCTCCAGCGAAAAGAACTTGACAGCAACAATGCTGGCGGAACACTGTCATTGTCTTCTATCTTCAAATTCGGGATGACGAAACGGCAGGATCCTTTGGACTATGGCTCGGCTGCTACTGAAATGCTGCTGAAAGATGCAGTAGTCCGCGACTTCTTAGACGAAGAAGTAGAGGAAGATGCAGGGTTGAAACGTACGGGCACTGCTGGGCTGAACTCGGCATCCACCCTCAAAGTGCTCTCACAGCCCGCCGGTTGGGCACAGCGAATCAAGGAGAAGCTGACCAAACGTCTATTCAACCGCGAACCGAATCCATTTTACGCGAAGCTAGAGCTTACAAAACCCTACGAAGAACTCGACCCAAGAAGTCTGGCGCAAGAAGTTGTCAACGCGGCTGAGCAACGTAAGATATCGCAGCGCACGTACTTAAAATTGCACCCGAAATACAACGTGTCGCTCTTCATGTTCAAGCCCGGCAACCGGATACGCAAATTGTGCATGCGCATCGTAGGCCCAGGACGGGGCACAAGAATTGAGGGCGTACAGCCCAATCCCACGATCTGGTATACCTTTTCTGCTTTCATCTACGCCGCTATTGTGGGAATGGTGTTACTTGCTTGCGTTACGACACCACTTTTCCAGCTGGAATACTTTCGAAAGAACGCTAGCGTTAGCGACCGATTCAACTGGTTCGTCTACACTGACATTGGGTTTGCTGGGCTTTTCACGGTTGAGGCTGTCATCAAAGTCATAGCTGACGGCTTCTTCTGGACACCCAACGCGTACTTCCGCAGCTCCTGGGGCTTCATAGACGGGATCGTGCTCATCACGCTTTGGGTCAACGTCTTCACATCGCTGTATGATCCGGGAAGTGGATCGCGTGCAGTCGGTGCATTCAAAGCTCTCAGAGCTTTGCGACTCCTGAACGTCAGCGACAGCGCCAGAGACACCTTCCACTCGATCATCATCCTAGGAGGCTGGAAGGTCCTCAGTGCGGCCTTTGTGTCGCTGAGTTTGCTGATCCCGTTCGCCATCTATGGATTGAACCTTTTCGCCGGCAAGATGGCATGGTGCAACGACTGGCAGCAATACGACGTTCACAACCTGACTGACTGTGTCGGCGAGTCTGTATTCTCGCCCATCGGGTATAACATGCTGGCACCACGTCGCGTTGCGCCTGTCGACTACTCATTTGACTTCGACTCGTTTGGAGATGCGCTCTTCATTCTCTTCCAAGTCGTCTCGCAAGAGGGCTGGGTTGATCTCATGTGGAGTGGGCAATCCATTACGGGCGTTTTTACTCAACCAGCCTGGTTCTCGCAGCAAGGCAATGCGGTCTTCTTCGTGGTTTTCAACTTGCTTGGCGCAGTCTTCGTGCTTACACTTTTCGTGTCCGTGTTCATGCGCAACTACACAGAGCAGACCGGAGTTGCCTTTTTGACATCAGAGCAGCGCTCGTGGTTGGAGCTGCGGAAGTTGCTACGACAAGTGGCGCCTTCGAAACGACCGAATCGGCAAAAGCAGCGGCAAAGCTGGCAGGAGTGGTGTTACCGTCGAGCTGTCACCAAGAATGGCCGCTGGCAACGGACTATCACCGGGATCCTAATCGCGCATTTGGTCCTCCTGTGCTTGGAGTGGTATCCAGAACCTGAGGCTTGGGAGCTCACCAGAATGTTTGTCTTCTTCATTTTCGCGCTGTTCTACATGGCCAACATCATCATTCGCCTGGTGGGTCTGTCCTGGACTCGATTCCGCAGGAGTGCCTGGGACGTCTACTCCATGATTGTCGTTGGTGCTACTTTTGTCACATCCATCATGGTGTTTTGGAACATTACCAACGGCGCATACACCCAGACGCATAAGCTGCTTTTGGTGGCGGTCGCGCTGCTGCTCATTCCTCGAAACAATCACCTCGATCAGCTGTTCAAGACAGCCGCCGCGAGTTTTAGTCCCATCGCAAACCTGCTGGCCACCTGGTTCGTGCTGTTCTTGGTGTACGCCATTGCATTCACCCAGACCTTTGGTCTGACACGCTTTGGCGCCAACGAGACAGACAACGTCAACTTCCGCACGGTACCCAAAGCCCTCATTCTCCTTTTCCGACTCAGTGTGGGCGAGCAGTGGAATCAAATAATGATGGACTTTGCCAATATCGAGCCCCCCTACTGCACGTTGTCGGAAAAGTACTACGAGGGCGACTGCGGAAGCAAGCAATGGGCGTATGCACTTTTCGTCTCCTGGAACATCATCAGCATGTACATCTTCGTCAACCTGTTCATCTCATTGATCTACGAGAGTTTCTCGTACGTCTATCAGAAAAGCAGCGGCCTTTCCATCATCAGCAGGGAGGAGATTCGACGATTCAAGCAGGGTTGGGCAGAGTACGACCCCGACGGGACTGGATATATTTCCAAGGAAGTTTTCCCGAGATTCCTGGGCGAGCTCTCCGGTATCTTTGAGATGCGCATATACGACGGCGACTTCACGATCAGCGCGCTTCTTGAGGACTGTCGCATTGGCCCACGGAGAGCGTCGCAATTACACGTGGATGGAGAATCCTCAAGTAAGGGTGAGATTGACATTGCGAAACTGAACCGGCGACTGGCAGAGCTCCCGATTGAGCAGATTCGAAAGCGCAGGCAACGAATGAACACGTTCTATGAAGAAGTACTGGTGTCTGCGGACCCTGATCGAGGCATTGCCTTTAACGCACTGCTGATGATTCTGGCGCACTACAAAGTAATCAGTGACAACAAAGCCTTGAAACTGGAGGAGTTCTTGAGGCGGAGGGCCCGGCTGCAGCGTGTAGAGGAAGCGGTCAACCGCAACATTGTTGTGGGCTTCTTCGACACGCTATATTGGTCACGGAGATTCCGCAGACGACTGGATGCGAAGAAGGACGCTCGGATGACTGCGATTCCTACTTTTGGCGTTCCGGAGATCCTGGTGCAAGATGAAGGTGGGGATGATGTGACGCAGGCGAAGAAGTTTGACGTTCCTTCCGTCAGTGTGACTCCCGTCGACTACGATGCGATGGACACTGCGGAGTCGTTGGGTGTAGGACGAGCGCCAGCCAGCGGGGCGGAGGTCGATGACGGCTCACCATCGGTGTCAGGCATAAGGAACCGGAGCAGCTCGATCCAACTCTCGCCGGTGGCGTCTCCGACGAGAGAAGAGTTCAATCTCTCTCCTCACCATCGGCCGTCACCCTCGAGCAGCAGCATTCAACCGGACTGGCACTTCGCGGCGGCGATGGAAGGGGCCAGCAGAGTCTCACCTCCGGGCAGTCCGAGACTGAGCGACACGGATGCTGAAGCAGCGCGCAGCCGAGCCAATAGCGCGGTAAGCCAACACGAGATGATGGGCATGTTCCAAGACTCGGCGTGGGGGCAGAGTATGAGTCGAAGCTTCACACAGAAGCGACCGAGCGACCGCAGGCCGTCGTAATGATCAGATGGCGATATGTATGTGGATAGACGGAGCTCAGGCGTTTTCGGACTTTGGGATGGGAGAGAGGGGTCGAGCGCGACACGATAGATGTACACATGCGAAAGGCCTTGCAAGAAGAGGCTACGTCTGGGGTCCTGGATAGGACCTGAGAGAGGAAGGAGGAACCTACCTTACCTTAACACGGGGCATTGGGGACGGGAAAGCATAGCGGCGGTGTTGTTGTTGATTGATTTCGTGGAAGAATGATACCAATGTCCTCCTGTTGAGATGATGAAGCGATGGCCCTAAGTGCCAATCTAATTATACCTAGCTGATCCCCTCACCGCATCATCTCACCTCACATGGTGCCGGAGATGGCTCCTGGCACAACTCTGATAGATTACGATATTCTCAGACATCATCAAACCCCGTCACGAGAATCGCAATCCGCGACGCATCTGTCCGGCCATGTAGCATCCTCTTCTCCGCCACGGCAAGGTCCAAAGACCAGGTTTTCTCTCTCTCTCTCTCTCTCTCTCTCTCTCTCTCTCTCTCTCTCTCTCTCTCTCTCTCTCTCTCTCTCTCTCTCTCTCTCTCTCTCCGAACATACCCGAGCCCGACTGCTTTCTTTGTGTGTCCGGCGAGCCCTCGAGCAGCGGTATCGTAGAATGACCGTCGTATAATAATCACAGCGACGGAGGCTTCATCCGGAGACATGTAGCGTTCCGCACGAGATGATGCCATAGTAGTGTAGGGGGTGTGGTTGCACCGTGGTCCGGCACCGTAGTGTGTGGTGTGCAGTGGAAGAAGCCAGACGGATCTCCAGTTTCACAGGCGTCACAGGACACGAACCACTTCCGCGCGACGACTGTGGACGCTCTTTCATTCGTGGGAACGCTATCACATCACCGACATATTCAGGGGGCCATGGAGGGGGGAGGGGATAGGAGGAAGTGGTAGGTAGTGTTATTATACCACATCTTAACTTCCTCCTTCCCCTTCTCCTCCTTCTTTCTCTTCCCCCTTCCCCCCGTGTAGATATCCACCAACGAGGTGGCGCGCTTCCCCCAAACCACCAACCCAATTCCTTTGCTTCGTGCGCGTGCGCGTGCGCGTGCGTGTGCGCGTGTGCCAGGGCTGAGCCTCACCTCAGGGATATACGAGCGCGTTTCATTTCCGGACTACTGCCCGGCCTCTCGCCGGCCACACACAAGCACAAGATACCACCTCATCATCATCACCCGTTTGTTGCGCCTCGCGTCGCCAGCCTCACTACCTTGCCTTACTCGACGCCTCTTGCACCACCACGCGCAGTTCTACATACATTTTATTTTCTGGTGGAAATATCATCATTGTTAGAGGATATCTATCACCTGTCGGTCTCAAAGTTTAGCGTCGAAAGACATATACTCATCGAGCACACGGCACCATCCATCGCGATTACGATTACGAATTGTCCCAGGACGACAAGACACCTGGCCAACCAATCAACCCACTACGACCTAGACATCGACGACGAAAAAGTGGAAAAAGGGAGCGAAAAAAATGCCTTCTTCCAAATTCCAAGAACTCCACCCAAGGAACTCCCTCCGCAAACTCCGCACCGCCTTCTCCTCCTCCTCCAACAACACAACAACAACAACAACAACATCAACATCAAGCACAACCTCATCCTCATCGCCCAAAACCCCAGCCCCGGCCCATTCCTCCTCCCCGCTCTCGGCACGCACCACCGCCTCCTGCTTTTCCATCCTCAGCTTCAGCAACATGTCCAACATCTCCCTCAACAGCAGCACGCGCATCATCCAGCGCCAGAAGAGCATGGTCGAGGTCGAGCAGGAGGAAGAGCGCACTCTGGTCAATGATTTCTTGATCTCCCTCGTCGAGCCGAGACCGAGCATCGGGCCGGCGTGTGGGAGTATCGAGGCTGTGCTCGACGGGAGTGCTTGATTGATTGCGGGAGGATTTTTTGGAGGAAGCTTGTTGGGTTGGCATGGATGAACGGCTGATGATATTGGGAAGGCAAGGAAGTAGAGCGATGCTCGATGCGATGCGATGCTCGATGCGATGCGATGCTCGATGCGATGCGATGCGATGCGATGCGGAGTATCTTTGGGGTGGAAGGCTGATGATGCGATTCTTTTCTCTTCGAAGTCTTTTTAGCGCTTTGGGATGGATTGGCCATGTTTCCTTTGCAGTCAAGATTGGGTGGTGTGGGGACACAGGATGGCGCTGTGGATGGTAGGTGGGAGTGGGCATGGCTGGCGGGAGTGCGTGGCGCGCTCGGCGACGATGGCGGTCGAGTGATCGAGGCTTTGGATCAAGATGCTATATTACCATGGCATTGCATGAGATACTATGTGCCGATGTTCATATCTTCGCATGAGACGTCGTCCGTCCTTATGACTGAACATCCCAGCCCACTGTGCCAGATAGTCACAGTCGTTGCGTCTCAGAATCGTTCTGTACATTCGCGGAGAGGGTATCAAGGGAAAAGCAGTCCAGCAACCCGTTTGCGAAATTTCGGCAGCTAAGACATCTACGCTTGCGCATACTCGTCTGCATCGATTGGGTCGCCCCGCCTCTGAGCCAAATAGATTCTGCCGCTCTCGTAAACACCGAGATACAGTCCGCTGCCTAGCATGGTCCAGACGCCTCGCAAAGCTCCGCCGCGGAACAGCCCTTTGATGCCGGACTCCTGCATCACTTCTCGCGCCACCTGCAGACTGGATCTCCGCGCCGGTTTGGCTACGACCTGCTTGATGCTCTCCAATGGCTTCTCCTTGACGGCCTTGACCGTCTTGCCAGTGGCATCCACCAGTGCGTCCTTGGCAGCCTTCGCGCTTTCACTCGCCGTGGCTTTAGTGTCGTCTTGACCAGTCGCTACCGCTGCAAGCATTATCCGCGTCTTCACGACGTCCACAGGCGTAGTCACCACCGCCGCAATACTTCCACCGGTGCCCGCGCTCACAGCCGTGATCATTCCACTCTCCAAGAGCGTGTTTGTCCTGATGCCCCGCTCGTTCCGGTATCGTCTGATACTCTCTTTTATCCTCTCGAACATGGGGAATTGCAACGCGGTGAACGGAAGGTTCCGGCCTGCGAGTGCCGTATAACCTCTCCATAGAGCGAGTGGGTTCGATCGAAAGCGCTTCATGGTCTCCAAGGTTGCGTTGACCCTCGGGCGATCTGTTTTGGAGTTGTCCACCATCTGAGCGTTTTGTTTGATCACTTCTGCTGGTGTCAAGATCGCGCAAGACACCATTTCTGCTGTCCCAGACGCCGCGGCATGGATCAAGGGTACGGGAACAAGGGGCTTCGAGCCGATGGTTGGGTTCGCATCGGATAGACTGGATTTCACGCCCTCATAAGTGGTGAAGAAGGCTCCCGAGGACGGCAATGTGGCTATTATAACACTGCCGACTCCTTGGTATACGCCCCGAAACATGTTCGGGTTGAACCCCGTGTTGGCGCCATTGCGGTATAATTTGTGGTAGTCAGGGCTTTGCAGGCGGGTCTTGATTGTGTCGAGCGGATCTGTAAGTGTAGACTTGTCAACGTCGAGTCCTGTGTCGAGGCGGCGAGAGGACCTGATGCTGCAATGTGGAACTATGAGAGTTGTACTCACAGACGATGAGATCTACTGTGAATGCCGCAAAGGCTCCGGCTCTTCGTACAACAAGTCAGTGACGTGCTCTATCTCTGCCATCGGGCGGTATCGGGGAGAGTTGCAGGAGGATGGCTCACATCCAGATATCCGCATTGGTGTTGTTGGACATCTACGAGGAATGGGGAAGTCGAGGCTGGAGAATGAAGGATGCTAGGAAGGAAGGTGGATGCCCCAGAAGGAACAGCAGCCGTGCGGGCGGGCGTGGGATGATGCGCAGTGATGCGAATGCATTGGACGCTTGTATCTAATCGATCTCGCAATCTGATAACGGTCTCTAGCTCTGGGCGATGACGCCGACGCCGTCTGCCGGCGCGGGACGGGCCTTTGACAGCTTCGCGCCAAGACATTGGAAAGTGAATCTCGAGCTTCACGTCTTGTTCCCTTTTGCCAACTGCTATGTCACCGAGTACCAATGCAAGCACCATCGATACTGTGTCTGCGGTCGTCAAGATCATTAGCATGTTTTACATCATCTGCATCTCGAAGATTCTACGCGTCAACGCCTGATCGCCGTCCTCCACCTCCGCGACCAACTTCAAACGTGCCTCCTCCATCACGAAGCGTAGCGGACTCTCAGCCCGGCTACCTCAAGCGCAGCAAACAAGATGACGACGAAGACTTCATGCCAAAGCCGCTCAGTCGTCCCATTGGCATGCCAAATCCTCCCAAACCAGGCGAAAACATGGGCCTCGACAATCGCTCGCTCGCACAACGAAGAGATGACTTCGTCGATTACGACAAGCATCTGGAGCGAAGATCAAAGATGACGAAACAGATCTCAAAACCTTATTTTCGAGACTGGAGTAATTTACGATTCCACAAGGGCAAGATTTTCAAGAGCAACGAAAGGCTGTTTCGCGGAGACGTGAGTTTGTGGTTCCCCAATATCTATGGGAAGACGCTACGAAAGGATGCGCGGAGGAAGGAGCTAGAGAGAGGAGATGGCTACAAAGGCTTGGGAAGGAATACATGTGATGTGATGCACGGCAAAGTTTCGGTGGTCAGCATCATGTCGAGCGTGTGGGCACAGGCCCAGGTGGCTACATTTTGCTCTCGGGAGAGAAATCCAGAGTTACACGAAGCGTTGGAGCAGAACAAGGATGTGGCGCAGATGGTCTGGATCAACCATGAAACCAACTTCTTGAAATGGTGGTTGCTGCAGATGTTTCAGGGCAGCCTTCGGAAGGGAAAGAGCTTGCAAGAACAAGAAAGGTACTTCATGGTACGAAGAGGCGTGAGCGATGTCATGAAGGAGGCTATTGGGATGCTGAACGACAAAGTCGGATACGTGTATCTGGTGGATACAGAATCTAGAATACGGTGGGCTGGCAGCGCCGACGCGGAGCCAGGTGAGCGCGAGAGCCTGGTCAAGGGTCTAAAGCGCTTGGTGCAGGAAGCACGCACGCCCAAGAGCGAACGAGTCGATTCGAAGCAGCAGTTGATGGCCGCCGTCGACGAGATCACGGAAGAGACCAAGGCTGCAGCCCCAGGCTAAGGAAAAATGCATCTAGTGGTGGAAAGTCGCCACACCACTGTTCGCTTCGCTCCGCTCCGAAATCCAAAGAGTAAGGCGACGTTGCCGCGGGACTGGTGACACACTTACAACAGCGCGGCTCCCAGTAAGAAGTCGAAGAAAAGCTTAGTCGGAAAAAGGTCAGACTCGCCTTCGAGTGTACAACAGAATGATTCGCTAGCACCAGTGTGTTATTGTCCGTGATAATGGACCTCGAGAAGAATGCGTTGTTGGAGGGAACAACATGCGGTATTCCCAGATCTACGCCATCTTTGTTGAGATGTGTAGGCCGTAACCTCCTACGACTGCGGCATACCAAACGTCCTCGATGGCTGCTGCTTTGGTTCAAAGATGAGTTATGCCTCTCAATCACAGGCCTGAGGGCAGCAGAGTGCGACACGGGCGGTGTGAAGCTGAAGCTTGCGCCGACTCCGTTCGTACGGATGGTCTACTTCCGGAGCCTCCGAGTTGAGACAGGATCGCTGCTGGGGTAAGAAAAGACCCGGTTGGGATACTGTTTCCCGGTGAGAGATTGGCCAGGGATACGATCTGATAATCCTCGAATGTAGCAATATGCTGCTTCGATGCCATTGATGAGCGTTGCTGGATTTTTCATGTACCATGGAATCTTTGCTCGTCACTCGGCCCGCGTTTTGGGGTTCACAGGATCGACCGACAGCCAGCACTCATTGTGCTGTGCCATGCCGCCCTCGTCCAGGCTGCATTAGCGTATGGCCAAGAACATCCCGTCCCGCTCCATCGTGCCGACTTCACCTCCAACCTACTGTACTGGTGACTTCAGCTCGATGTTCTCGTTGGGCTAGCGCAAAGTTGGCAATCACCCCAGCGAGCGTAATCCTGGGTCAACAACCAAGGTAAACCTCCCCCAGGACTGCCCCGGTCTACAGGTCAGGTCCGTTACACCCCTGCCACCTCATGGGCCGCTCGAATCCTCACCTGCTCTCGAGGATTCCGAAATTTGTTTCTTTCGAATCATTATCGCCTTATTGGAATAGATACCCGAAACGAGCCTCTGTCTAATTCCATCGCCATTCGAGCCAAGATCCCGAAGGACCTGCAGCACCCGCCTCGTAAAAAGCTCATGAAGAACACAAACCTTGGCTTTGTTCTGACCTCCTTTAGCGTATCTTCGCCGAAAGCACGTTGCTGCAGGGTATCTTGCGCCGAAGTTCTCGCGATCTGACCCCTTCGTCACAAGAGCTTGCTTGCCCGGAGCATTGGCTCGGAGTTAGCTTGCATGTCGCCAGTCCAGCAGTAGCGAAAGCGTTAGAACCTCTTTTCTCAGGCTCTGACCACTCCGCGGCGATTTTACAGAATCTGGTGCCGATTACTAAAACCTAGGCGCGATTTTCTATAATCATATACTGACCGCCTATAATCGATTCTCAAAATCGACTCGCTACTCGCTGGCCTTTTTAGGCAGTTATAACCGGGAAATCGATCTGATTTTGAAAGCGGCCCTCGACACGATTCTCCAGCCGATTTTGCCAGCCCTGCTCAGCCCTGCTGACCACCCATGATCAGGAGGTTTTAGATAATCGGAGGGATTCACGAAATCGACGCCGATTTTACGAAATCGCCGTCGGAGTGGTCAGAGCCTGAGTCAATCTTCGGGTCGCTTTTCGGACAGCGTCGAGGCACTTGTATCGATCGCCCTTGTCCGATGATTCAACACGGCTGCCGTATTATCTGCAATTGGCCTTTTTGACATGTTCCACTAGATGGCTTTGGAGCCCCGGAGAAGCCTCCCGTTTCGACGGCCTTCGACTAGGCGCCGACAGTCAAATTCACCCACGGCAAAAAGCAGGCTTGAGTCTTCATCAAATGCCGAATGTTCTGGGACTGCTCTGCTTCCAGCACAAAGGAGCAAAGCCTCAATCGCCATCGTAAAAGCCGGGCCTGGACTCCAGCGTTGAACCCACGTTCTGAGCCACATTGTGACATCGTTTTACCGCGTCCAATCTGACTTCGTCCTCGATACTGATACGATATCTTCTTTGCAAGAGTGAAGGCTTTCCACCGCTAAAGCATAGCAGAGGGCTACCTTTGGCGCGTTCCTTATTAGAAGCGTACAGAAGGCCCTTGTCCCTACTGGAAGGGTAGAGCACCATTGTCGGAAAGGCTTGAGAGCCATCGACCTGACTTAAATACTTGGCGAAAGACCTCGCGCAACCTAAATCTCGATCTCCAGACTACGCGCACGGACCTCTGACCTGAGCTCCACATCTTCCGCGCCCTCTGAGAATTCAGCTGCTCGGCTGCAGACGCATTATTAGACGCTTCCAAGAAGGTGTGCACCTCAGACACAGACTGACTTGCGAGACGGTAGCGCCAGGACTCTCGGCGCCGTTCAAAACAACACATCACGGACTGGACCTCAGCTGCCGATCTTCAAGCTCTTGACTCGGAGCACCATTTGCTTCGAATCCATTCACCTTGTCGACGGTCTTGTCGTACTAGCTGGGACTCTACCTTCTTACGTCAGCCCTCCACCGTACTTCCGTTGGGGCTTTATCTTGTACGTCTCCGAAGCCGCGCTCCAGCGCATGCCCACTATGTGCTTACGCATTGTCATTCTGGGCGTAGAACCCAAGTTAGAATGAGAAGCCAGAGCAGGAAGGAGAGCGGTCCTTCAGAAGTCGACATTGACAATCGCGGCTGCGTCGATGACCTCCTATCGTCTCTGCAGAATGGGACATCGCGGCTATCACACGTGCTCCAGCGACAGGAGGAAGCCACTGGTGTCTCCATGTCCACCGCCAAGGGGTTAAGCATGGAAGTAGATCTAAGCACCGGCGCAACCTTTACATCGACAGCGCCCGGAGCGACTATTGCAATTCTTCGACCGGGGCATTTGGACAGTGGACACGAACAGGAAGATGAGGACTCATGTGGAGATGACCTCACCGACCGTCAGACCGAGGAGCGTACTACCAAGTCACTGTCACCCACCTCGACCGGGTTGGAGTCGAGTGCATCTCAAGCTAGACCACACGCTGCGGTGGAGAAGCGATACCGACGCACGGTCAACACGAAGCTCCAACAGCTCTATGCTTCGATTCCCGCTTCTGGCAAGTTTGAGCTGAAAGACGAGCATCAGCAAAATGAGATGCGAAATGTGAATGCAGGCGAACAAGCGGCCAAGCCCGCGGTTCTAGACAAAGCCATTCAATACGTTACGCACCTCATCGACACTTATCACAAGTATGACCAGGATATCCAAGAGCTCCGAAAACAAGTTCGGGAACTGATAGATGAGGATGGTGATGGCCAACAGGCCAACCCAAATCATTACGAAAGGCCTGTCGACATGCGCTAGCGAGTTCGGTCTTATGGAACCACGATGGCGTCTGTGGAGCAAATGATGCCACAGCAGCAGTCATGCACAAGCTTCCCAAGGCATGTGGTCTACAGCTTACTTGAGAACGACTTGATCTACGCCCGGATATCAAGATCAATCATTTCGAATTCTAGTCTTCTCGGACGGCTGAACTCGCTCCGTATGAAGACGCCGAATGCTTAATCATCTTGCCGTCTCGGACATTGGGGAGATGCAAAGCAAAAAGAAGAACCGGACGATAGTCCACAAGACGGCGCAGTTAACTGTCGACTAACGCACCACAACGCTTTGCACGGCGGTCAACTGAATGTTCGCCGTCCAAGGAAAAGCGAACTCCAAGCGGATAGCACTACTGCCGGGCCCGTAACTTTTGTAGTTTTACTAAGTATAAGCGAGACCGAACCTACAAGCTTCATAATAACCCGACTGCGGCGCCATATCGCTAGCTGAGGTCCCTGTGCGCAGGTGGTGAGACTGCCACGTGGATCGATCGACGCTCTCTCCTCACTCACCACGGTCCACCACCACCGCGCACAGGCCGTACGGTCGCGTTTCCGAGCTCGTTTCTCGCATGCAGGCTCCAGACCGCTCCGACTTTTGGCTAAATAAGGGCATCTCCCCCTCTCTGGGCATAGACCATCAACTTCACGAACGCCTTACTCGGTCGATGTCCTAATAGCATGTGGATCGCGATTGCATTTCTGGCGAGGTTCGAAGGTTCTCATTCTATTGAGCGGGCAAATAAAATCTCAAAGGAGCCCACGATAGGACATACGTTCGAAAGAGAGAGAATATCGTATAGGAAGAGCTAGCTAGACACAACAAAGGCCGAGGGGGAGGCAGGACTGATTGACAGATATTGATTAAGCTGCCCTTAAACTTGAAGGGATTCGGAGCTGCCCGGAGCCTGGGTGCATTTCTCGTCGTCGATATGCCTCGTGTCCGTGGTGGTGGTGTCCGTCGCGGTGAGACAGGCCGCTAGGGGTCCCGCTCTCGAGGCCGTCACGTCTCGTAAAGAGCACACCGCCAACGACGACGATAACATACTCCGCACAGAGTTCTCCCACGACGACGACGAGAATATTGACGTGCCCATTGCGCACGAGCACGCCTTGTGAAATATCTGCGGGGGATCTGCCGCGGTGCTCGCCGGGCATTGTCGTCCGGGATCGAACCTTCCTGCGGAATATCCTCGACACATCATCTCATCGCAGTCCAAGGCGCGAGAGCCTCGTGTGGAAGCGCTCGAGGCAAACTCAATACCAACGCCAGACCGCCAATTGAACAGGCTTGCAACAATTTAAAAGCCGATTGCATGGCCACGTGGACCGGCACTTCATCTGACCGGACCCCAAATCACGGTCTATCATGCAGGGCATCCGTATCTCGAGCACCGGAGATTCGCAAGTCGAGGCCCAGCGCAGACTCGCGGGAGACTACTGTCGAAAGTCGGTGTCTTGAGGTTGACACAGCGTATGGTCACGTTCCGTGGCCCATTACGGATTACAGCCCATTGGATGCTAATCTTTGACGGGAGACCAGGCCTTATTTCTAGTGCGAATGGGCCACCGAACGTGGTCAGGACGCTGTACCTGCAGAGAAGGCGCCAAACATGGGATCAATTACGCCGCGTCTGCCGGGGTGAGACCCGAGGTTAGCTCCAGTCCCTGGTCTGTATGTGGCCATGTCCCTCGAGAGCTACAGTTATTACTCGGACATCGAAAACTGAGCTCCTTGATTGGCCGGCCGGTAAGACATTTCGCAGCGGGCAATGTCTTCGACCTGACAACCTCTCGATCTCTCTGTCTGTCACATCGCTGAGACCCGTATGGACTATAGCTACTGCCGCTTTGATAGGGGGCGGGAAAATGATAACAAGAGGCGGTGGGCATTCAAATCAAAACCGCTGCGGCTTTGTTAAGAAGTTGGTAGACTCACATGCGCTAGACGAGGGCCCTTGTTGCGTCCGAGCTTTCGATGTCCGGGTAACTTCTACTCCTCGAGTCCTAGGTAGCGATATGCATATATTCGGAACCAACATCTTGTTAGTCTATCTGGAGGGAACGGTCCAGCTACAGTAAACTTTCACCGCCTCGCAAGATCTCCTTGTCCCCAGAATACATCAACCGAGGTGCGATCTTCCTCTGCAAGACAAGGCGTAGCGACAAGAAACGATCATATCTTACGCCAAAACTCACTCGAGGCCTTTTAACCGGAAGATCGGGGCAGCAAAATGGAATTGCAAACGGAGGCGCAGGCCTTTGGCATAGGGTCGCATCAGGCATATTTTCCTCCAATGTTTGGTTGTGAGTACACCGAATCTGGTTCAGTGAGACGCATCTGATATCGTTTGTAGCAAACGAGATCTTCGCGCCAGACGAAGCAGGCCTTGAATTTCTCTTCTCGCCTCACGGCGTTTGGTCTGGCGACTCGATGTTCCCCCAAACCAACTGCATACCTGAGATTATCGAACCCATGCCTTTCAGCCCATACGACACCCCGATCACGTACAACCACGATACATTCAGGACTGCACAATCTGTTCCCAGACCAATGGAAGACTCAAGGCCCTGCGTTGTGGCAGGTCAAAAGCGGAAGAGATCGAGCACAAGCAAAGCTCCTAGCAAGAAGCAGCCGGTATTCCTCTCGACAGGACGTGCACTCATTACGTTGCTTTTGAACTAAAGGTGGCATTACAGAGAATGGAGAATAGCCCACGATGTGGTCCGCGGGAAGGCTCAGGCGATGCTCCTTGCAATCCTCCCAGCACCAGAGCTCACTACGCCGTCGGTAAGTTATCGATCTTCGACGTATCAATCAGGCATGACGCCCGCTAAAGCTCTTACCCTCCAGAAAAGCGATACCGCTCAACACTGAACGATCGATACGCGACTCTGGCACGCCTCGTGTCCCAGCCCGAGACTCAGGAGATCTGCAGAACGATATGCAAGGACTGGGAAGTGCCATCGAAGCTCGACAGCAGTACTTGCTCCGGTAAAGACAAGGACCCGACGAAGCGCCAGAGCAAAACGACGACGCTCTCCGTGGCTATCGAGACGATTGCAACGCTGGATCAATGTTGCACACAGAAGGCCAAGGAGCTACAATTCCTACTACAGCGACTCAAGGGCATCGCCCATTCGGTACCGGCTACCTCCGACGGACGTCCGGGACTCACGGAGACGCTGCGCTGATATCTCAGTACTGGCGATAACTGCTAATGGTTTAGATACAATAATACCCAGGGACAAGGTGGATACGATTGTTTATATACGTGCTAAATGGTAAAATTTTGACCAAATAGGGACTGTCACCATTGCTCTGTCTGTGCTAGCACCGGGGCTCTCGCGCTCTTGCATGTATCCCGGGTATTATTGTCTAGTCAAATGGGACGTCACGCAAAGTTGGGTCGCCGTACCAGTGGTCATAGGAGGTTCCATCGCATCGCCTAATGAGACGGTCTAGGAGAATTGAGCCAAAGTTTCGAGGGACCAATATACCGCTCATGTTCTTTACATCGTGACAGAACACAGCGTAACTTATTACGCACCCGGTCAGACCGCGAGCGATGAAGATCCACTACACACATTTGGTCCCGTCCAGTGGATATCTTCCGACCTGCGACTGAACGTTCTCGGGATGCGCGAAGACCATGACGTACTTCATGCTCGACATGCCGAACGTCATTGGCATTGCATCCTCCATTACGCCCGGAAAAGACCTCTACATGCTGTTATCCACACAGACAGCTCATCGCGGAAGTGGGACCTCTCTTGCACACTATCATCCCTCTGATTCCCGATTGGCATCACTATGCTCCGACTCTGTACCCGTTCTGTACCCACAGCTGGGCCTAGATCTGCCTCATTAGCAGTAACAAAGCCGGCATTCACAGCTACGACACAGTATAGTGGTTTTGCAACAGGCACGCCTACCGATCAAGCAGTCCCTCCGAAGAAGCGAATTCGCAATTGACACTCCACCATGACAGATCACTCCTCTCACTCCCACTTCACCGCTTCCCCCCTCTTCGATGTCTCCCACGTAACGGCTCTCGTGACGGGGGGAGGGACGGGCATTGGCCTCATGATCTCCCAAGCACTAGTCGCCAATGGGGCAAAAGTCTACATCACCGGGAGAAGACGGGAAGTTCTGGAGAAGACGGTTCGGCTCTACAACACTGGCCCGGGCAGTCTGCACAGCATCGTCGGCGATGTGAGCAGTAAAGAGGGAGCGATCAAGTTGGCCAGGGAGATTGGAGAGAAGGAGGGTGGAGGGATACAGCTGCTGGTGAACAATGCCGGGATTGCGAGGGATGACAGTACGAAGTTCTGTGAGTGAGGGGCCCCCAAAGCTGGTCGACATGCAATCGATGGCGAAGCTAACTGACTTGACTTGCCGGAATAATAGCCAACGTGGGCTCACCAGAATCCACGGACCCGAAAGCCATCTCGGAACACTTCTTGCAATCTGAAGAGCAAGGCTGGACGAGCACGTTCCAGACCAACGTCATGGGACAATACTTCACGAGCAGTGAGTCCGTCCAACCAGCTCGACCTTTCCAAAAAAAAAAAAAAAAAAAAAAAAAAATTAGAGATCATATCACCCTGACGATTTCAAACCTCCCAAAGTGGCACTTCTCCCCCTCTTGGCCAAGGGCAATCAGAGGACCCCGGGCTACACTTCTTCCGTCGTCAACGTCAGTTCCATTTCCGGAGCCATGAAGAGTAGCTCCATGGGCCAATTCGCCTATGCCAGCTCCAAGGCAGCCTTCACGCACCTGTCGCGCATGCTGGGCACGACGTTTAAAGACGTCAAAGTGCGAGTCAACGTGATCGCTCCGGCCGTGTTTCCCAGGTAAAGTAGTCCTGGTCCTCGGACGACTGATCTCTTCTGAGAAATTGAGCTGATTTGGAGGTTTTTAGTGAGATGACGACCGGCAGTAGTGGCGAAGATAACAAGTCCCAAATCGATCCTTCTTCCCAGAATCCCGCTGGGAGGAAAGGGACTGAAAGCGACATGGCGGGTACGATACTCTTCTTGGCTGGGAAAGGAGGCGTGTTTTATAACGAGCAGATCAGTGAGTCTCTCGTCTTGTCGGAATGTTCCAGATCCAGATCCAGATCCAAATACTAATGCTTATCCCTCAGTGTATCCCGACGGAGGCCAAACGCTTGCAGTCCCATCTGTGAAATAGACACCCTCTCTCTCTCTTGCAGCTGATGAGGTCTGAGCCCAAGGGTGTAGAGATGTATGTACAAACAGCAAACAAATCTGGGAAATGAAGATGTGTGAAGATGTGGAATGTATGGGCGCGTGAATCGCTATATCGAAAACCCGCTGCTCCTGATGCTTGCAGAATGTACACCGGTCCATCCCTGTAATGCTTCTGCCAGCGAGCATGCTTTCCTGATCTTATGCAGCATTCTAAACAGATCCCCCTCCCGACTTCCCACCACCGCTCTTCGCCGGACTGCCACCCCCACTCGTCCTCGCCCTCCCACTCCTCCCTCCCGTCTCTCCCTCCGACCCCTGCGCCCCTCCCTCCTGTTGCCCTCTCGGCTGGCTAATAGCCGTATTCGCCGGACTCACATTGAGCGGATTATTCGATTCCTATACCAACACACAAAAAGTCAACACATTTGCATCCTCACACAAACACAAAACAGATGTATCTTGCTGTCTTTTTCATTTCATTTCTTTCTTTGTCACTCAATTGACTGACTTACCCCACCAGCTTCCCGCGACGCCATCTGTTCCTCCTCCTCGGGACTCGTCTGTTTGGGATCAAATGCCGCTTTTTCCGTCGCTTGCGCGGCCGCGCCGTCGCCGCCGGATTTGCTGTATTCGTTCGATTCCGGGTTGATGCTGTCTTTGTCCTGGTCGTATTTCGTCGCGAAGGATTGGCGGGGGAAGGTGGTGAAGGCGCGGCGGGAGAGTTGGCCGTGGGCGGCGAGTGCTGGGAAGCTTCTTCGGGGTAGTGGCATTGTCGTTCGCATCTTTGGCACGAGGACGGGGTTGAGGTCGAGATTGAGAAGAGTTGGATGTGCTTGGAGGGAGAAAAGAAAGAGGTTCTGGTTCTGGTGAGTCTGGACTGGTTTGGACGAGGTTTTGGAAAGAAGATTGTTCGTTCGATACATGTAGGTAGTAGGTAGTTGCAGTGCAAGTGTGGCCATCTACATGCGATGACAACCCGTGACGACATGTCTGGAAAAAGCTCGGGCGGAAGAAAGATTTACCGGGTTCGAATATATTACGATTTTAGTACAGCACGCATACTATACAAATACGACTACTTGTACAAAACTGTTTACACGTCTCGAGAGCTCTGCTGATCCCAACCCTGCGAATATCGATAGGGCGAGGACATTCTCGGCGATTCGACCAGCTCTACCTCCTGGAGAGCACTCACTGCCCGTCCGGGATCGCTCCTGTCGCGATGGCGATCAGGAATCGGTGGGCCAGGCATGCGGGTCTGCGGGACATCAATTACCCTGACGTTATGCACCACGTCTTCCTGATCCCGGTACTGCAGCTCGGATTCCGCCGGCTTGCTAGGGGGGTTATGGTGAATCTCGACCTTGTTCCGGCCAGGCTGGTAGACCAAGCCCGTCGAGCCCGGGTGATCGGCCAGATGTTCGTCGATAACTTCGCTCGTGGCTTGTGGGGAGTTCGTCCCGCCCACCTCGGTGGTCTTGAAAGGCTCTTCGCGCTCGGCTCGGACGCGTCCGTCGACTTCTCCGCGTGCCAGGGCTTCTTCCACGTTGGCGAGATCGGTATGACTCTGTTCCGACTCGGTGCCCTTGCCACAAGAGTCTTGTCCAGAATCGATGCGGGACTTTTCGTTTCCGTAGCTTCCGTCGTCACCGGCATCGACTGCCGTGGTGGTGGTGCCGTCGTCGCTGAGATCCCGCTGACGGGCAACGTGACCGGTCGAAATGGAGAGTTGCTGTCCTGTGCAGTATCTGTAGCAACGCTGGAAAAGGCCTGCGGTGGCGGGCATGCAGGTTGCGACAATGCTTAGATTTGCCTCAATGATGCTCCACCTGATCACAGAAAGGGAGGTTAGCGAGTGCTGGCGGTGCAATGTTGCAAAAGGACCTCTTACATTGATACGGGCTGGTAGTTCCCTGTGAGGAAGAAGTGGAGAGGTAAGCAGAAGTTCTGAACGCGAGAGATAGTCGTAGCAATGCTTACAGGTGAGATTCTGCCGTGAGCTAAAGCGGACTAGATACTGCAGTCGCACAATAGTGCAGATGGTGACTGGGAATCACACGGGTCAGTATCAAGGAATCATCAGGGGCATTGTAACAGAACTTACCAATAAAACCAACCAGGAACACAGTACAAACACCCAGCTTTCGCTGCCAGGTGATGTTCAGCTTCAGCAGACTATGGATCTGTACACCTCTCATCAGCAACCTTGTTCTCACCAACCAAAGAGGTACCATTGAAATACACACCGGCAGGAAGAATATGATCACATCATACACCACGCTCAGCGCACCAAACGTGTACGTCAAGGCTGGCAGATTAACACACTTGCCCATGGCTCCGTAGATGTATTCCCAAGTAGACGAGACGGGCACACATTGGAAGATCAATCCAAAGTCAAAGGCGATGCAGGTGGCCACGAGGACTCCGATGATGGACCAGCTTGCGATGCGGAAAGCTTTGGTAATCTTGTCGACCGACCAGATGCGGAGGTAGAGCAGGATGATCTGGAGTCGAGGAGAGTAAGATCCTCTGTTCAGGCAAATGACAACGGGCCTAGACTTACTGCGATTTTGGTGGTGATGATGAGCGTGTTGTAGAGGACTTCGCTGATGTATGTCCACTGATCATACCGGTCAGCTCGCGATCTCGAGAATCAGACTTCGATCAAGCAACTCACAATCATATACCTCACAATCATATCCGGCGTAAGCGTATACTCGTCCGTCGCGGAGCCATTTTTCAATGTGATCTCCGTAGCTACGGCAAGCGCCACGGCCATCGCGTAGCTAAAGTACACGACATGGTCATCGTACGAATAGCCACTCCCTGCTAGAAGCGGCATTCGTGAGAGCGTGCGAAACAGCACGAAGATGGTCGCAAGTATGAACGTCGCCCATAGCGCTCCGCGGTGAAGCGACTGTTTGCTGCGGACGGGATAGTTGCAAGTGTCGGCCTGATATCTCTGCACTTCGAGGAGCGTCGTCGGGGGCATGCAGGCACTCTGGATACACGTGTTGAAGGTCGCCGTGACGTTTTGATTGCTGCAGAAGCATGACAGACTGCTCGCGGAGCAATCACTTCCGGCTGTAACCTGTACAATAAATTCATCCTGATCAGCGAACGGTTCTGACCTTTCGACGGTCTTTGGTACGTACAGTATCCACACAATGTCTCCCACAGGCTGGCAAAGCTTCGTATGCGGACCGATTGAAGCTGCGGGCTTGAAGGATCGAAGCTCCGGAATCCCAGTGGCCATGGCTAACGCTCGTGGCGATGCCCGGCGCCGAAGAGACGAAAAGGCAGACCGTTGAGAGCCTCATCGTGTCAATGCGTCGCGCGACGCCGGTGCTGTGATCTGCTCTGCCAGAGGTACTAGCAGGAATGGGGGACCGTAGCCTTCCGCAGTCGCACTATGCGGCCGTAGTAGACAAGACCTCTGAGAGAGCGCGATGCGATGTGAGAGAGTGTACGACTGGTGAAGTAAGGATTCAGTCTGCGTCCGCGGCGAGCACGAATAAGAATGACTGCATCACCTCATCACACCTCGAACGAAGAGCAGCAAAGGAACACCGCCCTCGCACATTGCACATAGCCTGGCCTGTCCCGTCGGAGCCTTGTCTGTGACAGCCGCATGAACTCGCATGATGATTGATGAGTGAAGAGCAGACGGGAAGGCTACGATGGTCGAAACGCAAATGACGCATCCTCAGAGGTCCCGTCGACCGTTCGACTCGCCAAGTAGCCATGTCCCTGTCCGCTGGGATCCTATCAATTTCCTGCTGGTGGTAGGACGTGTTCATCATCACGGCCATCTTGCTATATTATATGTCGATGGTAGTGATATGACATCCGAAAGAGTTGGTACCATTCTTCACTTCCAATTTCCAGGCCGATAGTATGTATGTATACCATTCCGTTCGGATGCGACTCGATGCTGTCCCATTCCGTGCCGTCTTCTTTTGCAAGTCTAAACGCGGGTAGTAACAGTCGAAGTAGCAAAAGATCCTTGCTCAAACCAAGTCCTGCACGAGCAAACGTCGTTCGCGCAATTACAATGACTCGCGCGACCAATCAAAGTACCCGGTGAGCGTTAGTCATCCAGAATGCATGCCAGGGTGCACCATGCGCCATCTGCGAAGTGACGAACGAGCCGAGAAAGTTCATATCCATGTCGCCGGGGAAACCAGCCAGAGAGATACGAACCCCTACCCCCTTCGAAACGAAATTTGTATTTCACGCCAAGCAAGACTTCTATCTGATGAGCTAGACAAGAAAAAAATACGCTATCAAAGTGTGCTGTGTGATCCAACTAGTAAACCTCAAGCACGTACCGCTCCTCTTCCTTCAGCCTCTCAATCTCTTTGTGACCGTCCTTCTTCTTTCCCTCCGCCTTAGCCTCCACCTCGACTGCTTCTTCCAGCACAGATGTGACATCAGGAACAGGCCAGGTGGGTCCACACAGGTAAAAGGCACCCTCCTCTCTCAGGTAAGCACGGCGGATCTCGCTGAGGGTCTGACGCATGCGGTCCTGAATGTAGATCTTCTGCGGCTGATCACGAGAGAAGGCGCAACCAAGCAAGGTGATGATACCCGCCGCTTCGTAGGCTTCCCACTCTTCACCATAGAGGTACTCCTCACGCTGGTGACGAGATCCCATGTATAGGAAAACGTCGCCAATCGGCATGCCTTGCTCCCGCTGCCAGGCCCGCTCTTGAACGAAAGCTCGGAATGGCGCAAGACCAGTGCCGAGCCCGGCCATAATAATCGGTTGTGTCGTCTTCGGCGGTAGTTTCATCACCGATGGCTTGACCGAGACCGTGACGGGTGCACCGACAGGGAGGCTATTCAGGTAACGAGTAGCTTGTCCAAATCGATCACGTCCCTGTGGATCTACCCAGTTGACAGTCACGATGAGCAGACTGACGCTGGTTGGCGTCACCTTCTGCGAAGAAGCGATCGAGTACTCTCTGCGTTTCATGGGGCTAACAATGCGCACGATTTCGTGGAAGCTGGGGTGTGCCGAGGGGAATTCGAGCAGAATGTCAGCGTACGTGACGGTGTCGACTTCGGCTCGGCGCTTGAACTCCAGGACGGCTTCTTGGTTGCCTCCAGTTCCGAGCAAGAGTAGCTCAGTCTTTTCCTTCTCATCAGAGGCAAACTCACTCAAAGCTTCGTAGAAGCGCTTTGGAGGCCTTCCGAAAATGTCGACATTTTGCAACAGCGCCTGGTAGACGGTGCGGTTCTCGAACACGTTGGGGTCCTCGCGGGATGGAACCTCCACAATCTCTTCTGCATTCAGACCGTACCACTTGATGAACTGCTCAATCTCGGCCTGGTCGTTCTCCGCATGAATGCCAAGCGCCTCGCCGATCTCGTACTTCACGCCAGTGTTTCCAAGATCGAACTCAATGTGGAAAATGTTGCGATCATAGGTCTCCGGTGTCAATCTTCTGTGTTCCTTGACATGTGCAATGGCTGTCTTCGTACTAAGCTCAGGTCGAAGCGCACTCGTGGTACCGTACGCCTCCTTGAATGCCAGACCCTTCGCCGCCACTTGCCAGTCATGCAGCTCCGTTGGAGGTTCCTCGTCAGCTCTCTCAAATGGCGCAAAGCTGTTGGCATTGAGGTCTTCGGCAGGCGGGAGAGATTCGTTCTGCTCCAGCTCCAAGGTAAGCCAAGTCTCAGGTACTTCAATCTGCTTCAGTGCGCTTTCGAGATCTTGAGCAAGAGCATCGAGTGAATCGCCAGCAGACTGTAGCTTCCTCAAGCCCGCTTCGAAAATATCAGGCTTGGCCAACTTCAAGAAAGCCAGCTGCAGGAGGTAAGACTCAAGCTCTGAGTTTTCTTCGACCTTGGTACTCTTCGAAGGATCCAGAATCCAAACAGAAAGACGCTTGGCTGCGATTGCCTTGCGAAGTGGGCTGGAGAGCTTCTTCTCAACATCCTCATCTTTCCATCGCGACGACTTCAGAATGACTGTGGCCTCGTCCTTGACATTCTGCAAGATCGAAAAGTCCTTCAATAGGGCTTCCGCACCAATTACGGCAAAGTCAGCATCTCTGATGCTGTATGCGCTTTCGATGCTCTTGGACGAAGTTCGAAGATCGGTCCTCAAAGCACCGCCTTGCACAAGGTTGTCATGACCGGTGCGCAGCGTCACGTTCAAGGCACTATCATCAGCGAAAAGTCTTCCGAGCATGGCTGGAGCGCTGGCTGTCTTGCTGGTATCCACATCCCAGAAAGTGTACTGCTTCACGTCCTTTGCAGCTAGAGAGACGGCGGGTCGAGCGTCGGGCGAGGTGCCAGACTTAGTGCCTACCTGCTGGAGTAGACCTTCGACCTTGGCAACGGTCCATACAGTCTCGCGGGCATACTTGAGATCGTAGACGCTTGGTGACTTTCCAGATGTCACACTAGCGAAGTTCACAGCAGCGAGCACGTCTGCGTATAAGCTGCTTGTTACGCTTGCATCAATCGCGCTGGCGTGGTCCGTGACCTGTCCAAGGACGGTAATGTGCTGGACACTGGCAGGCAGGGCATTCAGGAAGTCCTCCTCCACGAATGGCCTATAGACACGCACATTGATGATTCCAACCTTGACATCCTGCTGTGCAAGTGCCTCGGCCACCTGCGCTGACAGACTTGCCTCGACAGTACCGAACACAGCCATGACAGCAGTGGCATCGGAATGGCCATGATACTCGAAGGCCTTGTATTCGGTTCCGAGCTCGGCATTGAACGCGTGCAGCAGCTTGGACAATTTGCCCTCGTTCGTGAGGCGTTTGGAGACGATATCTGCCTTGACTGAACCGAGAACGCTATCGTAGGTGCGCTTCAGACTCGGCACACTGAGCACGTCAATGACGCGCGTGGTCTCCCGACCGACAGTGATGCCGTCGTATGCGTGGACAGTGGGGAGGATGGAGGCCAGTATAGTGGACAGCAGAGACATGTGCTGAATCTCGTAGGCGCTACGGCTTGTGATCAGACCCAGTCCCAGCTCTTCGGCCAAAGTCAGAGAAGATGTATAGTCTGTGACGAGTCCGGCCTTTGTGTCCGCCGCATAGTCCACAGCGGCGACTTGGAGTGCAGTAGGGTTCGCGACATCGTAGAGCAGGCTCAATTGATCGAGAGCCGGTCTCAGGTGCTGCAGACTGGCTGCGCTTGCGACAATGGACTGCGGCACATGTCTCTTGTTCAGGTCAAAGTCCGGGCTGAACATGTAGCCCAGCGCGAGGCTGCCAGCGCCATTGCGTGTCTGCTGGCGCTGCACGCCCGTGACGGTGTTGTATGCATTCTTCTGCTGCTCGTGCTGCCAGGCGACGGCGGCGGTGTCGAGGTCGAAGGTATCGGGCGAGTAGGTGAAGAGCTTGTCGGAGAGGGCGTACGCGACCTGCTGGACCAAGGTCTGGGCGGTCAGGTAGGTCGGTCCAGAGAGCGAGGATAGGGCGACGTGCTGTCCGAATGGCAGGGCCGTGGAATTGCGCTCCAATGCCTTTCGCTGGGTCGTCGTGTGTGTGGACATGGTGGTGGCCGACAAGCCTGCCGACGGGCCTGAGGCGTCAGCTGTCTGGAGACGCATGCCGTCGCACCGGATCGGATGCAGTGGCGATCGGCGCAGCGAATCGGCTTTCTTCGAGAGCGGAGACGGTGCCCTGAGATCGCTCCAGGAAGGTGGTGTCTTGATCCCGACAATTGGAAAAGTCGTTGTTGCGATGTTGCAAGAACGAGCGACGAGGTCAGGGACAATTATGAGGTGGGATCTGGCCCATTTCTCAGCGTTCCCCCAATTTTCCCCTCCGACTTCCGGCGCTGTCGATGGCGTGCTCGCTGTCCCTTTCACCCACCTGAACTGCGACTGCGGCGACAACGGCTTGAACGGCTTGAACGGCATTCCACATGTTCTTCACGTGGCGAGCAGCTTGCTTTGTCATCCCCCTCTTCTCCCTGCGCACGTCTGTCCACACACGTTCTGATAGTCAGCACATCATGTGGATGCCTGAGATGTCTGATCGCTGGAGCACGAACCAGGTATGCACCGTAGCAGTGTCCACCACTACGGATGTAATATACATACATACATACATACATACATACATACATACATACATACAACAATGTCAACGCCTAGGCTAGGGTATCAAGTAAGACACTTCGTCGAGAGGCATGCTCGAGGAGAATCCGATAAGGCTGCCTCGACAGATTCCACGTCTTTCACCATTCCCATCCAACTACCCAGGTCGCGGAGACCGCGCCTCATTCTTTCTCGACGAGGCCCACGCCGTCTGGGTAGTCTTCAAGCGGACCAGAAGTTGCGCTCATGCCGCCACCGGTCAGCGTCTTCGCAGCCGGCTTCATCTCGTCCTGCACGGGCACCTTCTCTCCGACAGGCTTCTCTGCTTTCGCAGCTTCTGGTGCTGTCGTCGCTGTCGTCGCCGTAGCAATGCTCGCTGCTGGTGGCCCCGTCCTCTCTGCCTCTTCCGTAGTACCGGTCGTCGTTGTCAGGGCCGGCTGGGTCGTCTCGGTCACGGCTGGCTGCGCAGTCGTGGTCGTAGGTGCTGTGTTCTCCTTGGCTGCGGAAAGATTAGCACTCGCCTGCTCTCAGCTTAGAGACCTTACCACTTGTCTGCCGAGTCGTAGCCGGGCTGGCAGCTACGGGCTGGTCGTTCTTTGGAGGCGGCGCCGGCGGGGTGTCCTTTTCGACCGCAGACACAGATGCTGAAGATGGGACGACACCCGTGCCTGCCAATTCATTCTTCGTCTCGCGGGCTCCATCAATGGCTGGCCCTGGCTGCGCATCGTCTTTCTGTGGAACGGCTACTTGTGGCTTGTCGTGCGGCCCAGTCTGCAATGGGTGCGTCGGCGGCAAGGGTTTGTCGGTGTTCGGCGCGCCGTCAGTGAGAGGAGGCTGCTGGGCGGCAGCGGGCTTCTGCTGAGAGGCCGTGCTGGTGGTCTGTTGAGTTGTCTGCGTAGTGGCAGCACTCTCCGTGGCTTTGTCCTCCTTCGCCTTCCTGCCGCGCCGGAAAATGCCCTTGAACAGCTTCTTTACATTCTCGACCGCGTCTGGTGGTACTCCCGGCATCGTGACTGTCCGTGCGCTAGGTGAGGTGAGGATGGTGAGGTGATGTGATGGAAAGAGGAGGGATTGGATTCGGCACGCAGTGTCGTCGTGCGTCGTGTGGTTGGCAAACCTGATGGGAATGCAAGTCAACTGCAGAGAGGTAGAAGAGACGCCTGCTGATCCTCCAGTCGGTCAAGAAGCACCAGGCCTGGGTTAGTGACGCGAGCCTTCCTCCGATCAGTGCATTGTGCGCTGCGAGAGTGCCTCCTGCTGCCAGTGTGGTGGTGGTGGTGGCGCCCGGACACGCCCCTTCCCACAGACGAGATTGTTAGGTTATCTGGCGCAATTGACATGCGGCCAGCAGTGCGACGGCGTCTGGCGCATGCTAAATACAATGGACCATCCGCCGGCACGCGCTGGAAGGCAGCTCGCTCAACACGCAAGACCTGTAGCGTGCTCCCCAAGTACAGTGCTTATCCCGGAGCTAGCTGCCCACCTGGCTGACCACTGCTGGGCAGTGCTGGCCAACTCCCCGATGCCTAGAATAGCAGCAGCAGTAGCAGCCTCAGCCTCGCTCCTACCAGGCATCATGAAACTGTCGCAGTCGTACGGCTTGGGGCGAAGACACTTGCGGGCGCGAAACGCTGTTTCATGTTGTAGCTTCGGGGAGAGCTGCTAGCTTGGAATAATGCATCCAAGCATCTCCCCCAGCTACATCATTTCTTGGCAAGTCTTGGACATTCTGCACACTACATATACCACTGCTACAAGACTCTCGCATCGCCCGTTACTCATGCTTCATCGCTCATTGCTCATCCCGTTTCGTATGACTGCTATCTCGCTCTGTCTCTTCTGGCCGACGGGGCAGCTGTCGACGGATTCTGCTCTTGACTTCTTTCCCGAGAAGCCGCCGACGACCCTGCTAGTGGTCCTGGTACTGGTCGACCCGGTGTATTACTTGACGCCCACGGCGCTCGTAGTGACGGCATTCCCGTGCTCGACTGCATTTGTGGAATTGATACACCGCCGCTGCGGGCCCACGGTGCAGATGTACCACCAATCGCCGGTGGCACGTCTTTGCTCTGCATAGCGGCAGGTTGATGCTGCGCGTGGGTAGTCGGGACGGTCTGAACAGCCTCTGGGTCTCTCTCCCACCGAAAGATGCTTCCGAAAGGGAAGTGCTGTACCACTGGAAATTTCCCCAACACCTCTGCGGCGTACATCTTCAGCATGCCCTTATTAATCTTTCCCCATCCGTCTTTGATCCCACTGATGTCGTAGAGCACGGGCGAGTGTTCCCAAAACGGACCCCTCTTCACATCATAGATGAACTGGATTGCTGAGAAATACATGTTGGTGTCTTTGAAGTCTTTGACCATCGCTTGATTCGTGACAGACGACGGTGAAGGCGCAGAAGGGAGAGAGCCTTCAGTTGGGACAGGTTTTGAAAAGTCATCGTGATCAATGGCCGGTCCTAGTTGTGCTGACCCAAAGATGTATGGCATGAAGCTGTGATCGTCCAGGCCCCAAACGCCGTGTGATCCCGCAGGCTCCAGTGTGTATGTCAATATCAGCTTTCGCACCAGTTCAAGATATCTGCGAGTCCGGTCAGCCGCTGAATCAAGACCGCATGCCTTTAGTACACGTACAATTGAACAACATCAAGTACTATCAGCCTTTCTTCGCCTGTTCTGAATGCACCCAGTTTCCAAAGGCATGCGAGGAAGGCTAAAAAGCTGAGCTCATGCCCTGTACCATAGTCCAGGCGTTGAGCGCTGCCAAAGCTGCCTAGTAGATACGCCTTAAGTTCATCATATATGGACTCGTTGTTGATGTCGGCTGGTAAAACGCCCTCCAGGTGCTCCCTCAACAGCTCCCCAGCATTGTTCTCTGCTAGACGGTACCACGAGCGAAACGCGACATTGCCAAATCTCCTCGGTCCTGTGTCTGGGGGCGCCTGATCGATGAAGTCTGATAGGCTTTCAATGAGTTTTCTCATCTTCACCACGTGCGGCGGAAGAGAAGCTTGACAATCAAGCGTGTATGACTCCGACTTTCCATCCTGGCGTTTCCCCGGAAACATGGATCGATTGAGTTGAAGCAGCCATTTCGTGAGATCACGGTATGCTGTGGAAGCAAAGAAAAAGGTGAGGTCGTCGCCGGCGTTGATCTTCTTCGACGGTATTTGAAATGCGTGATGTTCCGGGTCTTGTAAACGATCCAGCGTCGGCGAAGACTTGGTGTCGGAGGACATGTTGAAGGTCGAGCAGTTTATGGGAGTAGACGCGCCCTGTTGTGTTTGGCAGGAGACGGGACTGACTAAGCACAGAGCACGGAACGGGACGAGCCTCAGCGCCCGGTCACTGTCAAGCGGCCGACGCGCTCTGACTTCACGCGTGCTGTGCATAAGGCAGCGATGGGGAGCAAACAGCAGCGATCTGCGGGACTCGGCGCCTCGCAGCATCTGGAAAAGTTCATGGAAGACTCAACTAGCACAACCTCACATTCAGACAACGGAGTGGAAGGTGACGGCCAAATCCGACTGCCGCTGGACGATCTGCTACAGGAAAGCGGAATTTCGACTGATCCCCCCGAGCCATTCGTCTCTCAGATGGGAGATCACAGCACAATGAGACATTCTACACTTCAACATGCATCTGGTCCGAGAAAGGGAAAATTGAAAAGGCCGAGTTCGCGAGGGCCTGCGCAAGACCCTTCAAAGCGTGCCAAAGGACCAGGGCGAACTCTAGGACGTGTTCAAGCGCGGCCAGATGCATACGAACTTGAAGCGTCACCTGACAAACCGATACTGGAGCCAATAAGACGTCTACAGGGCCACACAGACTTTTCGCCCATTCGGGCCCAGCGCAGAGCACAAGAGACTGCGCAGGAGCATCCCGGAGGTACTCGCTCACGTGCCAAGCCCACCAGATTACAAGCCACAAATGACGAAACGACTTCGCAGCCTGCACAGTCCAGTGCTCAGCACTCTCCTCAAGGTTCGCAAACGCACGAAGGCCTTTTTGTGTCCCCCGAACCGGAGCAGACAGAGTCGGACCAAATTAGGTCTCAGAGGCCCAGTGTATCGGAAAGTCCAGGCCCTGGTGGAGACCAAGATGCAGACAAAATTCATGTCGAAGTACCCGGTGATCACAATACTGCCCAGGTTGAGCATATTGAGCAAGCCGAGAGAACCCAGGACCGTATTGAACCTCCTGTGGAAGCTGGCGCGGAGCGGGCAGCTCGATCCAAGAGAGGAAAGCTGTTCCCTGTGTTGAGCAATGCTCGGATTCAGAAAGTTCGTCAGAGCGAAATGTGGGATCGGTCGAAAGAGGACAACATCGAGGAGGAAGCGCAAGAAACCCCCATTCCAAAGCCACTTCCCTCCAGGAAGATTCAAAAACAGCGGGCACTCGATAGAACGAAACACATCCAGACTAGACCGGCGAGAGGCTCCGAGATCGCACCGGAAGCACCCGTGGACGGACCCGAGCCTTCTGTGCTCGACGCAAGTGAGATGCCAGAACATCAGGCGAGTGACGGCCGACTGCTCGGCCAGATGGCTACAATAAAGATTCTCGTGCGTGCCACTAGGAAGGTTGGAATCTCCATCAAAGACGGAGTGGAGGACATACACAATCCGGTCGCTCTGAGGGATCCCCAGGTGAGAAACATCCTCGAGCTGTGCAGGCGAGCATCTCGGAAGTTCACTCAGCTAGTCAATGATCCCGAGAGCTCACAAACGTCTGATCCACCTGAGGAGCTTGAGTTGGTCGTACGTGAAACACACAAGCTCTGCGGCAATGACAGGAACAACATGCCGAACTTCGAGGATCCTGACACAAGCAGCAACATCTATGCCCATCTGATACCTCGTCTCATTCGCTTACTGAGGCGCATGTCGGAGTGCTATGTAGCCATTGACGAGGGCAAAGTAGCTGCGGAAATCTCGGTCACTTCGGATCATCTGGAGAATCTAATTGGACTGATCGATCTCATCGTGGAGATGGGTGCAGCTGCTAGAAAATACGTCAGGCCTGACAGCTCGTTCGCCATTGTCAATTCAGTCAAGCTTGGGCTGTTGAAACCGTTGAAGAGCGTGAAGGCAATATTTCAAGGCCATTTGCGGCGCGTCGATGAGGAACAACAACGTGCCAGGAGGCGGGCTTTGGACGAGGAAGCAGAGGCGCGACGACAGGTCGACGAGGAAGAGGAGGAAGCGCAGAAAGCCAGAGTCAAAGCACTACGCGGTGAGTGGGAGCGACTGCATGGCGAAAGATGGGGGGCCGAAGGATATGTTTTACCAAAATCAAAGCAAAACCACCTCCGCGTGCCCAAGCCAACGCCCGAAGTGGACCCGAATGGAGAAGAGTTCGAGCGCGTAGTAGGCTTGTTTGGACATAGAGTTGGGCCGCTGCCGGCGCTTGTCGACGAGGCTCGGAGGCAGGCGTGGACGGAGGAGGAGGTGATGGCTCTCTGCTATGGTCTCCGAGCGTACCAAGGGCCTCGAGTGTTCCAGAACATTTTCCGTCAGTTTTGTGGGCGTAAGGGTGTGCTCAACAAATACAATGTCACGCAGATTGTGACGGTGGCGGCGGATATCAAAGAGGACGAAACGAGAAGTCAACTTGAGAGGCAGGGCTTCGTGGAAGATTGGGTCAAAGCGATACCGGTGTGGACCAATCCGCATACTCTACTTGGAAAGGAAAATGTTGATGGCGGCGAGGGAGAGGTGTAATCGATGGTCTTCTGGGATTTGGCGATCTGCGGCGCATAACCCAGGCGCGTCAAATTCGTTTGATCCGTGCAGCCGTTCTCGACTTTGTGAACAAGAGATCACAGATGCTGTCAGCACACCCGTGTCGTGTCGTTGGAGATACGCCACACTCTGTGCCACGGAGTCATCTCGCCAATGAACTTAATGTTATGCTGAGGCTTATGCAGATGCATTATAGTCGCCAATACCTTGATCTCGCACGGGCTCGGGTAGATTTGTGGCTTCGCCTGCGATGATCTCCCGATGATCGATGATCTCAGCGGATCTGCCGTCGGCCAATTGCCGAAGCACCGGGCTTGACCGGGGTGGAGGGGCTGCTCCCGTCGCGCTGATGAGACAGCTGGCGTGGCAAACCTTATAACTACCCATGCGCACAGCACGCGACGGCTGTGTCCGTTCGTTCGTTCAGGCGCAGCACAAGCAGGCAGGCACAGCAGGCATTTTATTTCACTGAGACGAAGAACGAGCACGAAGCGTTGTGGTGCAATCTCAATCTCTGGCTTGCGCACAGACATTCGCTCCGCTCCGCTCCCTTCCGCTCGACTCGCGCTGAATCAGACCCGACTGGCTGTGCTGGTGTCCTCCGCGGCACACCATCTACTTCGACGTCATCGGTATCAGAGCCCTACAGCAATACCGACGTGTCATGTCCCGAATCCTCTACTAATTCCGCTGCCTCCGAGCCGGTCAATCATTCATGCTGCGGTGCCGCCACTGCCATGTCTTGGCTGTCTCATCCCATATAACAAGTAGCGGACCGCAGGGCGTTCATTATTCCAGTTAAGTATTCGCTTTGTCTGCTTGGGTTTCCCTTGTCCACCCATATCTTAATATGAAATTTACTCCACTAACAGCAGCAACATCTGCTGGGCTGCTGCTTACGGCCTCAGGTAATAAGCCATGGTCGACCTGACATGCCACGCACACTCTGCTAATGGTCCCACAGCCAACCCGGTACCCCAGGAACTAGTGGAGGCACTCCTTCGAAGAGCGTCCCCGGCGAACGCACCGCACGGATACACGCCTCAGACCGTCGACTGCCCTCAGTCGGCGCCCACCATTCGAAGCGCGAACAGACTATCTCCAAACGAGACCGCGTGGTTGGAAGTGCGCCGTAATGCCACTGTACAGCCAATGCACGACTGGCTTGGTCGGCTGAACATTTCGGGATTCGACACAAGCGCATACATCAACAATCACAAAAGCAATGCCAGTGCTTTGCCGAACATCGCAATCGCGGCTTCAGGTGGTGGTTACAGAGCCATGTTGAACGGGGCCGGGATTCTCCAGGCATTCGATAGCAGGACGCCGAACAGCACCAACAAGGGTCAATTGGGTGGTTTGCTGCAGGCGTCGACATATCTCGCGGGTCTGTCTGGAGGTAGCTGGCTGGTCGGCTCTCTCTACTCGAACAACTTCACCTCTGTACAAGCCAGCTTGCTCAACAGCAGCGAAGGATCAGTCTGGGAGCTTGGAAATTCCATTTTCGAGGGCCCGCACACTGGCGGCATCCAGCTATTAGACAGCGTTGGCTATTATTCTGCTCTGTTGGACCAGGTCAATGGCAAGGAAGATGCTGGCTTCAACACGACCATTACAGACTACTGGGGCCGAGCATTGTCTTATCAACTTATCAATGCTACGGATGGAGGTCCTTCGTATACGTGGAGTTCCATCGCGGAGCAAGACTGGTTCACTCGAGGCACTGCTCCCCTACCTTTGATTGTGGCAGACAGTCGAGCGCCAGGCGAAGCGGTTGTGTCGACTAACTCTACAATCTTCACTTTTAGTCCCTGGGAATTAGGCTCTGACGACCCGACATTGTATGCTTTTGCTCCACTGAAATACGTTGGTACGAACTTCACCGGCGGCAGGCCCCAGAGCGACCAATGTGTTGTCGGATTCGACAGTGCGAGCTATGTCATGGGGACAAGCAGCTCTCTGTTTAACGCGATTCTCACCACTGTAAACCAGACCCAGACCGATGGAGCATTCTCTTCTGCTTTGCAGCACGCCTTGACCTCGATCCTCGCAGCGATCGGACAAGATGAAGAAGATATCGCCGACTGGGTCAATCCCTTTTACGGATACAACAACGACACAAACCGCAACTCCGTCGACGAAACATTGACTCTAGTAGACGGAGGCGAAGACGGGCAGAACATTCCTCTGCACCCCTTGATTCAACCAGAGCGTCACGTAGACGTGATCTTCGCCATCGACTCCTCTGCAGACACCAACACCACCTGGCCCACCAACACTTCCGCCCAAAACTGGCCCGACGGCATCTCAATGGTGAGCACCTACGAACGCAGCCTATCCGACATTGGCAACGGGACCGCTTTCCCTGCCGTCCCGGATATCAACACTTTCCTGAACCTCGGTCTCAATAACCGACCTACCTTCTTTGGCTGCGACGCCGGCAACATCTCCGGCCCGGCGCCTCTGGTCATCTACCTCCCCAACGCCCCCTACAATTACTACGGCAACCAGAGCACCTACAAATTGTCGTACAACGACACGGAGCGCGACGCCATCGTTCTGAACGCGTACAACGGCGCCACGCAGGGCAACGGCACCCTCGACGCCGAATGGCCGGCCTGTGTAGGCTGTGCGGTCCTCAGTCGCAGTCTGAACCGCACGGGCACGGAAGTGCCTCAGATTTGCAATCGGTGTTTTTCGAAGTATTGTTGGGACGGAACCGTCAATAGCACCGCGCCGGCATCTTACAGGCCTCCGTTCAAGCTTGCCGGGGACGTGGTCAAGGTGACGACGAGTGGTGCGGCGGGCAGATCTTCTGGGTCTGCCGTGACGCTGGCGATTGTGAGTGCTCTGGGAGCAGCGGCGTGTGCGATGCTTTGATGATAAGATGACGTCTTTGATATCACTTTTTTTAAGATTTTTTCCCGTTGTTTGTATAGATTTTGAGATTTTTTTTGGCATTTAGCGTTTGCGATGGATAGAGCAAGTTTGACGAGGCAGGCTGGCAGGCAGGCAGGCAGGAGGGCATGCTTGTATCATGAGGGTATGATTCCGACAATGAAATTCTTGTATATGCTCTTCTTCCTTCTTCATCCGAGACGAAAAAGATCACGGCCTCGCGACAAAACTCCACGAACCCCCTACCCAGAAACTCCAACAAATCACCTCTTCATCGGAAACACAATGGAAGAGCCAAGTGATTCAAATCCACCTTTCTCTTCTCACGCTGCCGATGAAACACGGACCGACCTTTTCTCGGGGCGGTAACATCATCATCATGCACAATTACTACTACAACGAAACTTTCCCCCCCAGACGGCGGTCCCTTCGAAACAAGGGGTTAGGTTTCATCATCTTGTACTCCAGACATTACAGTAGATAGGCTCATATCACATAGCACATAGCACATAGCACATTGAGCTTCTCTTCCTCTCCTAAAACTTACTTACAGCTTTTGCAACCCAACACTCACACTCTGATCGATCGCAACCGCCACCCATCGCCTCCGCGAATCGATCGGGATTCAAGAGGCATAGAACGCGCTGTTCAAGGTACGCATTCTTTCATTCGTCACCCACCTGCGCATTTGCGATGATGATTCGTGTTATTACATTCATTCGCAAAAAACAAAGTTTCAATCCCAGATGAACATCACCTTTGATTAGAAATCACGCCTCTTTTGGTCTGAACACCGCAAGAAGGATAAATATTGCCATGGCTGGGAAATCTCACGAGCTCCGAAATGCTAACTTGTGAGGGACGGGTCTCCATAATAAGGCAAGGGCGTACATACATGCGGGATCCTGGGGATTGGACTTTGAAAAATCTCCCGACAGAGATGTTCTATACCTATACAGTCCACACAATCAGCCTTCGATCGAATCCGCCACTCGCCAAGATTTCTTTTTCCTCTCCGTCGTCGTCATGGACTGTTCCTGCCCACAGGCAACGCACTTTACTGCCCGGCTCATGGCCCTGAAGCAAGGTCGATACAACTTTGCCAGTACTGGCTTCGATGCCCCTGACAGCACCGTCGTCTCCGTTGACCCAGACGCCGCTCCCGTTGGGTCGCCACGCGATGGCTGGCGTCGAATACGCCGTCTGAGGCGCCATCGTCGTGCAATGAATCTGGATCGCAGCGGCTTCCCGATCAGCGATCGCGAGCGCAGCTCGAGCCTGAGATGCCTGGGTCTCAGCCGCAGGACCATCTCCGTCGAGCGATGATGATCGCAGCGCTCCTGGAGGCGGCGGGACAGCTCGGGCTTCCCATGGTGGGAACAGCAGTCGGACTATCAGCAATTTCATGTGCGGGACTGACGACGTGCCGACTGCTACCAAGCTTGGATCCGTAGGGCAGAGTTGGAGCGAGGAAGGCGTGAACGCGACCCATGCATTGGAATGTGGCGCCAGGTTTTGCTTGCCCAACAGGCGTGGCTCGGGCTCTACTGTGTAGTAGAAGATGAAGCTACTGTCAGTCCGGCTGACCAGCAGTACAGGTTTGCCATGCTCCGGGTGTCGCAGGAAGATCATTGCTTCTGGCTTGGTGGCCAGAGGAATAGTTGCTACGGGCTCGCCAATAGTGGGTCCTGTGGTGTCAATCTTAGGCCTGTAGAGCAATATCTTGGAGTCCCACCCAGCTGTGGCGATAATAGTTCCGTCGCTGGCGTCCACGAAAGCCGCGACCTTGACCACGTACTTGGAGTGATCACGACGCTTCTCGAGTACTTTGCCTTGCATATCGCTAAGTTGTAGTTGCCCAGACATGGAAGTGGTGAGTAGATGACCATCGCCCAAACCAGTCACAGACAGTATGGGCGAGTCATGAAGCCCAGAAAAGGAGGTCCGAAGATCTCGAGATCGAGCATCGAGCAAGTGCAGTCGACGATCAGCGGTAGAGACTAGAAGGATCGGCTCTGGTGCCGACTCGGTGCCCGCTAAATGCTCCAATTGAGCAGAAAGAATGTTTGAGGAAGAAGGCAGAACATTGATTTCGTTGGCCGTAGAGGGAGCTTCATCCATCAGCAAAACTCCAAGTCTCCATCGTCACCTTGATCTGTGGCATACCAGATTTCGTCCATCCCGAATTGGCGTCTTCAACGCCCAATTTCTCGAATCTCACAGACACGTCAAACGTCTTCTTTTCCTCAAGTAGAGTCTCGATGGTCAGATCGCCTTTGAACACATCTCCTACGTCTGGTGGTAGGCCGGCTTCATTGACGAAGGAATCGTAAGTCTAGCACGCTCTTTAGTCAGAAGTCAGTATGGGCATGTAGGCTGGAGGGGAAATGTGCACCTCTGTATAGTTGTTTGCTTTGAGATATCTCGCCACGATGACGGCTGGCGAGTCTGTCGCCGGCATGATGGGCTCTGAGGTGCCCGAGAGTCCCTTTGGTGGAGTGTGAAAGAGATTGGATTGAATTAAATCTATATCTAGATCTGTCAAGTCTGCAACAATGGATGTCGATGTTCTCGTTGGTATGAAAGCAAGAGGAGAAAGTCGTTGACATGTGACCGTCCCAGGAGTTCTGGGAGCCAGGGCTGCGGAGCGACTTCTTTGAGAATCCCGACTGCTTCTTCTTCGTCTTCTTCTTCTTCTTCTTCTTCTTCCAATTCTTCTTCCACTTCTTCTTCCACTTCTTCTTAAATGCGTCAGTGGTCATCAAATCAGCCGGACTGTAGGACGAAGCACCCGTGACTATTATTCGCAAGTGGCCGCGCTCTTCTCAGGCGTATCTTGGGTAGCGCATTGGGCTAGACGAACGCCTGTATCGCCCGAGGAATATATGATCAAAAGAGCTGGCTTTTCGCTCTACATCAACACAGGACCAACATGTCTGCAAGTCTGCCGAAGAATTCGTAAGTTCTCTACTCCATAGTTCTGGAAAGGTCTTTTGCGTGCCATCACTCACACGATCCAGATACTGGAATCGTTCAGGACTCGCTTCTACAGCCAATCAGCGGCTCTCTGTCCAAATTTGGTATAGCGTATCCTCCTTGACTTGAGACGTCCTCTTTCTTGTGGGAACATCAAACACGGACATTAATGCGCACCACCACACGAGTATGCGTTATAGCAGAGCGATTTCCTCCTTGCTCCACAGACGTTCCAATGTGGATTGGAACCAAACCCCTGACTTCTTTCGTTTCACTCGAGGTCGATTTGTTAGTCAAGAAGAAGAGCAATTGGCACAACGGCATGCCGTATTTGACATGAATCAACTCTGCACGATTGCCGGGGCGACCGTTGGGAAACAATGCATCAACGTGGAAAAGTTCGCAGACGGGCTATACAACAAAGCTTTCCTCATGACAATGGACGACCAACAAGAAGTTGTAGCCAAGGTTCCAAATCCCAATGCCGACATCCCGCGTTTGACTACTGCAAGCGAGGTAGCAACTATGGACTTCGTGCGTATCTTCGTTCTACCGTCCTGTACTCCAACGAGCTAACGGATCTGAGATGCGCAACACCCTGAACACCCCAGCACCCCGAGTTCTTGCTTGGAACTCCAGTTGCATGAATCCCGTGCGGGCCGAATACATCATCATGGAGAAGGCTCAAGGCGTACAGTTAGCAAGCGTCTTGCCTACCATGAGCGCTGAGCAGAAAGGACAGGTGATAAGAGCGATTGCGAGATACCAGCGTGAATGGCTCAAAGTCACGTTCCACAAGATTGGCAGCTTATATTACGCAAAAGACCTTCCGACTCCTGATCAGACCAAGACTTGCTACTCAGATACCTTGGGCAATCCTGTTTGGCAGTCAGAATTCGCTTTGGGGCCAATCTTGGACAGAGAATGGATAGACTACGGATGGGGGAACATTGACGGCGACCGCGGACCTTGTAAGGACGAAAGCACGCTTCGTGTGATCGGTTACTGATTGTGCTCTAGGGACGACCGCGCTTGACTACCGTCGAGCTGTCTTGCAGCGAGACAAAGAAGCGATACGAAGGCTCGAGAAACTGCCAACGCCGCTGTCTATGCTCTGTGGCCCGTCATTATATCAGCCCACAAAGGAGAAGAAGCTGTCGGCATGTGAAGCCGCGCTCAAAGCCTTGCCCCGGGTCTTGCCCAACGAGCCCTGGGCATCAGGGTTCCATCTATGGCACGACGACCTACACGAAGAAAACATTTATGTCGACGCCAATGACCCTACCGTGATTACGTCAATCATCGACTGGCAATCGACGAGTATCACACCACTATTTGACCACGCCGTGGTTCCAGGGTTCTTGCAGTATGATGCTCTCGCTGCTCAGGGTCATGACCCGCCTGCGACTCCGCACCTGCGAGATGATCTGGCCCCAGACGAGAAATCTACAGCATTGAAACAGTACGAAGAGCAAGTCCTATCTTCTGGTTACAAACACCTGCTCAAGAACAACATCCCATTAGCCTTCGATGCTCTGATGTTCGAAGGATCCTCATCGTCCGCCGTCCTCAATTCCGCCCGAAATCTGTTGGAAGTGGGAGAAGCATATTGCTTAGGCTCCATCGCAGCACTCGACGACTGCCCGGTGCAGTTCTCGGAGTCGGAACTGGCAGAGCTACAGCGGGACGCCGAAAAGACAGAAGAGAGCATAAACGCTATGAATGTTATCAAGGAAGCTCTGGGGCCATTATTTCCGGAAAGGGGAATCGTTCGACCGGATCAATATTCTGATGCCAAGGCAGCGTTGCGTCGAATACAGGCTCAAGTCGTTGAGCAGTTCTCTGCCAATGCAGATGACCGGAAACGGTGGCAAGAGACTTGGCCTTTCGATTCATGATGAGCCGCTATAGACGGTCGGAATCTCTAGTAGATATTATGAGAATAGACATGGATTGAGCAAGGAAATATCCATTTACACCGCTAACGGCGGGTCTATCATTCGAGCTTTCAAAGGCGATCGTGTCTGCGGATACCGGGTATGTCCAAAAAGGCGTCCCGGCTCGTAGAGCTTGGTCGCCCAGTGTACAATTCGCATATCAGATGCTGAAGACATAGACTACTACATGGAAGCATTGCCTACGAATTAGGGAGGCAGCCTTTGCCATGCGAGGCATAGGTAGTGTTCACGTCCCAGAGCTTTCACTACAACACAAACTTCCTACTCGCTTCGAGGTTTGAACAACGCGCGTACATTCGGGGACACTTTCGCGGTCTCAAGGTAGACTCATCATACGACTCGAGAGATATTTGGAATATCACATACTATGGATAAGAAAACGATTTTGGCCGTGCAGCGACTCCTAACGGATATATTGTGTCTTCCCTGCCCATCGAGCACATACGGCCACAGGCGAATGAGAACTCGGAACCCCGTCCGCTCTTCCAAAGATAACCATTCGACCGCGAGATTAGTATTGACGTGGGTGACCAGTCGAGAATCCCTCGTGCTGTATGTTTTTGTTTCGCTGCCGGGACCAGAAAATTTTTTACGTTGATGCCGAAGATGGGCCTTTGTCGGCGGGAATATTATTTTCCCGAGCACGATTTTGAGCTTGAGATTGGATTCTGTAGGTTCTGCATAGGTAAATACGATGGGCTTTGGCTGCTGTTGTCAAGGGTCCTGGAATCAGATGCTTTCGTTAAGCTTAGCTTGATAGACCAGATCTACTTACCATATTTCGATCCAAGCTTGGCTCTTCAGAACAAATACATGTTTGTAAGGGTATGCCCTTCTACGTGATTCAAAGCACCTTGTAGGGACCCTCTAATAGGGAGCATCTCGATCTCGGTAGAGATGGTGTAGTTAGTCTTTATGACGACTTTTAGTCCTCTTATATTATCCTACTCGGCTTCCTCTTCGAGATTGTAAACGAGTATATAGGCCATGTGAATATCACGATGGAACGCATCCTGTACCCATGGCAGACTCTCGAAATCTCTAAGGGGTCTTGCACTATGTGGCTTGCGTCTTGTAGACACACGAACAATCTACAGCAACAATAGCACGATTAGTAAGATTTTTCAATTGCTAATAAGCCGGCTCTCAACTCCTTCTTTGTCTTTGAAGTCAAGCTAATGGACAACATTCGCTCCGGTGTCGAGAATGCTCTAGACCATCGGCGGCAATGAGAGCACTGCCACGACATGGCCACGGCCGCCTTCGTCACGGAGGCGCAGATTCTCTTAAAAGCCCGTAGAATCAAGATCGTTGACTGTTAAGCTGTAGCCCTGTCCAGTGAACAGACAGTACGCTACTCTACCAGTCTACTCGCCGACATCTACTTCGCGGACAGGATCGATATCATGGATCACAGAAAGTCTTCCATCCGCAGAAAGGCAAATGTCTTTCCCAACGCATTCCGGAGCAACTTCCGCAGGCATCTCGAGAGTTCATCCGTCGTGCCATTCCAGCTAGGAAAAGGAGTGAAGTCGACGATTGTGCTACTAGCGAACAGCCTCAGATCAAATCTACCGTCAACCTCTGCGGGCATATAAGTTCACTAGATCATGGCGAGCATGTTGGAAAGGATCACCGATGTTTCGAACCTCGTACGTTTGGCGAGCGCCCAAGGGGGGGGGGTGATTGAGGAAGAGAAGAAGTGAGAGCCAGCGTTGTTATATGATGAAGTGAGACCGTGCATGTGTCGACACACCCTTCATGTTGTATATTACCTCCAACAGGCACCTCACGTGCAGAGGTAGCGTTATAGTTTGGCCGAACATTGCCTACCTTAGGGCAAAGTTCGGCCTTGTCTGATCCTCCGTCGCCGCCTTCGTCATACGGAGACGGCAGCGAAGAGATGACGGGAACGTCCAGAACTCGTCGAACGAAGCCCGAGGTTCATGATGATGAAGCGTCGGGAAAGGTGTGGTGGATGTTGATATGTGGAGCAATTTTTGAGTGGAAGGTACACCTGCAGTGAGGAGGAGTGAGGTGTCCAGAAGATTTGGCTTCCGGTTCCTTCCGCCGACTTCTGCCTGACGACGACACGTCTTTCTTTCTTCCTCAGACGTCTTTCACGTTCTTCGGGGGAATACCAGCCATCAAGCCGTCGTAAGAGCTGCACACGGGAGGTCAATCTATCAGACGCTGCTGTTCTCGGCACGAGGAAGATCCCGACGAACGCGCGGTCGGGGGGCGACGCCGTGTAACGCAAACGAACAACAGCTTTGTTCGGAATGTCTGAGAACTCCACAGACACGAAAATGCTTGTGTATATTTCCTCGCCAAAAAGGGGCGTGGCATCCTCTTGCTCCGACGAGGACTGGTTGAGAGAGACGAGATTTAGAAAGAAAGAGTCAGACTTCGGTGGCAATGCGAGATTCCATTGACGACGGTTTGACGTCGCACAAAGCTATCAACATGAAAATGACCGGCGAGCATTAAAAACATCTATCTGCGTCCTTATCCCCGTGTTCTTACCCCTTCTTCTTCTTCTTCCTCCTCCTCCTCAGCAGCCTCCTCCTCCTCACACCCCTCCCTTTTCTACTGATTCAAGTCACTGGGCGACCAAGTGGGAGCGAGTGTTGCGTTGACGTCGACAGGACTCCGCGAGGAATGATCGTAGTACTCTGAAAGGGCGCCGAGGTCAGTGGCTGCCGCCATGTCACCGAGAGCATCGTCGAAATGGCTACCAGCCAGCGCACCACCTTGTCCGCCCGATGCAGCAGCGGCAGCCTCCATGGCAGCTTCCAACGAAGGGTCGATCGCGGCCTGCGGCTGTGACGCTTGCTGCAGATACTGTTGGTGCTCGAACATCTGAGAGCCCGGTGTTGGCGTCGGAGCCGATGGAATGGATTGGTACGCTTGCTGTGGGTACTGCGCCTGGTATTGAGAATAGATGGGCTGACCATACTGCTGCTGGTAGTGCTGCATGGGGGTGCTGGTGCGAGAGCTGGAGAAGATGTCTTCGCCCGAGGCCTGGCCACCAGGCAAACCGAATCCACCAAGCGACTGCTGGCCATTGACGGTGGCGGGAGTCGAAGCACGTCCGCCGTGCATCTCGGGCTGCATGTATTGATACTGCTGGTGATGCATGCCACTCGCGAGGTACTGATTGGTCTGTGGATTGTACGGCAGCCCGTTGGGGTCGTAGGCAACATTCGAAGGGAGAGGCCGACCGGGATTGGCGTAATGATACTGAGACTGCTCATATCCGCTGAGTTGGTGGCCGTAATATGGATGCGACTCGAAGCCGACGGTACCGTTGAGGTACGCAGCCTCCCGGGGATCTTGTCTTCGCTGTCGCACGTTTCTGCCGGCCCGGTACTCTCCATCTGGATCGCCGTCCAGGTCGCTCGGCTCTCCTTCGTCATCAGAGAACTGTCCCTTCCGCCTCTTGTTGCTCGACTTGCTGGGCGAGAACTTGTAGGTCGGGTGGGCTTCTTGATGATGCTGGCGCTCGGTCTTGGCCCAATCGTCAAATCGGTTGCGAACCTCATCCGGCTCCATCGGCCAGCTCTCTCCAGTCACCGAAGAGATGATCTGATGGTTGTTCTGCGAGCACCACTGCTTGGTTCTGTCCTTGTAGGCCGAGCGATACAGCATGAAAGAGTTCATGGGGCGAGTGACGTATTTCTTGTCCTCCATCTCTTTGATTCTCTCCTCGACTGGCCGGTTGACATACGCCTCGATATCTCTCAGAGGAATCGACATGTCCTTGGTCAAGACAGACAGCGGCGCAGTGAGCTTCGGCGTCTTGGATCTGTCCAGCTTGCTTTTCTTTTCCCTCTTGGATCGGGGCGCCGGGGATTTGGAGACTCTGGACTTGTTGGTGCCCAGCGGAGAATCGGTCCGGCGCGTGGAGCGTCCGCTTCTGGTACGGACACCTTCGCTCGCGGTATTGGACCGTGGTGTCGGCGGATTGTGTACATAGGACTGCTCTTCCTGGTACACTGGTGCATAATCGCCCTGTTCGATATGGTCAGCGTCGGGGCTCCATGAGATGGACAAGGACCACCCACGTAAATGCCCAGGCCTTCGGCATCTTCATGGTATGCTGGAAAATGCTCCGCGGATGTTTCAGCATTGTGTTGAGCGACTGCGTCAAGGCCATAGTCGTCTTCGGGTGACGGGCCCTGATGAACAATGGTCGTTGAAGTCATTGTTGTCGGACCGGATGGATACTCTCGGATCGTGAGACCGGAGATGGAAAGGCTTCCGAGCAGGAAGGCGAACAGTGGCTTTCAAGAAGCTCAATGACGGTCTTCTGCATGTCTTGTAAGCATGGGTTTCCATTGCCATGGTCGCGTCCGACAGTTTGTCTTGCGCGCGTACGTGCATGAACGCCGCGCGAAGTGGAAAGGAGGCAATACCTTGTGCAACTATCCGCCGCTGATGCACTTTGTCCGCGTCTATCGGCAGCCGGATCGCTGTTCTTTGCTGCAGACACGCGGTCAAACACGCCTTGTTCGGCGTGTTGAGCACTGGGGATTGATTGATGTCTCTTTGGGAGTCGTCGTTGTCAGCCGAGATGCTTTGTCTTGGGGAGGGCCAAAGAGAACGATGGGCAAGCGGAGACAGAAAGGACGTGAAGAAGGAGTCACACAAGATCCTTTGTGTAAGTAGGCAAGTAAGATACTTGTAGCAATGCGGCCTTGCTGACTGATTCGAGGAAGGGAATTCTGTCTGCTGAAGACGGACGACGTGCACCGCATCCGTAAGATGTCTTGAGCCCAGGCCCGGGGAGTCTCAGTCGGCCGTTTTCGGAAGTAGACCACATGCGGAGCGTGGTCGTCGCGGCTGCTATGAGCATGGCGATGTATACACTGTGAGATATAGGCTTTGGCCCCGCGCGCAGCGCTCATGGTGATGGAGGACTCTGGCGCCTCTAGAGATCCATAATTTCCCAAACGGACATCATGCTCACATAGCCTGGAGACACAAGCCGATCAGCGCCACCAGGCTCCCGTGTGGGACTGAACTAGGAGCCTGATGCTGGCACGCCCACTGCTCTGCACGCAACGATGGCGCTTGGAAGGCATCGAGCATGTGCCTGGCGATCCCAAGTCCCACTAGCTCGCCGTAGGAGTAGGAGGAGGTTGACGTGCAGTAGTCATATGAACTGCAAAGCTTGATGGGCAGGGATACCAATGTGATCTGGGGGACTGCTGTTGACCTCTTGCGTTGGCCGATACTGTTTGTTACACAATCGCTCCATGGCTGCATTCCTCACGCTAACCCGGCCCTCTGAAACCGACCTTTGGATGGGCCCCCCCCCCCCATCACACACTGGACGAATGCGGACTAACGATGGCAAGTACCTGCGTACCGTATGCGAACGCAGCGTGACCTGGGCACCACCCGCCGGATGGCCGCATGTTCGACCCAACGGCTGGGCGCTCGGGGTGTTCCTGGCGTACGAGCCCGCACATGCTGTTGCCGACGCCAAACGAGCATCAGGACGACCGCTAGTACCTTACGAAGTGATCGTGCGCGTGCAGCGCTTCAAGGACTGCTTGTGTGCTCATGGTGGGCGTGGGCGTGGGCGTGCTCTAGCGCCCGCGAGCTGTACCTGCAGGCTGGCCCAACGGCTAGTCACGGCAGGACTTGCAACAGCTTGCACCTCCCCGTCTTGCCCGTCCCTGTGTGCGGCGCGCAGTCCATCATTAGGGGAATGAAGACTTCACTTCCCTTCACACTTCGGCCTCCTGCGCGCCGGCATGCAGCCTTCTGATTGCAAGCAGGGCAGTTCGGTTGGGACCGAAGCATCCATCCACATCCACAGTGCATCCACCCATCTTGCGTGCCAGCCGGAATGAGCTAACCTCATGCGCGAAGCCTTGTGCCACCCACCGACGTCTCAGATTCCAAGGGGTTGCACGCTCCGCTCCATCATCAACGGATATGGCTTCGGATGCCGCGTAGAGTTACTGCGCGCACTCACCATCAGTACAGGCGAAATGATTCGCTACCAAGCATCGAAAATTCATCCAACACCTGTGCACCACATCGGACATTAATCGGACTGGTTGCGTGCAGCCACAGTAGGCCTGAGTGGTATGGCTCCGCTCCCGTGCCTCACGGGCAGCTACAGTGACATGCGCCTCCTCCAACGTCCATGTTGTAACGCAGGGCTGACCCCACAGCAATTCGTCTGGTAGCCCGAAAGCTTCGGGCCCAGAAATGTCGTGGACGCCGTCCTCTGCGAGGTGGGCAGGCATCGCAGCTCGACGCAATTCAGCTGACCACAGCCGGCGATTCGACCCGCGCGTCACAAGAGGAAAAACTTCCGGACGAGCTCTCAGGACATAAGGTTAACGGCAGCACATGCTCTGCGCGTGTGGCGGCCGCCCCGAAACTTTGCGCTTGTGAAATGCCTCCACGTCGTATGCTACGCATTGCACAAGCTGCGGTCGGTGTGTGTGTGTGTGTGTGTGTGGAGCACTTCATTAGAGTGATCATAGACGGTAAGCGTATGCTTCGCGGTCGCTCACTGCGTCCGGTCAGGCTGTCTATCGAAATGGAACGGTGCAGGATGTCGTTGGAGTTGTAGTGAGAACACGAGATATTAGCGATCAAGACATTGGCTTTTAGTCCTGCATCTGCGCGTCCTCGTCCCCGTCCTCCTCGTCCTCGATTCCGTCCTCGTCAATCCCCTCCCACTCATCCTCCCACTCGTCTCCGCCCTCGGCTTGATCTTCTTCCGGGCCCAGTACCGTGTCCATGTTAGCAACAAGTTCCTTAGCATGATCGTACAGCCGGTCGTCCTCGTAATCAAGCAGCTCGTAGAGCTTGAGGGACTGCTTGAGCCACCGACGGCTACCTTTCAAGGCGCGCTCGACTTGCTCTTGATTCGCTGACGGATGGTCACTCGCACTGATGTCCATAGCTGACTCGTCGGTGGCATCGGGGTTTGCTTTGTTGTGCTCTGCGACCAAGTGCTGGCACCAGCCCCCAAGGTACCACGCCTCAACACTCTGATCGTCTTCCTGGATCAGCCGATGAAGAACTTCCATCGCGTCGCCCTCCAGCTGTGCTTCCATAAGCAGTCGTGAGAGCGAAATCTTCGTGGCAAAGTCCGGCACAGCAGGGTCTTCAGGCTCCAGCTCGATCCAGCTCTCCAAAGATCGCTTCAGCGCCGATTGGGCATCCTCTATCCGCTGCTGTGATAATCGCACAGACGCCAGGGTCTGCAACACTTCGGGGCTAGTCTCATCCTCGATGGCCATCGCTTCCGTGATCAGGTTCTCACAGCGAGCTTCGGCCTCGTCTTCCCACGACAAGTCCGTCATATACACCTCCACAATACCGCAGAGTGCATTAGCAAGCTTGCGTTTCTTCTCCACCCGCATCAGAAGCAATTCTTCCTCAGTCAAGTCCGATGTCTGCCCATTCTCAAGCGCAGCGATCTCGTGCTGAAGGGCCTTGGCACCCTTCTCGAACCACTCCACGCTCTGCTTGCCGCCCTCCTCACACAGCTGTGCAAGCCAGAGGAACTTCTCGGCGCCGCCACCGAGTGCCTCTGGCACCTTGCCCTCGGGGTCGAGTTGCACGGCCTTTTCAAAGTAACCACGGGCCGAGTCTGTTGCGCCGAGTTCCATACTGATTTCTCCCAAGAGGATTGCAGCCGGCAGCGCGTCCTTGACTGCGCGATCTTGCACTTGTGACCATAGCTGCTTGGCAAACTTGAGTGCTTCTTCGGGCTGAGACTGTTCGACCAGCTCCACGGCAGTCGCGTAGAGTTGGTCAGGCCTCAGTTTGGCCTGTCCATTGGCGGCGGTCCTGTTCATCTCCTTTCCCTTTTGCCCCGATTTGGTTTTCGTCTTCGCCATAGCAATGCGCTCTTCCGATTAGATCGCGATGACGCGAGAGTTGTTGTGTCGTGATCTTCGTGCAATGGTACATGAAAAAGTACAAAATTTTGAACCATTCTGCTCTACATTCTCAGATATTTCAGACTCGGCGTAAAGTTCATACCGGAGCGGGTCATCTTTTAACCGAGGTCGGTTTCCGACTGCAGTCAACAACATAGATGCTCTCACCCCCACTTCATTCGCAATTGCTTTACAATGGGTCGGGAAGAGCAGAAAGAGGAGCGTGAAGTGCTCGATTCCATTTTCCCAGAGGAAATTCAGGATGTCTCAGACACAGAGTACCGGATATCAATAAAACTGGAGCCTCCAAAGGAGTCGGAGGACGAGAGCGAAGACCCAACGATCATCCTGAACGTTCGATATCCGGAGGCATACCCAGATGTCGCACCGATGTTAGACATTACCCAACCACCCAACGCGCCCAAGCATCAACATCTCGACATCCAGGGAGACAAGGCACAGTTGCTGGAAGCTTTGCAACCTACGATCGAGGAAAGCATGGGCATGGCAATGGTGTTCACGCTCGTCAGCACGCTCAAAGATTCGGCAGAGCTTCTCATGAGCGAGCGGCAGCAAGCAATACAGGCACAGAAAGACTCCGAGGCGGCAAAGGCGGAAGAAGAGGAGAACAAGAAGTTCGAGGGAGAGAAGGTGACGCGCGAGACCTTCCTAGCCTGGCGAGAGAAATTTCGGCGAGAGATGCAAGAGGAAGCGGCGCGGAAGCAGGCTGAAGAAGAGGCAGAAGACAAGAAGAAACGCGGCGGGAAGGCGGAGGAGAAGAAGTTGACCGGGAAGCAGCTCTGGGTGCAGGGCATCGCTGGAAAGACTGCGGATGAAGATGAGGAGGGAGAAGACGCAGTGGAGGGCATTCGGGAGCTGAAGGTCGAAGGCTGAAGGTCCTCCACGCCAATGCACCCAGGTGCAAGTGAACACGTCCGTCTGGTCCCTAGAATTGGCCAAATTCAAGCTCACATCCCGCGACAAGACGAGCGATGCTCTGCAAAACGTATGGCGAACGTCTCCTGAGATTCTCTAGCATGTTCAAGGCCCAATGCCAGTTCGGAAGGAAGGACTGCGCCGCGAGCTGGGGCGAGAAACTACCTAAGGTAGGCCTAAGTGCGAGTGGGGCGTCGTGAAATGTGGGAGACAAGTTCGGTCGGAGGCGTGATGTGCCTGCAAAAAGGTTTCAAATCGTTCTGTCAAGCGACTTGGAAATCATGCGGATACCTTCGATAGCAAGCCACCATCCGCATTCCGCTTCACTCCCTTTAGACTTTGTTAGTGAGTGAATGGAGCCTGGAGTCACGTGGTGACGCCTTCTATACGTGGGGACGGCTTGCCACTTCCGAAAGCTACTTGCCGGTTCCATAACACGGTGCGCGTCGCGCCTTCTTCCTGCAGTTTCGCGCACTTCATCTCATTTCTCCTTCAACTCGTGCACAACGACATTTCCGCCCTCGCATTGTCCGTCTGACGCGTCAACATCATCATGGAGGAGGACGGGGATGTTCGCGGTCCGCTGTTCGAGCACATCGTCTTCACCATCATTCCCGGCGACGAGCTGGACGAAGCGCTTGCACGCGACATCGTGTCCGCCCTCACCGCCAGCGGAGGCGAATACCAGCCTCTACGGGAAAGCGACAGCCACATCGAGGACATCGAGTCTCTGACGCACATTGTGTCCACCCACATCGACTTTCCCCAGTACAACCGCGCCCTCGAGCTGGGAACCTTCGTCGTGAAGCCGCAATGGGTCTTCCAGAGCATGAGGAGGAGGAAGCTGGCGTTCACTCGACAGTACAGCCCGGACCCGAGCCAATTCTTCCACGACGTGATCGTCACCACCGCAGACCTACCCGACAACGATGCAGAAGCCATCATAGGCGGCGTCGTGGCGCTGGGAGGCCAGTTCTCCCCCAGAATGAGCAAGCTTGTGACGCACATTGTCACCAACAGCATGGACCACCCGAGAGTGGAACTGGCCAATCGAGCAGATCCGTCCTGCAAGATCGTACTGCCGCACTGGTTCCAGGCGTGTTTCTTATTGGGCAAGAAGATCAATGAGAAGCCGTACATGTTGCCGGATCCAGAGATTTTGCGCCGAGACAACAAGTCCGCGGTGCGTGCACTTGCTTCGCCTCACATTGATGGTGCCACCACTGCGTCGCCTTCGAAAGAGCCTTTTCCATCTCCTCCACCGAGTCCCTCATATCTGCGAAAGACGCTGAACGCCTTGAAGGGACGAAAGTTGTTCCTTGCTGCCGACCTTCCTTTGTCCAACGATCTCACTCAGGTGCTCACAAAGCTGATTACGCAGAGCGAAGGACTGATCGTCCGCAACGTGGACGACGCGGACATATACATCGGTCACTGGCGCGATGGACAAGATTATGTGGCTGCATCTCAGGCCGGCAAGGAAGTTGCGAATCTAACATGGCTGTACCATGTCATCAACCGGAACACGTACACGAGTCCACTGAGGAGAGTCTTTCATTACCCTCTACCTCGTGAGGGCGTCCGTGGCTTCGAAAATCTGAAGATAAGCCTCTCCAATTATTCGGGAGAATCTCGAACCTATGTTGAGAACCTGATCCGCGCCTGCGGGGCAGAGTATACGAAAACCATGAAGCAGGACAATACTCACTTGATCACGGCTCACAAGAGTGGCGAGAAATGCGAAGCCGCCGAAGAGTGGAATATCAACGTTGTCAATCATCTGTGGCTTGAAGAAAGCTATGCAAAGTGCGCTGTCCTGAGCCCGACAAATAGGAAATACACCACATTCCCCGCCAGAACCAACCTCGGCGAGGTGACTGGCCAGACAAGTCTGGACATGAAAAGCGTCGAGCGCTACTATTTTCCGAGGCCTCGCTCTCCGCAGAAGCCAGCGTCTATCCAGAAGCCAACAGCTAAGAACAAGACGCCGGTCTCCGCCAAAACGCCGCTTAGATCTCCCACTTTTGAAGCAGTCGAGACCGACGGTCCTCAGGCAGCGGACAATGACGGAATGGAAGTAGATGCGGAGACGGCACCATCGACCGCCAAGAGGCCGCGAGGCAGACCTCCAAAATCAGCTATTGAAACTCCCCGTCTTGTTTCCGAAGAAAAGGAGAACGACTCGCCTCTTCCTCCGAGCACTGGACGTGCAGCGAAGAACAAGGCACTGGACAACATTCACGGCTCAGCTGCGGACATTGCTCTGTACCAGAGAGAAAGCAAGCGGCCGGGTGGCGTTGTCCACGGCGGCCGCTTTCCACGTGCGCAAGAATCATCGCCAGCGCCGCAGCGAAAGAAGCGAGCTAGCGACGAGTACGATCCGACTGGAATCGGTAGCGACCTCAGTGACGGAGAGACGCAGGATCCTCGTGCTAAGCAAGCGAAGAAGGCAAAGACGGCGACAGGGCAGACACTACCGCCAGTGGAGTACAAGATGATGGTGACGGGAGATGAACGCTGGAATAACAATGCAAGAAAGGAGTCTGCAGATAAGATACTCCTGCGAAGCATCGGAGTCCAGCTGATTCAAGATCCAAAGGCAGTGGAGATACTTGTTGCACCGAAGATCCTGCGCACCAAGAAATTCGTATGTGCGTTGGCCTCAGCGCCGCTTGTTGTCCACACGTCCTTTCTGGATACTGCACTGAGCAAGAAGAAATTGATGCAGAACCCTCCGATGCTCAAAGACAAGGATGGAGAAGAGCGTCTTGGCTTCAAGCTTGCGGACGCTATCCAGTGTGCGAAGGCAAATGCGCGAAAGCTTTTCCGAGGCTGGACCATATTTGTCACAGAAGATATCAATGGCGGTTTCGACACATACAAGGACATCATCAGTGCCAACGGCGGATCTGCGATGCTGTACAAAGGCCGGCTCGGCGTAACCGTGACGAAGCGCCAGGGCCGTGATGACCCAGACGCCGGTGAAGAGGCCAGTAACCAGGGCGATGACAATGAGTGCGATTACGTGTACCTGGTCTCTGGAAAGACGGACAAGGAGGTGAAGCTGTGGAAGACCTTTCGGGAGAATGCTTCGAAGCAGGACCTGGCGGCTCGCATTGTTGCGTCGGATTGGCTTCTCAATGCCGCCATGAGCCAGCTGGTCACTCTGGACGAGAAGTGGATGTTGGACGAAGATACGGTCATGAGTCAACGCAAAGGTTGAGTTCATTGATCTCTGATTGCATGCTTCTGTGACCGGAGTTGACAGAGCTTTTGTAGGCTTTAGGTGGAGTTTCAGGCCGGTTGTACGGAGGAGATGGCGGTATCGAAATGGTGACTTTGGTGGCTGCTTGCAATGATCATGCACTCTTAGCGCGGCGTTTATTAGGATTTATATCGTCGAAGTAGACATGAACGAGCAGAGTCTTGACCTGACCTTGGAACCGAGCTTCCTGCGCACAATTGCCACAAGGTCTCACCGTCGAATGCTAAATCTGCTGCTGAAATCCCTGCAGGACTTCCTTGACCATGGCTGACATCAGTACTGGAAAGGCCCGCGATTCTCATAGTTTGGAAGACTTTGCTCCCGCCATCCGCTGCGACTCCGCCCCCCAATCGCTGGTAATGACCCTCTGATACTCCTCGCTCAACTGGCTCTTCGCACGCTTCGAAACCCGACTCCACTGCCTCCTCTCCCCTTCCTCCAGCCGCTTCCACCTCTCCAATTCCGGCTGCACCCAACCCGCAATCGCCTCCGCCGTCTTCCCCACGACTTCCATCGGAATGAGATGGCCGACACCCTTGAACGTCACCTCGCTCACTCGGCCCCTGTGCACACCACCGGAGCCCCCGACGCCTATACCCGTCTGCGCGAGTTTATCGGCCTTGAGCAAGGGGGCGGAGAGGTCTGATTCGTCGCCGAAGACGTAGAAGACGCTCGGACGGAGGTGGGGGAGGCGTTTGAAGGTGGAATGGGTTTCGGGGCGGTAGAAGGGGTGGGAAGGCGCGGTGTCGGGGTCTACGTCGGGGTGGGTGAGGGGGTTGGGATGGGTGGACGGGGAGGGGAATTCTGCGGTTGGGAAGTTGGGGCGCAGGAAGGTTAGGACTTCTTGGTGTTTGGTGGTTTTCAGGGTGAGTTCTCCTCGGTCGATTGGGGCTGAGGAGGAGGAGGAGGAGGAGGAGGAGGAGGAGGAGGCGCCGGGGTCTGCGGAGAGGGCGGGTATTGTGTTGTTCGTGGAGGCCTGGGGGTCTGGGTAGAGGTGGGTCGGTAATCTGCGTAGGCCGTGATCTAGCCATTTATCCAGAACGCGGGAGTCCCATCTCTGGTAGAATTTCGATCTCTTGAAAGCAGCCTCTGCTTCTTTCCTGCTGGGCCAGCGATCTCTGCGCTTCGTGGAAGCTGTCGCGAGACCGAAACTGCCTTGGACAGAGGGGAGTCTCTGGATGACCGGGTCGATCATGATCAAACTCGTCAAGAGGCGAGGATGCACCAGGGATAGATTGATGAGGTTGTTGCCCCCCATGCTATGTCCGATACCAATGAGCGGCCGCTTCATATGTTTTCGGAAATGGTTGACCATCAGGAAGAGATCTCTAGGGTGATCCCACCAGGAGGGGTCGTTGCCCAGCTTGGCCTCATTGAGAACGCCGGAGTCGCCCTGATGAGCTACGTCCGCGATCCAGATGCTTCGGATCCGGATGTTTCTGGCTTGGAATTGCTCGTAGAGGTCGTCCCAGAGAGGTTCGTAGAGTTCCTTGGGGAAGCCGTTGGCGTGGGCTCCGATGATGGTCACGTCGCCTTCGTCTGCCTTGGACTGGGTTTTGGGTGTATATTGCTTGATTGCGAGGAGGAGCTCGTCTTCCTGGTCGTCGGCCGTGGCTCGGGGATACTCCCTGATGTGCGAGGTGGGTATCGCGTGCTTTTGGATGTTGAAGTGGACGGTGGACATTGTGCTATCTACCGGATACTTGGCACTCTCAGCGATAGATGATGGTGATATCAGACGTCAGCAGCAGGAGGCGAGATGCTGTGAGTTGGATGGCGGGAGACACCTCATGTCGTGTCGACCGAGGCTGCCGAGGATTGCCGAAGTCTCGGACACGGCACATGGACTTCACCGACCACGACAATATGGAAACAAAACCACCTTGGTATGCGCCATCAGATATGATATGATATGATCAATTATACACTTTACTCCCGGTTGAGGTTGAGGTTGCAGTGTTTCTTGTTTCTTCCATCTCCTCCGCACTCCACTCCACGTCACGTCCTCTCCACGACATGTTCCCCACATTTGGAGCCCGGCTCGCGGTACGTACTGGCAGCAGATTGACTTCACCTCCTACCGATATCGCGTGTAGCAGAGCTCGAGGAATACTACTCCTGGATATCTCTTGCTTTCTCGCTTCCTTCTTCCAAGTTTCGTTTCCACATCCTCCTGCCTTTGCCTCCCTTCGCCATGGCTCAAGTAAACGGCACCCACCAGCCCAACGACGACGACCACACGGCAGGAGTGGCAGTCGAAACCGTTCTGGAATCCAATGAGATCAACCAAGCCAATGGCACAAACCACATACCCCCATCAACAGCACACCAGAACCCATCCTACATCGACCGCATCACAATTCCCCTCCATAACGTCCCAGCTTTCACTCCCACCAGAAGACTACGCATTGCCATCATCGGAGCAGGCTACGCCGGTATGACAATGGCCCACAAACTCCAGCACAAATACGCCATCGAAAGCTCCCGTCTCCTGGACTTTGTAATCTACGAGGCCCGCTCCACGGTCGGAGGAACATGGGATGCCAACACGTACCCTGGCGTCCGCTGTGACGTGCCGAGTGCGATTTACTGTTTCCCCTTTGAGCCGAACCCGGAGTGGTCACATTTCTTCTCCACCGGCCCGGAGATCCAGGAGTATTTCGTCAACGCGGTGAAGAAGTGGAACCTTGATAAACATGTGCGGTTTAATCATCGGGTGAAAGATGCTTGTTGGATCGAAGATCAGGCGCAATGGAGATTGCAGGTCCAAAATGAAGGCCGGACGTTTGAGGATCATGTTGATATTCTCATATCTGCCCGAGGCTTTCTTTCGACGTGGCGATGGCCGAGTATTCAGGGGCTGCATGACTTTAAGGGGAAGAAGGTCCATAGTGCCGAGTGGGATCATTCGTATGACTACTCGCACAGACGTATTGCGGTGATCGGAAATGGGTCCAGCGGGATTCAGATACTGCCGGAGATGGCGAAGCTGGAAGGAACTGAAGTGACTAGCTTCCAGTACGTGACAAAAGACATACCAATTCGTCTTGAGGTTAACGTGTTGACAGGCGAGGGCCGACGTGGGTCGTGTCTCGGCACCAACCAGCAAAACTTATGGGAAGAGATGATCCAGATCCTAATCCGCCTTACACGGAGGAAGACAAAGCTCGCCTTCGAAATCCAGAAGAGCTCCGGGCCTACCGCAAAACGATCTCATCGGGGATAAACAAGGGCTTCAAATTGTTCGCCAAGGGTGCGTCGAAGGAGCTTGTCGATCACACTGTCGGCGCATATTTCCGCTGACGCATAACAGGCTCCCAATACAACGCGGAGATGACCGAATTCGCTCGCAACCAAATGGCCACCAGTCTAGGCCACGACCCTGAACTCTGCGAGAAGCTCATCCCTAAGTACGAGCTAGGCTGCCGCAGAGTAACGCCAGGCAATGGCTACCTGGAAGCCTTCACCCAACCCAACGTACACCTAACCAACAGCGAAGTCGCCCAAGTCACAGCAGAGGGCATCCAAACGGTTGACGGCAACTTTCACCCTTGCGATGTCGTAGTCTGCGCCACAGGTTTCGACATCTCTCAGATACCGACTTTCCCACTGATCGGGCGAGACGGAGTCAAGCTCAGCAAGAAATGGGAGCATGAGCCAGAGAGCTACATGTCGCTTGCATGCCCAGACATGCCGAATCTCTTCTTCTTCACAGGACCAAATGCTACCGTGGGGCATGGGTCGCTGATTTTCTCACTGGATTGGAGTGCGGAATGGATGATCAAGTGGATCAAGAAGATGGCGTATGAGGATATAGCCTCTGTTGCCCCGAAACAGGACGTCGTTGACGAGTTTGTTCGATATGGGGATCAGATTCATAAGACCCTGACTTGGACAGGTACGCGATCAAACCAGCTGTCATGTGCGGAGAAATTGTTGCTGACCCTATGCTCTTTGCTTTGGTAGGTGGCTGCCGATCGTGGTACAAGGCCAATCGTGTCAACGGACGCGTCACGGCGACATTTGCTGGGAGTGCCATTCTGTATGAGAAGCTCGTAAATGGGGCACTGAGGCCCGAGGATTTCGACATTGGGTATCGAAGTGCGAACCGATGGCGCTTTCTAGGGAACGGCTTCACTGAATATGAGCTGACGGAGGGGAACGATCTGAGCTATTATATTCCGTAGACCTGAATCCAGTTCTGGTCACGGCCGCTCCTCTGGCCCTTCTTCTCGCTCGCCTTGGACAAAAGCCAGATCTCCAGTCTTCCCGAGGGCGTGGCGAGCCGCTTCCTCGAGTAAGATGCCCATGGCAAGCAGTGCCGTTTCGTCCATACTGCAGAAATCATCTCGTGTATCGCCCAGGTGTCCAGACCCGTAGTAATCGGACGCGTAGGCATGGATTGCTTTGAGTAGGTCCGAATCCGGGAGTGTAACACCAGCGGGAAGATTACGGTTGGCGAAGTATACATCGTTCTCTTGATACCGGATAGGAGCGTCCTTGCGGCTGAAGAGCACTTGATCGGGGGGCACGGGCTTCTTCGTGCTGTCCAAGATGTAGCCTTCGTAGCTGAGCCTTCCAGCAACGGCATCGTAAAGAGTACCTTGGACTCCGGCTTTGCTGGAACTCCTGCTGGAGTTCCTGCTTTGGCTGTTGTTTTCCCGTTTCTCCTGATCTTGCATAACGTTTGCTTTGCCTTTTCCCTTCTCCATTCTCGGCCTCTTGAATGGGCCAGCAGCGTCAGAACTGCGGTCACGTAAGTTTTGCTTTCCTCTCAGGGGCAGCACATCGTCCTTAAAAGAACTTGACTCCGGCTCCTTCCTCTTGCCCAAAGACTTGGCACTTTCCTCGCTTGACCAAGACGTTCAAGACTTTCCTCAGGAATTCTTCTTCCACGCCTTCCCACTCTCTTCCAATGACTCCCTCCCCCTCTCTCAGTTCATAGACGGTCAAGACTGCACCTTTCTGTCCAGTGTCGTCTACCCATCCGTATATCGTGTCTGCCCACTCTCCTATGCTCCGCCAGTACACCCAGCATGTGTTACTCTGCTCGCTCCTGGACGCAGAAGGGATGAAATCCACGGTGCGGCCAGACTGGCTCATGTACTCAAGCACAGCGCGAATGTCGTTTGGTTTCAGACTCCGCTTGATACTTGTATTCTGGAAGAGATCTTGCGGTGGAGAGGAGAGTGAGAGCTTGAAGAGACGATGGTAGGCACAGTACGACAGGATCAAGCTCGACCAGAGGTCCAGTTGGCGTGCGCGGGTGGTGAGGTTGGGTTGCAAGGTGTAGAATGGAGGGAAGGCCGCGAAGGGCGGGAAGCTGAAGGACGTAGAATTGCTTGTCTTGGTGGGAGAGCTTGCGCTGTGCCCTGACGCTGAGGGAGCGTATGCTGTTGATCCAGAGAGGGACAGTCCCACCAGCGAGGGTTCGGGTGCTTCGGTGGACATGTTGGAGGTAGATTGTTGGGCCTGAGAAAGCTGAGCATGTGAATAGGGCGATCTTTGCTGCTATTTGATGGTGTTCAATGGTATTTGATGGTGGTTGATGGGGCTCCATGAAAGACTCATCGACTTACAGGGAAGTGGTTGGATGCCTCAGGCTTTAGTGGTTTTAGCGTCGTTCGGAGTCGGCTCACTGACTGCCAGAATTTCCTCGCGCTGTCGAGCTGCAAACCACGACATCGCCAACCACTTCCACCACTTCCACCACCGCCGACATCACCAACGCCAAGCTCGCCACGCCACGCCCCGCCACGCACCCGAATCGTGAACCGGGGCGGCGTTGATAGCTAATTGTTCGTGATAGCTCAGATCAATACTCGACTCCATGGCGCGCGTCATCTGAGTCGTGTGCCTGCCGAGAACACCCCAACCTCGAACTTCGCCGACAGCTCCTTGTGAGCACCAACACTCAAGATGAGCGCGTGGGCCGAGACCAAGACCGCCGACGGTCGCACGTATTACTGGAACAAGCAGACCAAAGAGACGACATGGACCAAACCCGCCGACTTCGACTCCGCCGCAGCGGCATCTCCTGTTCCTGCCACGCCTACTGGCCCCGCCGGTGGAGCTGCAGACTGGAGCGAGGCCAAGGCTCCTGATGGACGCCCTTACTATTACAACAAAGTCACTCGCGAGACCCGATGGGAGATGCCGCAAGTCCTGCAGCAGGCACGCCAACAGCAGAACGCCCGCCCAGACTTCGTAGCTGGCGGCGGCGGATTAGCCCCAGAATATGCTTCGCGTCCCCCGCGCAACGAAGACCGGGTTTCCAGGAGACACGACCGCGATCACGGCCTTCCGCAGAAGCCGAGCTTTGATGGCCAACGAGGCGCAGGGATGCCATGGGACTCGAGACCCGAAGGCGCGGGCTTCCGAGGCCCAATGCCAGTCAAGACAGACGACCCAGACTATGGCACCCCCGAAGCCGCTGAAGAGGCCTTCTTCAAGCTCCTCAAGCGCCACAGTATCTCGCCCGACACAAAATGGGACGAGGCGATGGGTCTCGTCGTTCGCGACCGCGAATACCGTGCTATCAAACAGCCGAAAGATCGCAGAGTCGCGTACGAGAAGTATTGCAAGGAAGTGCGCGAGCAGGAGAAGATCAAAGAGAAGGAGCGGAAGGAGAAATTGCGTGAAGATTTTCGCAAAATGCTTGCCACGCACGAAGAGATCACGCATTACACGCGTTGGAAGACCGCTCGTCCAATGCTCGAGCATGAAGCTGTCTTCCGCAATGCCGGAAACGAGGATGAGAAGAAGCGCATATTCAACGAGTATGTTCTCGAACTCAATAAGAGGAACGAGAAAGAGAAGTCGGAGCGTCAGCGCGTCGCCCTCAATCAGCTCAATCAGATGTTGCAAGCTCTGATCACCAATGCTGACACCAGCTGGGCTGACGCTGAAGAAAAGATCATGCACAGTGCGCGTTTCGTTTCCGAAGACATCTTCCGGTCGTTGCACAAGCTCGACGTTTTCAACGCCTTCACGCACCACATGAGGGCCCTGGAGAGGGTCGCAATTGAGGAGTTGCACAAGCGAAAGGCGCTACGTAGACGTCGCGACCGTAAAGCTCGCGATAATTTCAGAGAGCTGCTGAATGAGAAATTCAAGGAGGGCAAGATCAAGGCCAGAACCAAGTGGCAAGACGTTTCCCCCCTTATCGCCGACGACGAGCGCTACATTGCGTATCTTGGAATTCCAGGAAGTGACCCTCTCGATCTCTTCTGGGACATCGAGGACCGGGAAGAGCGCAAGCTTCTGTCGAAACGCAACGATGCCATGGACGTATTGGAGGACGCTCGCTTTGAGCTGAAGCTCGACACACCCTTTGAGGAATTTGCGAACCTGATGCGAGACCATGAGAAGACTTCGTATCTCCAGGAGGACGATTTGAAGATGGTGTACGAGCGATTGATTGAGAAGGTGAACCGTCGCATTCGGCAGGGCAAGCTCGAAGAAGAGCGGCGGAAGAGAGAAGTCGTGGAAGATTTGCGCGCTGTCATGAAGAAGGTAGACCCACCAATTCGCCTGGAAGACAGCTACGAAGAAGTCGCTGCAAAGCTTGCAGGCCAGCGAGACTTTAAGGACGCGGACGATGAGATGCGCCGATCAGCGTACGAGAAGTACATGCGACGTTTGAAGGAGCGAGAGGAAGACCGCGATCGACGCCGAGACCGCGACCGCGACCGCGAGCGAGATTCTCGGAATGGTTCGCGCCGTGACCGCGACAGAGATCGCCGGCATCGTACTCGTACTCCCGAAATCGACGCCTATGAGGCAGACAGGAGGAAGGCACAGGAGGCGCGCGAGCGATCGTTCCGGAGGGCCTCATTCGGGCTCACTCCACCACCACGCGATCGTCGTGACATTAGGCACGATCGCGGCGATCGCCATTCTGATCGACTGGAGCCAATGTCCATCTACGACCGAGAGAGACGTGAGAGGGAGTTGGAGCGTGAACGCAGCTACATCAGCCGTGCAGACCCACGCGATAAGGGAAAGAGTCTGGACTACGGAGATGATGATGCGATCGGCAGCCGCCCCGGATCCGTTCGAAAGAGAGGGAGCTCCGTGGGCAGCGCAAACAGCCGTCGCGAGAACAAGGTAAGCTCTATCCGTTGGAAACCTCACGTCAGTACCATGCTAACAAGTCACAGCGTCCACGCCGTGATCGACGCACCCGCTCACCGGAGCCCGCTGGTGTTCTCAAAGAGGAGTCGCCGGCATTGCAGAGCGGATCGGAGGAAGGCGAGATCGAGGAGGTGTAGAATCGCTCTTCGAGACTGACCACCTCCGGTCCTACTGCTTCGCGGCTGCGCAAGGATTCTCGGTCTTCGACTCAAATGACGCAGTCCAGCGAGGCTAACGACACGATGGAGGGTGTCGAGTGCAAAGCAAAGATGCAGGTACCGACCATCGTGATTACCGATGCTAAGAATTCAGCACAATAGGTCTTGTCCACGAGCCACGACGCGACCTTGCCACCGCCGAATTGGACAGGCCTCTACCTATTGCCTTGAAGACGGAAGCAGTGCAGAGTTGGGATGGTGACATGGTTTACTTGCGACGTACGTCCTTGCCCTTGAGAGCATTCAGGTGGAGTGGAGACTGAGGAAATGATGATAACAGCATGCAACTGCAACTACTGGAATACCTTGTCTATCCGAGCGAGGAAATGAGCGACACCAGCCGTACGGTACGTTCTGTGCATTGTGTTCAAAAGCAAATTCTATGTTCTTGCGCTTTTTGGGTCAGTTTCGTTCTTTTGTCCGCTCTCCGTTTCTTTCGTCACGCTGCAAATTGCTGGTGGTAAGCAGCATTGCAGATCCTCCTCGCCACTGCTGAGCCTGCCTGCATTCTCCCCCGGCTGTTCTCATTAACATCCGATATACAGCGGTGACATCTTTCTCATTGATTCGTCCATCGCTCATCAAATCGTGACCCTCCCACAGTGAAGGTTGAGCTTCGCTGGTCGAATGGCACAGGATGGATAATTTGACAATGAAGGAAGGATCATGCCGTCATCGTCCTCCTCCGTCTCATCGGCTTCCTGTTCCAGCAACTCATCGGCGCCGCTCTTGACGCAGCGTCTGCGTTTGGTACCGATCACGGTCGAGGCGTTGAGCTTTCCAGTCGAGCTCAATGCAGAGTTTATCCTGAAGACCTCGGCGACGCCTTTCAAGACTCTTGTTCCAAAAAGAAGTACTTCCCCTCGGACTTCTGCTCGCTGTCGAGCTGCGAGTTGAGCTTGTTGATACGTGGGCGGTAAGTATTTGGATCACGACGGAAAGTGACGTTCAAGCTCTTGAGGAATTTGTTGCAGCCTGTGAGCAAGCTCTCGGGAGTGTTCGCACGGGATTTGATGGATGGCTGACCGTCGAAGACGATGACGCGGTCGGCGAGGTAAGTCGCCATGATGAAGTCGTGCTCCACGACAAAAGCGGTCTTCTTGGAGTGCATGATGAAGCGCTTGATGACACGAGAGGCGATGATACGCTGCTCAGAATCCAGGTAGGCACTTGGTTCATCAATGAGGTAGATGTCAGCCGGCATGCCCAAGGCCAACACAATCGCGACACGCTGCAATTCTCCTCCAGACAAGTTTTGAACCTCCTGGTCGATGAAATCGTCGATCTTGAGGGGCTTGTAGACATCAGTCTGGAACTGAGGACTGAGGAAGGCCGCCTTGATCTTCTTGAAGAAGAGCTGACGCACGGTGCCTTGGAATTTCGGTGTGATCTTCTGTGGCTTCATGGAGATGTGCATCTGGGGAACCTTTTTGCCATCGTCGGGCTTCTCAGCTCCAGCCAGCATCTTACAGAAAGTGGTCTTGCCGGTACCGTTCTCTCCCATCATGACGATGATCTCGGAATCGGTAAATTCGCCCTTGTTGATGGTGAGATTGAAGTTTCCGAGAGTCTTGGTCATGTTTGGGTAGGCGTAGCCACGTGACTTGTCCACCAAGAAGTCATCAGAAGCATCTCCCATGCGGAACTGCAAGCTTTCCTCCCGGAAACGCAAGTTCTCGGTGGGGATGTTGCCGTCCAAAAAGATGTTGATACCTTCACGGACCGAGAAGGGAGCAGTGACAACACCGTAGACTGCAGGCTTTCCGTAAAGACAGCAAATGTAGTCCGACAGGTAGTCCAGAGTCGACAGATCGTGCTCGACGACGATAACATAACAGTCGGGGCGGAGCAAACTGCGGATCATGCGGCCGGCGGATAGACGTTGCTTGGTATCCAAGAAAGACGATGGTTCGTCAAACATGTACACATCGGCCTTTTGGACGCAGACCATTGCGATGGCAAAACGTTGCAATTCTCCTCCAGAGAGGAGGTCGACTTCACGGTCCCAGACTTGCCTCAATTCTACATCAAATTAGACATCCGGACAAATTGATGCACCGTGTTTCCAAAACATACCTAGCACGTCGACAATCTCATTCATTCTGTCCTCGTCCACTTGACAACGCTGCTTGATCTGAGCACCGACGTGACGGGCAGCACCAGTGCCTTTGACAGCTTTGGGGATTTGATCGACGTATTGCGGCTTGGTGACAGCCTTGAGGTTGTCCTCGAGGATCTTGGTGAAATAATTCTGCAACTCCGAACCTCTGAAGTACTTGAGCACCTCTTCCCAATCCGGCGGGTCATCGTGTCTTCCCAAATTTGGCTTCAGCTTGCCAGCCAATATCTTCAACGCCGTGCTCTTCCCAATACCGTTCGTTCCAACCAGACCCAACACCTGACCAGGACGTGGCATGGGCAGCCGGTGCAGCTTGAATGAATTGGGGCCGTAACGGTGTGTGACCTGCGACTCGAGGTTTGTAGGCAAGTTGATGATGTTGATCGCGTCGAAGGGGCATTTCTTAGGACAAATGCCACATCCTATGCACAAGCTCTCGGAAATGAAGGCGATCTTGGAAGTTGGGTCGACATCGATGCAGAACTTGCCGGTCTTGACGACGGGACAGGACTTCTTGCACTCCTGGCGACACTTCTTGGGCTTGCACTTATCGGGGTTGACAATGGCGATACGGGTCAACTTGTCCTGCGACATGGTGGCGGTGGTGTATGCGATCGAGCGGTCAAAGTCGAAGTCGAAGTCGATTTTCGGTGGGCTGTAGTGGGGGAATCTCGAGGGTGCGATTCGAGTACTCGGGAGATCTGTGGAGGCACGCTTCGCTCTGACTCTTGCCAACGGCTGTGTGTACGTCGAGAGCGTAGGAGGCGCCGAAGCAGAGTCGTGACGAGGAAAGAAGGGAAGAACAGTGGGTGGGTTGTGAGGGAAAGAAAAGCTTTGTTGTTTGATGCGAGCGGTTGCTGATGCGCTGTCAGCAAGAATTGGTGCGCACTGCTCGTGATCCCCATCAACTGCCCATCAAATTTTCATGGTATCCTGAATGGACAAGATATATCCGAGCAGATATAACCGGACGGATGGACTGACTGAATGACTGACTGTCTGTGTTTTACTCGCGAAGAATTGTATTCCACAAGGCTTCTGGAAAGGGCGCTTGGCATATTATTTGGCAGTTACGGTCAGTTCGACTTCTGGATCTGTGGGTTCTTACTTTACTGTCCTGTTCGGGGCGAGTGCTTGGCAAAGGCGGGCACTCCCGTCGCCGAGCAGACCCTCTTGCTCGCTCGCCCAAGCAGAAGCAGCCTGTAGCCTGTAGGACTGCGCTTGTCTCGACTTTCACTCACTCACCACCCACCACCTCAGCGCACACCCACGCTACCATCTCGCCGCTGCTGAGGTCTCAGGAAATATGGCCTGTGAGTACCACTTTTCCTTCATTTCCCCTCGCATTTACTCCATCGCAAAGGCACACGACCTGGACTCGGCCATGACGCCAGCCATCACAGGAGGCCCATATCACCCATATCCCATCTTCAATCCATCAGAACTCCCCCTGGAACGCCGATCTCGATCGCTCCCACCAATAATCGACCCGCCGAACCGTCTGAAATAGTTCTCTGGTCGCCGGTGCCCTCTCAGCATCCGAGGCGCGCTCCCTCCGCCAACTCATCAACCGGCCACCCTTTTCATCCGGGCTTGATATCGGACGAATTGATCCTGGAACCTCTGTCTTTAAGGCGGGGAATCCGGTCGCGTACTGCTTGCGGACGCACCTGCGGAATTTGGGCTCTGGGCGACTGCCGTGTCGTGAGAAATCGCGCTGACTTGCTCTTGTTGTAGCCGGGCCAATACTCCTACCCACGTATCCGTCTCAGTCTAACGACATGTCTCTCGCCAATGGGCATGCGTCCGTCGGTGACGCGGACCTGCTGAAGCCAACGCCGCAGCCCACGCGTAGCGAGAGCGAGCTATCCGATCTACACGATGTTCCTACCAATACCATGCCATCAACGAGCGCACCGCAGGAAGAGGTCCATTCCGATGATGATGCCATTCACGATATGGCCACCTCCGAGTTGGACGAGGATGAAGATGCGCCCGGAGAGGAGGATGCAGACTTTGACGAGGAGACCCCTCCGCCGGCGCAGCCGGACGGTATGGACCACGACAGATCATCGTCCGAATCCATCTCGAGGCCTGGAAAGCGGAAAGCCGAGGTCGACGATGAAGAATATATGAAGCAGAATCCTGAGTTGTATGGGTTGCGGCGTAGTGTGAGTGCTGAAAACCTTGCACTAACACTGCCTCACTGACACTCTTTCCACAGGGCCGAGCAAGACCTACCCGTCGACTGGTATGTGCACCTCGATAAAGTCGATGGAAGTGGTTGACTGATGTTCGCGAAAGGTTGAAAGCTCCGATGAAGAAGAGGAAGAAGACGAGGACGATGTCAACAACGGAAGGAGGCGGAAGCGGCAGAAGATTACTGGCGCCAAACCGCGTATGTGTTCAATACCATCCCGACCCGCCTACAACATGATGTTCGCTGACCGGAGAGCACAGCTACCTCACGCGACGACAGAGAGTCTTCACGCCCGGGCTCCTCAGCTCGGTCTGAGTCAGAAGAGGATGATACCTACGGAGGTCAACGCGGCCGCAGTTTCGCGAAAAAGCAGAGGCAGAAGCTGCAGAGCATGACCTCTGGCAGTGGTACACCACAGTTGAGCGAAGTTCGCTTTTCGACCCGCCGAGCGGCCAAGGTAACGAACTACAATGAGGACGACAACTTCGATCTCAGCGACGAGGACACGGAAAACATGACCCCCAACTACTGGACATATGCCGAGGAAGACAATTCGCCCGCCATAGATGTGGTTCTCAACCACCGCGTGAAGGAGGGTGCAGGTTTGTAGCCGCCTCTATTCTCTGACGCTGGGTCTTCCTACTGACATTCTGCGACAGAGCCAAACCCTCCTGACAAGCATGACTTTGAATTCTACGTAAGCTCGCATTCTACCACAGAAAATCTTGTGACGAGACTGACGAGGGCCAGATCAAATGGCAAGGTCAAGCATATTATCATGCAACGTGGCATCCCTGGGCCGAATTGTCCTCCTATCGTGGCTTCCGCCGACTTGAAAATTATTTCCGCAAGACCGTCAAAGTCGAACTCAGCTTGGCACAAGACCCCGATACCGCCATTGAAGATCGAGAACGGTGGAATCTCGAACGCGAAGCCCGTCTCGATGAGCAGAACGACTACATGAAGGTTGAGCGCGTCATCAGTGCAAGAGAAGGCGAGGATGGAACCGAATACTTGGTCAAATGGAAAGGCCTATACTACGAGTCTTCCACTTGGGAGCCTGCAAGCCTCGTCAGTCAAGAAGCTCAGGTCGAGATAGATCGCTACTTGGATCGATCAGCCAAGCTTCCGGTCTCTGACAAGACCGAATCGAACCTCAGCACAAGGTCTGCCTACAAACCGTTCCGGAGCCAACCATCTTACATCAAGGGTGGTGAGCTTCGGGAGTTCCAGATTCACGGTGTTAACTTCCTGGCCCACCACTGGTGCAAAGGCAACAATGTCATCCTCGCAGACGAGATGGGACTCGGCAAGACCGTGCAGACTGTGTCCTTCATGAACTGGTTGCGGCACGACCGTCGACAACACGGTCCATTCATCGTCGTCGTCCCCCTATCTACGATGCCGGCTTGGGCAGATACATTCAACAACTGGACACCCGACATCAACTACGTGGTGTACAATGGTCCTGAGCCCTCGCGAAAGATAATTCGTGAGCATGAGCTTCTCGTGGATGGGAACCCGAAGAAGGTCAAGTTCAACGTTCTACTCACCACCTACGAATACATCTTGGCAGACTCTGGCTTCCTTTCGCAGCTAAAGTGGCAATTCATGGCAGTGGACGAGGCTCACCGGCTGAAGAATCGCGAATCGCAGCTCTACGGGAAGCTCATGGACTTTGGCGCGCCCAGCAGATTACTGATCACTGGAACTCCCATGCAGAACACACTCAGCGAGTTGTCCGCGCTTATGGACTTCTTGATGCCTGGCAAGATCCATGTCGAGGAAGACATTGACCTGACGTCGGAACATGCCAGCAGAAAGCTGGCCGAGCTCACCGACGCTATCTCGCCCTATATGATCCGACGTACCAAGCAGAAGGTTGAGAACGACCTTCCTCCAAAGACGGAGAAGATCATTCGTGTCGAGCTCTCTGACGTGCAGCTGGAATACTACAAGAACATCCTCACTCGGAATTACGCCGCACTCAACGCTGGTTCCAAGGCACAAAAAACCTCCTTATTGAACATCATGATGGAGCTGAAGAAAGCCAGCAACCACCCGTTCATGTTTCCCAACGCCGAAGACCGCATCTTGGCCGGTAGTGAAAGCCGAGAAGATCAACTCAAAGCCTTGATCACATCAAGTGGCAAGATGATGCTGATAGATCAGCTTCTTACCAAGATGAAGAAGGACGGGCATCGTGTTCTTATTTTCAGTCAGATGGTTAAGATGTTGGACATCCTTGGCGACTATCTGACCCTCCGAGGGTACCAATTTCAGAGACTGGATGGTACAATTCCATCTGGGCAAAGACGCAATGCTATCGACCACTTCAACGCGGCAGACAGTCACGACTTTTGCTTTCTCTTGTCGACTCGTGCGGGCGGTCTTGGAATCAACCTTATGACAGCGGATACTGTCATCTTGTTCGACTCGGACTGGAATCCACAGGCGGATCTGCAAGCAATGGCTCGAGCACACCGTATTGGACAGAAGAACCCGGTCACAATCTACCGGCTTGTCTCTAAAGATACGGTGGAGGAAGAGGTCCTCGAGCGTGCACGTAACAAACTGATGCTGGAATTTATCACCATTCAGCGCGGTGTCACTGATAAGGATGCCCGCGAACTTGGCGATCGCATGGCGCGCGTTGGTGCCAGCGTGGCTGAGCCTACCTCTTCGGATGACATTTCCATGATTCTGAAGAAGCGTGGCCAAAAGATGTTCGAGCAGTCTGGCAACCAACGCAAGCTTGAAGAGCTGGATATCGACGCCGTGCTCGAGAACGCTGAAGAGCACAAGACGGAGCAGCCCGAAGGCATGACCACTGATGGCGGCGAGGAGTTTCTGCGTAGCTTCGAATACACCGACGTCAAAATTGATCTCGAATGGGACGACATCATTCCTAAGGCTGAGCTCGACAAACTCAAGGAGGAGGAGCGCAAGAGAAAAGAAGAGGAGGCTCTCGAATCCATCATTGAGCAGAATCAACCACGAAAGCGGAAAGCGCCAGCTGACGAGAGCCGTGATCAGCGCGCTGCTAAAAAGCGAGCGCGCGATATGATGCCTGCGGAGGAGATTGAATCTGACGGCGATGATTCCGACCATGGCGTTGATCCGAGGCGACCTCTGGGCGAGAAAGAGTGCCGTCACCTAATCCGTGCGTATGAGCGCTTTGGCGCAATGGAAGAGAAGCAGGACGAGATCATTAAAGAGGCTCGTCTGGTTGGCCGAGAAGTCGACGTCGTCAAGGACACTCTCAAAGAGATCATCGATACCGCCATTCGGCTACAGAAAGACCACGTCGAGGAACTCGCCGAGATCGAGCGTACGACGAATAAAGCCGTCACGAAGAAAGAGAAGAAGGCGGTTCTCTTCGACTTCCGTGGCGTCAAGCGTCTGAACGCGCAGACTCTGACGGAACGCCCTGAGGAGATGCGAATGATTCGGAATTGCGTTGATCAATGCTCAGATTGGAGGACCTTTCGTGTTCCAGAAGCCTCCAAACCTGCCTCTTATACTTGCGACTGGGGTGCCAAGGAGGATGGCATGCTTTGTGTCGGCATTGCACGTCATGGATATGGTGCCTGGGTGCCAATCCGCGACGATCCCGACCTGGGACTGCAGGAAAAGTTCTACTTGGAAGAACACAGGGTCGGCGCCAAAGAGGAGCGTAGCAAAGCTGGTGAGGAAAGCAAAGTGGCCAAGTCACCTGGTGCTGTTCATTTGGTGCGCCGAGCGAACTACCTACTGAGCGTGCTGAAGGACAAGACCAGTAACGGCACTAACATTGCAGCCAAGAAGGCTCTGGAGAATCATCATCGCAACAACAGGAAGCATCTTGGACAGTTCCATGGGCGCATGGCCACTCCTGGTCAGTCTGGCAGTCCTGGTCCCAACAGCACTCGCAAGCTGCACCAATCCGACATTCGGAACAGCATCGACCGTCGCTTCGGCTCACACGCATCTCCGAACGGTCATCGGCACGGTTCGAGTCACACTAAGTATCGTCAATCTGAGGAGCGGCGACCTCAGCATCAACGGCACGGGAGCTCGCCCATGGCCAATGGCGTGTCGAAGCCTCTTTCTGAGGCGGAGCAGCGCGTTCGCAAACTGCTCGATCCGATTAGTGGTACACTCGACAAGGTCTCCGGCGCCACCAAAAAGAAGGTCCCTGACGATGACGCCCGACTGAAGATGATTAAGCAAGGTCTTGTAGCGATTGGCAACCACATCTCGACCCAGGTCCGCGGCCTAGGTCAAGAATCTATCGAAAACAAGCTCTGGGACTTTGTTGCAGAGCACTACTGGCCGCAATCAAAGTCTAACGACAAGCGGGTCTCCGGGAACAAGCTGCGTGATATGTACAAGAAGATCTCCGGCAAAGACAGCAAAGAAAGCGCGAGTGGTACGAAGACAAGCCCGAGCGTGTCCAAGAGCGGACCGGCTGCCAGCTCTTCTTCTGCGACCAACGGGGCTACGGTGAAGACGGAAGCCAACCCAGAAAAGAGCGAGCCTGCCAAGGAAGACGTCAAGCAGGATCCAACAGCATCCAAGGTTAAGGAAGAGACGGCTGAGGACTCGAAGGAGCACGAGACTCAATCTGGGGCCGCTGAAGACGTTGAGAAGGACGTTTCTCTTGAGAAAGCGAAAGAAGTTCTCCCAGAGAAAGACGAGCAGTAGCGCTACTGGGCATGCCTGATCTGGAAGAGCAGAGTAACGTTGGAACAAGACATACGATGAGATTCAGTGTGGTATGACAATATAACTGGAGAGAGTAATACAGGCATCTGGAGAGGCGCACGACTCGGACTTTGAACAACGCAGTGTTTCTGCGACTACAGCATCAGCGTTGATTTGACAGACCATGAAAAGCGAAGGTGTTTATGGGGCTGATATGGGGATTGGTTGCATTAAACAGACGCCGGCGAAGCGTTCCTGTGGTGGGTGTTTGCTCTTGGACCTTGGTTCTGATCGCAGATGGGTATGTGGAACGAGTCAGCACATGTCTACCTGTATCATTGGGTGCTGCCAGTACATGCTAGTAGACCGAAGGCGACATGACCTTCAGCAGTAAATGGAACTAGGTGGTCGACGCATTGACCACACAGCTTACCTAAGCTCTAAGCATGTGAACCTTTCATTTTGATTTCCTCTGCTTCCTCTCCTTCCTGCCACTTTTGCTACCAGCGCGCGGCCCGCCAGACACTTTCCGCAGCCCTCGCTCTGCTCATGCTTGTTGGAGCCGCCAGCCTCCCCCGTCAGTGCACGTGACGGCCGCGCGGGTCTATCTCTTTCATCCGAACATGGCTCTCAACAGCTACCTAAACAGTGAGTCTCTCACCACCCCTACCCACAGCGCTCCTCTACGCGTGCTCAGCTCACTGCTGCCCTCACAGAATATACACTAACATCCCCTCTCCCTCTGTCTTGACAGAAAAAGTATGCCTCATCCTCGTGGACGGCCGATGCATGGTCGGCAACCTCATCTCCTGCGATCAAGTCACGAACCTAGCGCTCGAGAATTGCGTGGAACGCGTCATTCGCAGTCCGGAAGAGGAAGAAGCCAGTGAGGAAGAGCCGAGGGGGTTGTTCATGGTGAGGGGGGATAATGTCGTGGTTTGCGGGTTGGTGGATGAAGAGTTGGATGGGAGTATCGACTGGACCAAGGTTCGCGGGAGTGAGATTGGGACGACGAAACATGTATGAGTTTGAGGAGGGGGATGGATAAGAGCGTGAGATGTGAACGCTTCGGAGAGCTGGTGGGAAGGATATGAGTTTCTCGCCTGGGGCCTTGAGGAATGCCGTGCTCGCCGAGGCCATGCAGAGGCGGTCCGCACGGCAGAGGGGGATGAATGGATGGGCAGACAGCAAGATATGGGTGCGAAGAGGGCGACTGGACAGAAGTATGTACCTCTGCCAATTCGCATCAGGTCTCAGCAAGATATTGACACTATTCACAAGCCTCAGCCACGCGAAGAGATTAGAATGCGGGAACCAAAACCACACTGGCTACACTGGCGAAGGTGCCGCTGCCAAAGATCGAGACATGACTATTAAAAACAAGATGCGAGCCAAATAGCCTAGCCTCAGTCAGACAAAACAAGGGCAAGAATCATTCTCGTCGAATTTCAGCCAGCCCAAGCCTGGCTTTCCCTCACTTTCCTTCAGCAGCACCAGCCTCTGGCCTTCGCTCAACTGTACACAGCACGACTTTGACTTTCAGCCCGGCATTAAAACCCAGCGACAACCTTGCAGCTCTCGAGGCTCGAGGCCGACTTGCCGGGACCCCTCTTACGTCAAGCTCTTCGAGCTCATACAAGATCGAACGCTTCCCAAGGGTAACAAGAATTGACTGCACATTCCAAGTCGACTGTTTAGATCATACCATTGCAAAAACAACCAATACCAGTCCAGCTATGCAATCCGCGAACCGCCTCCTCAAAGCCCTCAAAACCAACAAGCCAACCTTCGGCGGTTGGCAGAAGCTCCCGGGCAGCAACCTCAGCAGGACAATCGCTCGTACGCCCAATCTCGACTGGATCTGCCTCGACTGCGAGCACGGCAACATCTCCGATTCCGAAATGCACGAATCCGTAGCTGCAATCGCCGCCTGTGGCGTTAGTCCCATCGTCCGAGTAGCAGACGGTCAACACTGGATGATCAAACGAGCACTGGATTCCGGAGCACACGGGATCATAATACCGCTCTTACACACAGCCGAAGATGTGGAGAACGTGGTGAGGTATAGTAAATTTCCGCCTCAAGGGAATCGAGGGTTGGGCGGTGCCTTTGCGATGGAGAAGTTTATCGATCAGACAGCTTCCGATCCCGAGGAAATCTCGCTTCAACAGTATTTTCGAGAAGCCAACGACAGTATCGTGGTCATTGTACAAATTGAGACGGCTTCCGCGCTCGAGCGAATCAGTTCAATTGCAGCAGTACCCGGGGTCGATGTGTGCTTCATCGGCCCTGTGGATTTGGGCAATTCGATCGGTTATCCTTGTGAGTCGCTGGGCAATTATGCGCCAGAACTGGAGGAAGCGATTGGCAAGATCAAGGGAGAAGCGCAAGCGGCTGGGAAATGGACGGGAATATACACCTCGGGAGGAGAGTCGGCCAAGAAGTATGCCTCGGAAGGGTTCAGTATGATTAACGCGATGAATGATGTGTCGGCGATCAGGATGACCTTTGGACAGGCTGTGCAGGCTGCTAGGCAATGATAAAGGGACGAAGGATTTGTGTGTAATATTGAGAAGTCTCGGTATTCTTTTCGCATTTCAAGATTATGCAGTCATTGTGGAAAGGTCGTGACAAGTGATGGGCCAGCGGAGTTTGCATGGAATGTGACCTGGGCTATGAGTGCGTATCTGAGAGCACTTTGTCAGTACTGCATAAGTGAAGAATGAGGCAGATGATGATGGAAAAGGGCGAAATCAGTTCTCCAAGGTAAAATAAGTATCGTCAATGTCGTTCGGTAAGAACACAGCGAAATTGGTGCTCATCAGGAAGGGTGACGGGAGAAAGAGCGAGCAAAGCATACCTTATCAATGACTGCATACACTTCACATCAGTATATGGTTGCTGAACTCGAGTTTGCAAAATGGGAGGGTGAAATATTTTTCAGAGATTTTGATTTAGAGCTTCATGGTATACAAAGATCCGCGAGGATTTTCACATCACTAGGAGCGTGTTTGGATGGCTGGAGCTGTGTACGTACATCTAGAGTGAAGCGCCGTAGGCAAGCGATATCTGTGTACTCGATACTCGAGTCAGCGTCATCGAGGTCGCGGTTTGTCTGAAGTCGACAAGGCACGCATGGGAATGCAATCAGGCTGTGACACGTTAGCATAGATTATTGTGCTCGGGAGTCGGTAGACATACCTCATTAAATCAGATTTTGTTTTAGGTTGCATGACCGTATGAACGGTTCAAACAGTGTGAATAATGTTCATCATTGCAGGAGTGGTGAGAAAGCAGAGAATGCAGCGTACCTGCGAGTCGATTAGCTGAGTTCGCATCGCTTCACCTCGGCTTGTGGATTGTGGATGTTGAAATCAGTTAACGCTTTCTCAACAAGCACTTCGTTGCCCGAACACCCGCAAGGTTTGTACGCCTTGCTTTTGGTGGATGCCAAACTTCGAGTACGCAGTCTGTCCGCCCGTTGCGTTGAAGGGCTCATCCTTAAATGGGCGAGACGGGGAAGGGAGGAAGTATGTACCTGAGATTGGTGTTAGCGAAGCTCGCGCCCAAAAACGATCGACAGCAGAGTGGATTAGTTCTTCCAGTCAGACAAGGCTGAAACTATTTTTGACAAATTCGACATGGTTTGTTCCGTTCGAGGAATGCCATTTTGTCACAGTATCATCATATGGAGTACCAAGGGGTGCGTGAAGGCTGCGTACCTTTTGATGTTCGAATGCTAGACTCGTCGGACACGCAAAGCATGCCAGTGACAGCGGACGGTGTTGCCTCGAGGGCTTGCTATGACTCGTCGTCCAGCGAGCAAAGTTGTGCAGACCTGCGCAGCATGTTAGTCGAGTGTTGCCAACACGAGCCAAGAGATATGCTGGAATCGTAACAGTATGGTGCTCAGTGTAATTCTAGAGCTTGTTGAATCCTTCACGGTGTATAGGCTTTGGATTGTTCGTGTTGTAACATCCTTGACTGTCGGAGGTGTCGTAGGAGAGGAGATGTGGACATACCTGGTACTGGTAGGCGAAGTGGGAGGGCCGTATGCTCTTTCAGCCGTCTGCCATTCTAGCATGACGCGGTCGCATACCAGGCCCTCCACCAGATCAGATACCCGGCAGAGCTATATTGGCGCTGCTGCCGGGTCTGAGCCACAGAGAAGTGTTGATGCTGGTGTTGGTGGAAGTCGAAAGTTGAAATTCAAGTCGAAGATTTTCGAGCGTCGTCCGCGGGAATTAGCGGGGGCCTGTGCGCCAGATCACGTTATCTTCTCTCGGCTGCCTCAGGCACAAAGCTCACTATCACCTCTCGCTATCACTTCCTCGAGTTGCCCGGTTTCCTTTCTTCGATCCATCAAAAAAATTTGAGACTCTCTCCTGTTATCATGGTGATTCGATACAATCAAGCAAACATGGCTCTGGCAGTGAGTCTGAACAAAATGAAATACGCACATCTCGCTCACAACAGTCTTAGGCAGTTGGACAGATCACTTCTACCTCTTCGATGTCACACAATCTATCACAATGTCGGATCGTGATTCAAAAGGCCGTTGCGACTGGTGCCAAGGTAGTGTCTCCCCTCTGTCCCCGTAGAAGACGAACACTCAACGCACTGAAGGAAGGCTGTCTTTTTGCCTGAAGCGAGCGACTACATCGGAGGCTCTCTAGAGGAAAGCGTATCATTATGCAAGCCAGCAAGCCAGTCTCCTTTCGTTCTTGGCCTACAAGAAGACGCAAAGAAACATTCCTTGCCCATTTCGGTTGGAATTCACGAACCAAGCGATGACCCAGCGAGCAAGCGCATCAAGAATACCCTGGTCTGGATCAACGAGAAAGGCGAAATAGCCCAGCGGTATCAGAAGTTGCACCTCTTCGACTTGGAGATCCCGAATGGGCCCATCATGAGGGAGAGTAAGACTACTGAACCTGGACGTGAGATTCTGCGACCTTTCGAGACTGCCGTTGGGAAGCTTGGCTCGATGATATGCTTTGACCTGAGATTTCCGGAGATAGCTTTGGCTCTCAAGCGGCAAGGCGCTGATATCCTACTCTATCCTTCAGCGTTTACTGTGCCAACTGGCAAAGCACATTGGTTGTCTCTATTGCGTGCGAGAGCGATCGAATGTGAAACGTACGTAATCGCGGCCGCCCAAGTGGGCAATCACAATGAGAAGCGAGTGAGCTATGGACACAGCATTGTGATTGATCCTTGGGGCGAAGTGGTTGCTGAGCTGGGCGGAGAGAAGAAAGAAGAGCCGGAAGTTATCCTGGCGGAAATTGATTTTGGGAAGCTCGAGCGAATCAGGACGCAAATGCCATTACTGAGGCGCACGTGAGTACTCTCGACACAAACTGTTGCTGTCATCAAAATGCTGAGCACCTCGCAGCGACGTGTACCCTGAGATCTAACAAGCACGCACACGGTGTCCTCGCATATGGGAAAGTCACCTCGAGGGACCTTCCAGCCAATGTCGATGTGCGCCCTGGATCCGGGAAGAACTTGCTATCTTTCAGTGCGCAAAGGCGCTGTACACTTAGATCAGACTTCAGACAGTTTCGACATGGATTACTCCGAAAGGATGTCTTCGAACACGCCGACTCCTTTCCTCCCCAGAGCAGTACCCACACCAACTACCTCAGCTCCGACCGCTCGCATTCTTTGAAACCCAGCATGGTCGCTCACGCCGCCGACACCAATGATGGCAATACCTTTCAGCTGATCGTGTTTGTCTAGGATCGTACGGATGGTCTTTACATTTCCGAGTGCAAGTGGGTGCAGCGGTGCTCCCGCCATGCCTCCTATTCCAGCACCAGAAGCAGAATTCAAAGCAGGCACGCCGCCCTCACCGAGCTCATTTCCGAGTATCAAACTCGATCCCAGTGTATTTGTAGCTGTGATGAAATCAACAGGGCAGGTTGGCGTGCTTGCAGCCAGTAAGGCATCGATCAGGATTTGAAATTGATCGTGATAGGTATATGGAGGTGTCTTGATGCCAATTGCAACCCTTTGCTGTCCTGGGGGAGTCTTCTCACGTCCAAATGCATGTAGATAATCGGTTAAGGATGAGCCGCAGTATGCCGGAGGTGGTTTGTCCGGGATATTGGGACAAGACAAATTGATCTCCATGCAGAGTGGGTTGGGCATGATCGCCTGCAGGGCCTGAATTCTCTTATAGCATTCCACCACAGCTTCTGAGCTACCCGTGACTGAGATGATGAACGGTTTGCTTCTGCGTACGCTGTCCGGCAGTTTTGAGTCGGCCATGATGCGACCCAGCATGGAAAGATACGTTGCCAGTGGGACTGGACTGTAGCCGAGAGTGTTCAAGCTGCCGGTAAATGATGAATCGGCATCGCTGTCTGGACGGCTGGCTTTATGGTCATCAACATTGAAGAACGTGTATTGGTGTATCGCTGAATCGTGTTCGAATCCATTCAGGAGACAAGTGCGTGTTGTCACGGCTCCAGTGCTAGGGCAGTTGAACAGCGCCTGCAGATCGGCGAGCGTGGTGGCCCATGGATTCGCTGAGTTCACTAGAGGGGGTCGAATGGGCGGCAAAGGCATTTTAAGAATAAGTCCAAGCCATAGCGAAATTTTCGGAACAAGACGTTGGTGGAGGATGGCATGCGGCGATGCGCAGGAGAAATCTGATTTTAGGCACACGGCAAAATCACGAGATACGTCAAGGCCCTTATCATATCGTCGATATCTTGCCCTGCGACAAAGGCAATTGACAAGAGGCAGTGACGAGCACCTTTGGAGCAGCTTCGATACCAAGCAGCCAAAATGGAAAGAGGGCAAAAAGAAATCATGTACTACCAGTGAGCTGGTAGTGTCGTCGACGACAACGGCAGGATTCGAACCTACGCCCCCGAAGGGAATTGATAAGCTTTCATAGCTATGAGAGCTGGAATTCTAGTCAATCGCAGTAACCACTTTGCTACGTTGCCTTGATTAATAAGCGTGCGCCGTCCAAAATATATATAGCTTCCAACGATCATCCGGATCATGCCCTCGAACATTTCGGTGGTATAAGTCTGGAGCTCAGCTATGTATATAGTCTTTCCTATATATCATTCATTCTATAATATTACTACGTGCTATATCTTGCCTGTCTCTGATTGAGAGCCTCTCCTATACTTTGTTCGACTTTATGTAGTAGTTGCTCCAATAGTACATAATTTAGCTTCTAATGAACTTCTTCTCATACTCGACCTTTAGAGTCTCCTACTAATAGGACAAGATATTACTTGGTCTCTATCGTATCATAGCCTTCGAGGGGAGATACTAAGCCAAAATGTCGATTTGGCGTAACTTTGCCTTAGACCCTCGCAAGCTCGGAGCAAGCAAGCTTGCCAGCGGTTTGTACGGAGACAGCGTATCACAAGCTATGCACTCATTTTCGCATGTTTTGTACCGAGACTGCTTTCACCGTAATCCTTTATACTTCCTGTATAGATATTCTATCACTGCATCGTCTCTCCGTATCAAACCACCTTCTCGACGAAGGCCACCACGGATTCTTCATATTCCACCTGGTGACGACTATAGTAATGGCAAACACGCTCGAGAATAGATGGAACAGCATTTCGGAGCCTCAACGTTCTGTAGGTTCTCAATCCAAGCCAAGCCACAACGCCAACATTTTCGGATAATTCGGCGTGCCCAGTCCTGTGACAGGATCCCAACCGCTCACAGCAGTAAAGCCCGGAGTACCACAGCCTTGATTTCCACCTTGGGTGATGTCGTTGAAGACCTCGGGATGCTCATACGCGACTGGGTTCACAAAGCCAATTGAACTCTTCCCGGCATTGTAACGGGCCTCGTTGATGAGCGTCAGCACGCTGCCCAGAGTTGGCGATGAGGCAGAAGTTCCGTAGACAAGAGCCCATTGTCCGTCGATGGCGACGACGTAGTTGGCGCCGTTGGCCGAGATGTCTGGGAAGCCACGGGTTTGCTGGCAGAAAGTCATTGGAATGGTCTCAGGCAGTGTGAAGCAGAATAGCAAGCTGGGATGTTGCCTGATGCCTTGCACGTGGGGGATGTATTGGCGATAGATTCTTGCGCTTCTGATACGTACCTGGCTGTTGTTGAAACGATCGGCTCCATATGGTGGTGGGTGGTTCTCGAACCAGGACTTAACAGCACTGGATTGGTAGTCTGGCAGTGGAAAGACATTGCTGAAGCCGCCGCCTGAGTAAATGACAGTCTCACAAGCCTGCTCTGGCTCTGTTCGAGTGGCTATGATATCCGTTCCGGGGATGACCTGCGTGGCGCCGACCGAGGTGATGTATGGGCTGAAACTCCATGAGCATTTGTGCTGTACAAGAGTGAGACGAATCTGGACTCACCATGTACCGGGGAAGGAAGGATTGAATCTCCCGGTAGTCCCATTGTTGTATGGCGCATCTTCGCCTGTTCCGTTGATGCACTGACCGCTATTGCCAGCGACTCCGTAATCACCACTGGAATACAAGACGGAAACGCCCATCATTCCCAGCTTCATGTATTCCTGACATTGTCTCATCTCATAGAAAGGCGTGAGATCGTGCTCATTGTAGCTGTACGAGGTGCTGATGACTTTCGTAGCTGCAAAGCCGCCGCAGTCCTTCGGGCCTGTATAACACACTTCTCCAGGGTCCTCGTCACAGTAGGGATCAGGATACACTGCATCCTGGGTTGAGTCATCACCTCCATCGTAAGTGCAGTACGATCCGTCAATCGCATCTAGGAAGTCATTGAACGAGCCACCTTCCACAGCATCACCGACCTGGTAGAGTGTAACGTTCTGGGGATAGACCAGAGACATGGCATACTCCAAGTCCAAATTGCTTTCACCGTTGTAGTCGAAGCTCATGGTCTCGTTGTAAAGAAAGCCGCCGTCAACCGAATCAAACATCGGCCTTTGTCCAACTTGCTTGGTGCTGAAGTTTCTGAAGAACAAATCCAGGTCCGAGGGGACGTAAGCCTGGGGCGTATATTCAACGATACCGTAGCTGTTCTTTGAGTTTGCCGAAAAGCCTGGAGGAAAGTCATATAGCGCACGCAAACACCATGGCGTAATCTGTAAATCGCAGTCCTGCAGTTGTTTAACGATGTCGCTGTAGGGCAAAAAGCGGTTGAGCTTGGGAAGAGATCCTGAGCCTGGTTGACCAAGGGACCTGTCCACACCTGTGAACGTTAACAACCGATTCGTATACTTTGAAGGTGACAGGTACGTACCAGGACTTATCTCTCGCTTGTCCATTTTGGAATCATCTCGTGGCTTAAGCTTAGCATCGAAATGCTGTGAACAGTCAGATCATGTTCAAACCGGAGCGTCTTTCCACAGCCAAAAGTTGTTGTCTGTCCGACTGTCCCAGCAGAAGCCAGGGTCACAGCGAGTCGAATATCGCCATTCCAGCGGTAGCAGCGGTCGAGACAACCTTCTAAAATGCGAAGATGCTGTGGTCTGTTGCTCAACTCTTACTCACCACTGTAGGCGTCACAAAGTCGACTCTCTCCCTCATAGATTGAGGGATACTATACTCTTCGCAGGCAACATGCTGCTGACCGGTCCCCCGATGCTCGTAAACGTGGTATTTCGTATGGAGAAGACTCTCGGCCTCATCGACAGTGGCATCGAACTTCAACCAGCCAAGACTTTGGGTCTGTTCAATCCGGTCGTGAGAGATCCCAGCGGAGGCAAGCCAAGCCTTCACGGCCTGCACATTCTCGGAGCTATCTACAATCAGTGATACTGTTGACATTAGATTCATACAATACACACCTAGGAGCGAAAGTCTTGGCGATATCTTCAGCAGACCAGTGCTTGCCATATTTGTTCGACGCTGGATGGGACACGTCCATCAACCAGTCGTGAGCTTTGTCCAGATTGTTCTGGGCCAGAGCAACCTTCATGGGTAGGATCATCCGCCCATCTAGCTGGCTCCTTTTGAGCCAGCCATACGGGATGCTGTCTCTCTTTTCATGCACAACATGAGGATTGTCGACAGGTGAGGTCAGACATGAAACTGTGAGCAAGCTCCATATCAGTGAAAGGTGAAGCAACATAGTGTGGTGTTGTAGAAAAGATCCAACCGAGTCTCGAAATACGACCGCGGATTGCATGCCGTCTTATGTACCATCGCCAAAAGGCCCACCTCTGCTCCATCATACTCACAAGGACGGACGTCGATCTCGTGCTACTTCCCGAACGGGGCGTTCCTCCACTTCTACCAGTATCAAGATGCTTTGCTAGATCCTGCGAAGGGTGCTCTCGTGATGCACCACCTCTCAACCCTCCATGGTTTGCATATCCTTGTGCGGCACCACAAGAGCCTGTGGTGGTGCTCGATTACTGTTTGAATGCCAGAACCCAGACACTGAATGATCGAGTCATACTGATTGCCCATACCCAAATGAGCCAACACCTGAGAACAGACGAGAGATAATGCAAGATAAAGACCAGACCCAGTATTGTAACGTGGAGATGGAAAGGAACGCTAGGGAAAAAGCTGCAGTAGCTGGAGACTGGGAAAAATCAAGGCATATCAAGCATGTCTTCTCCTGCAGATTTGGGCGTAGGAACTGTGCTTGGCGGCGCCAGATTGGCAGTGCCGAAGAAGCAAGCACACCACGTCCCGCACCCACGAACATAGCGGAACCACTCCATCTTCAGTTTTGCTATGCGTCCGTCTGTTTTTCTCCGCGGCGACCGTGCTGTGCGTTCGGAGGCAAGTCAAGGTGAAGCGCCGCTTCGGCTATCTGTAGCCGAGCCGAGCGGCGTACTCTTGTCCGCATGCATCGGATCATCTCCATATCCAACCAGTTCAGCCGGCCGAAGACATGGGTATACGGACCTGCAGAGGCTCGCATGTTGTCTGCCGGCGCCGAAACAGAGGTCTGCTGAGCGCAAGACCGCAATCGCAATTTTGCATCAGCCGCGAATACTTTGACGCTCTAGACTGAACAAGCAGCTTAGTTCGATTACGCGCGGGCCCGATCACGCGTCCTTGTTAATGTGCATGTGTAGGCATCAGGACGTTGTCCCGAGACAGGTTCTCGGCTGACACTAAGCTGTCTGATGGGCTGTGAGCCTGACAACTCCACTGATTTCCAGTAGAGATATGGCGTCTCGATGTATCAAGACGCTTTCCTTGGGCAGAGTCAATTGGGTTGCCAGGGTATCATTTTTCGGAGACCAACATCCCACTTGTGGCTGACTCCATCGCCCACGTTGTAGCGGTAATAATTCTCAGTCCCTCCCTTGACCATGGCTCTTCGAAACGTAATGTTGATGCGCCCTTTACCAGCATCGCCTCCTTTCCTCTTTGGGATGCTATGCAACCACGTACTCTGTGTCTTGCCGCGCATGAGAATCATGTCCCCGCTGCTCAAGGGAAGCTTCGTGGGCTTGGTTTCGGACTCGTGCTTGGCTGCCGTGGGTTTATGTCTCAGTAGGAAATCTCGTTTGGCCCCGAGCGAAAAAGAGGCTATGGCAGGCTCAGCCCCAAGAAAGTGTTCGTCGTCGGAGTGGTAGGAGATGCTGTCGTCGCCGCTAGCGTAGTAGTTGACAAGTGCGAAGTTGTATTGACAGCTCGTCGCGTTCTGCGTCAGCTCTCGAAGAAGGTCTAAACATTGTGGGATGGGCCGAGGACGGCATTTGTAAGTGGTTGGAGGCAATGGCCTCTTGGTACCTGCATCCACCAGTCTCCCTTCTACATCGAAGCGAGCGGTCTCGTCGAGCCCAAAGACGGTGGTATATCGCGGCGTGTTGATCTGAGTCTCTGCTGAGCCGCGCTTGATGGTGTATTTGACTCTGTAGAAGAACAGCTCGCGTCGTAGGAAGTCGAATAGCTGGCGTTCGACCTCTTGTGGTATATAAGGTTGGAAGTAGACGAGATCCAGATCTGGCTGATCGTTTATAATCCTTCCATCTGTTGCAGGCACAAAATTGAGTATCTCACGAACGCTGGGAGGCAAGTGCGGTATAGAGAATGGATACGTGGAGTGCGCAGAGAGTTCGCGGGTAGTATCATCCGTCGCGAGGGAGTCGAGCGTATCGTCCTGGCTGTCTGGCTTGGCCTTCTTCGTGACTTGCGGGGTGAAGAAGCTGTCGAGCGTGCGTTTCGACATGGCGAGCAGTTCTACCAGGCTGTGCGAGAATACAGCTCAGGTGAATTGTTCTTGAGTGGATGTGGAAAGGGGAGTTGGCGACGGATGATGGAGCGCGGGTATGACGCTCACGATGAGGCCCGAGCTGCAAGTTCGGTCCGCGAAACAACCGCGTCTACACGTGCGCAGGCACCATCTCGACCTCACTTCATTCTTCCGCCCACTTTCCATTGCCGAACGAAGCGAGTCCAACCTAATGTGTGGATCTTATCGAGCTTGCTTCACTTCCTCACGGCGGGATGGGTCCGCGAGTCGCGCGAAGGAGGGCCGTCACCGTCCTTTCCGACGATGAGGACAATGAGGTCCAGGCAGAGGATATACAAGATGAAACCCCCAAGCCACAGAGACGAGCATTGGGGAAGCTCAAGTCAATCAAGAATGGCAAAGCGTCATCGTCACGCGCTTCCAAGACCGCCAGTCCGCAGAAAACTTCGCCCAAAACGAAGGACAAAGCTCAGGATGCTCCCAAACCGGCTGGCAAGCCCATCTACTCCTTTTTCAATGCTGCAACACAGAGGCAACAGGCTACACAACCAGCAACAAGTCATGACAACGCTCTCGCCCAAATTGAAGACGATCTGGAGGTAATTCACGATGACAGCGATGACAGCAAGGCACAGAGTGGGTCAACCACAGCGCTTGCCAAAGGATCAAGTACAGCTGTAGCTATGAGGAAGCGCAAGTTCCAACAGAGCCAGAGCCCAGGAGATCAAAATGGGCTACCTCTTATTGCTTCGCAGAAGTTCCGCAAGGCTGGCGGTGGTGAGCGCGTGCCCTCTTTTACTGTCAAAAACGAAGACAATCGGCCATGGACAGAACAATTCGCACCGATCGACCTGAGTGAGCTGGCTGTCCACAAGCGAAAAGTTGGAGACGTCCGAAACTGGCTAGAAATGACTTACCGAGGAAGACGTCAAAAGGTTCTAGTCCTCAAAGGTGCGGCGGGAGTGGGAAAGACGATGACCATTCAGTTACTGGCCAAGCAGCTGGGCATTAACCTATTGGAATTCAACGATCCAGCTCCCTCTGACTATGCCACTGATGGATCTGGATCTGCCTCTGTGCGGTTTGAGGAGTTCATGGCCCGGGCTGGCAAAAACGGAGGCCTTCAACTGTTGATGGGAAATTCGAATAACCTGGCACCGGCAAATGACAGTCTCGCCCACACCGAGGACGTCTCGGATGACAGATTGCAAGCTTTGCTTGTTGAAGAGTTCCCCAACACGTTTTCTAAGACCTCGACAAGTCTTCAAGCATTTCGTTCTGCTCTCGCTCAGCACGTGTCATCAGCCGTTGGAGCAAATTCAAAGCCCACTCCAGTAATTCTGGTAGTTTCGGAGACACTACTGTCTACAAACACAGCTGTCGCTGATAGCTTTACCGCGCATCGACTTTTGGGCCCGGAACTGATGACGAATCCTTATGTCGACACCATCGAATTTAATGCTGTTGCGCCTACTTACCTGACCAAAGCATTAGAGACAATCGTTGTGAAAGAGGCAAGAAAGTCCGGTCGACGACGTACACCCGGTCCACAGGTGTTGAAAGTGCTCGCTGAAACTGGCGACATTCGCAGTGCGGTGTCGTCTCTGGAGTTCCTCTGTCTGCGCGGAGATGAGGGAGACATCTGGTCTAGCAAGGTGTCGTTCACCAAATCAAAGCAACCTAAGAATCAACGTCTCACGAAAGCCGAGGAAGAAGCTTTGAAGCTTGTCACCAACCGCGAGAGCAGTCTGGGCATCTTTCACTCTGTCGGCAAGGTAGTATACAACAAGCGATCGGAGCCACCAGCCGGCACGTTACTGACACAGCCTCCTGTCTGGCTACCACAGCATCAACGCTGGAAGGTGCCCGAGACGGACACAAACCTGCTCATTGATGAGATGGGCACAGACACGCCAACATTTATTGCTGGTCTTCACGAGAATTATGCGCTCTCTTGCGCCTCGCCAAGTGCCGAGGAGAGTCTGGACAGTCTAGTTGGCTGTATGGACAGCCTGTCGAATTCCGACCTTCTGTCGCTTGATCGGTTCTCATTCGGCACGCGAGCTTTCTCCGGCTCGACGACCGATAGTCTGAGACAGGACGAGATGGCTTTCCAGGTTGCCGTGCGAGGTATGCTGTTCAGTCTGCCACACCCGGTCCACAGGAGTGCTGCTGCCAGCAGCAACCGGGGTGATGCACATCGCATGTTCTATCCTACTTCTCTGAGGATCTGGAGAAGGAGGGAGGAAGTCGAGGGCAACCTGGAGGCAGTCATTAGCACTCTGGGTTCTGGTTCAGGGCCGGTCACTCGAAAGGTTCCTTCGTCAAACGAGAATAGAAGAAGCGGTGTTGAAAGCTGGCAGCGAAACACTGCCTTCGAGTCGGAGAGCTCTTCCACAAGCACGACCGCATCAGAGGCTGCAGTTCCGCATAGCACCGAGGTCAAGAATGAAATGTTGATGGAGCGCTTGCCATACATGGCGCATATTCTAGGCTCTTCGAAACACGTGAAGCCTGGAACCGCTCTGCTGGATCAGATCAAGTCGATCACCCGCGTGTCTGGTACGAATCATGGCATGGACGAGGATACCGACCCGGAGGACGCTGAAGAGCAAGGTAACGCCGCTGACCAGTGGGCTACTGATCGTCCCGATGGCGAGCTTGGTGTCCCTGGTGCGGGACGGAAGCAGCAGGCGATCTCCAGCAAGCAGAAGTCGGCGTTCGAAGCCAGTTCACTCCCGGTCGAGACGTCGGTCGAGAAGCTTGTCCTGGAAGATGATGACATTATCGACGACTAAGGGTGTTACAGTCTCTGAGATTAGCGAGGCGTTCGGGCTGGATGTACAACAGCTATCATAATGGAGTGCTGAGGCTACATGTATGAATTCAAGAAAAAACTCCATCTGAGCGCACGTTTCTCCTGAGACGGAAGGCCATGTCGAGACCTGTGCTTGCCGTGGCCATGTTGCGAAGATGTGCTCGGAATTCTGAGCACAGTTTCAATTTCTCGGTCGACGCAGCGCTATAGAGGATCGCACATGAGGTCTCACGCCTTCAGCCCTCCACGCATCTCATCTGCACATCATGGCCGCATGCGTTATCAATTGCTGTAGAACGCCATGCCCCACCCACATGGAAAGCGGTCATCAGCGGTCGGGTCTCGAAAGCACATGTGCATGCTCCTTGCATGCCGAGACTACTACTGAAAGGATGAAACCGTGACACTCGGATTCTGCTGTGCTCGTGAGGAAGGCTGATTGGATGCGGTGGGATGTATGCCATGCGGGAGAGATGTTTCAGGATGGATCTGGTCTGGGTCTGTTACTCACTGCCCGGAGGCTGCTTATTCCATTGGCGATGTTGCACGGGACGGGGTGGGATGGGAGGCGAGGGGAGGGTGGGACGGAGCACGAGGGACGAGATAGGCAGTTGCCCCCCAGGAGAGGTTGAGAGGTGTCACGAGATGGCTAGGGCGGTGAGGTAGTAGGTAGACAGTCCTGGTAGCCCACGGGAGGATGCAAGGAGGTAGACGGAGAAGTATCATAGCAGTATGAGATGTGCGAATATACATCTGACGTGAGGTTCACCTCAGCACGAGTGAGGTACATTTTAGCGTGGATTGTGAAGAGGATGCTCGGTGCGTGGATGCCTGGGGCTCGCATGCATGGTGGATGGCTTCAGCCTGGTCACAGCTGCGGGTCTCGGCGGCGCGGGGATGCGCTCAGACACTGATGGTGCTGATGATGGACACAGCAGATCTCCTCCGACCTTGCCGCCGATGTGATGTTGACGATATCTACGCGTCGTCGCCCAATCCCATGATTTTGGTTGTTGTTGACTGCTGACTGCTGTACGTGTATTTACATGTACATCGGGTGCGCGCTCCTCCGCCGGGACCGAGCCGCCGCCGCCCACAGCACGACGGGACGGGACGGGACGGGACGGGAAGCGGACGCCAAGGCTCGCTCGCACGTGCCGGGGGCAGTCCTCAGCATCGATCGATGACGACTAAGCGAAGCGACGCTCAGTGGGTGCGCCTTTAACTTGCAAGGCCCTCCTCTCTCTCCTCCTTCTCGACCAATAATCCTCCTCCTCTTCGTCCCCGGCGCCTTCCACCGCGTCCAATCAATCGCCTGGCTCGACACGACACTCATCCGTGTGTTGACTCGACAAGTAAGTCACCACACCACACCAAAGCACCCAGCCCAGTGTGCAGCACCCCTCTGTGCTCGCCCGTGACAAACGTGACAACGTGACGGCCTCTTGATGCGCCTCCTGCGCCCGTCAATGGCCATGCCTGCGACCGCCGACCCTCCCCGCGACCAACGACCATCCTCCGCCCACACCACCGGCCAGCCAGTGACGTCGCGGCGCGAGGCATTGGCAGTGAGTCGCGACGACATGCTAACGCTGTTGCAGAGCAAACACCTCACGCACGCCCGCCCGACCAACGCCTCTCCCCATCGCCGCCTGCTGGTAAGTGCAATCCTTTCGCCCCGTCACCGCGCACGCCTGCCACGCGCACCAGGACATGCGCGCACCGCAGCAAACCCACGCCCTTCGCGAGCTCCCCTCCACGCTGTCACAGACGGACGGAGCTCCATGTCGCCAGCAAGCGCTGTGAGACCCGCCACGCGACCGTCGCGCGCGCGCAAAAAAAAAAAAATCATCTCCCGCTGTCACATGTGGCGGTGCGATGTGATGCGATGCGATGCGATGCGATGCGATGCTTTCTCGGCCTTCAGAGGGAATGAGCTAAACTGCCTCCCAAGAGCGCGTCCTGATGCGCTGGCCGACTTGCTCGATCGGAGGTGATGTGCTGGCATCGCGCGGGAAGCTCGCAGCTTTGCTTCTGCTACCCGCTGTCTCTTCCTCCGCGTCACCTACTGCTGCCGCTCGTGCCTGTATTTGACCCCGGGAACCGTCGCTAACGTTTGGCCCATCCATTTAGTCCCCGTCGCGCGCCTCTGCTTGTGTAGCCAGTGAAGAGCTCCGCCGCAGCTCCTCCAACCCTCACTCGTCCTCCACCGCATCGGCGCGCCTGTGCACCGCCTCTTGCCGCGAACAATTGCGATCCCTCGCCCGCGACCGTACCATCCGCTCGGCCAGCACGACGCTACCTGCTCGCTGCAGGGAGCCTGCGTCTCGCGTCGCTGCTGCCGCACCATTCGCGCGTGCCTTGGGCTGCAACAACACCTCACGGCCGGCCACCTCATCGCGTCTTCCTACCTGCTTAAGCTCTGAAAGCGCGCCATCGCCCTCGCAGCGCGGACGGGAACGACAACCCCGACCCTTGGTTAGCTTCGTCGCGCCGCCGTACCCTCTCCTCCTGTCATCATGGACTCGTACACGCAGTATCACGCACAGCAACCGTCGGCATATCCCCACGCGCATACCGGTCCCCAGCAGAACCACGCGAGTCCCGCGATGCAGACACAACAGCAGCCAGGCTATGGGCAGCACCAGCAACCTCCGCAGATGGGTCATCAACAGATGATGCCTCAGATGGGATACAATCCGGCCGCTTATGGCATGCAACCACCGTATGGGGTATCGCCTTCGCAGGCAGCTGCAATGGCCACCGCCGCTGCTTCGGGGTATCCTGCCTACTCGATGCCTGATTCGTCCATGCCAGGACCAATGCCCCAAACGTCGCCCCGAATGGGTCAAGTCAAGGCGGACGGCAACATGCCGAGACCAAGCCCGCAGTCGCCGCGACAGCAGAATCAGATGAACGTGCCAAGCACAATGGCTTCGCAGATGAACATGCCTCCTGCGCAACCTATGCCCAGCAGTATCTCACAAATGCCACCAGGGCAGCTACCACAGCATCGTCGAATGTCGCAGTCGATCAATAGCCCCGCCGTGCCCAATCAGCCAGGTCAACCGCCGATGGGTGCCCCTCCTCGACCTCCGACTCAACCGCAGCAACCTCAAGCTCCTCAAGCACAACCGCCTCATCAGCAATCGCCCGAAGTACCTGTAGCAGGCGCGAACGAAGAGTCGCCCCTTTACGTAAATGCCAAGCAGTTCCACCGCATACTCAAAAGGCGTATGGCGCGACAGAAGCTGGAAGAGGCTCTTCGTCTTACCAGCAAAGGTCGCAAGCCCTATCTGCATGAGTCAAGACACAACCACGCCATGCGTCGGCCTCGTGGTCCGGGTGGCCGATTCTTGACTGCTGAGGAAGTCGCGCAGATGGATGCCAAGAATGGTGAAGACGGCGGGCAAGATTCAACAGGTGATGGTGGCGCCACTGTGAATGGTGCTGGAGCTAAGCGGAAAGCAGGTAACATGAGCGGCGGCGCGAAGAACGGCATTTCCAAGAAGACCAAGAACGAGGAAAACGGAAACGATGAGGACGAGGATGATGACGGCTGAGGCTTCCATCCACGGCATGCCTTACCCTTGTGCAGGACTTCTATTCTTCGGCGGCCAGGATTTTCGCATGCGATGCATGCCGCCATTACTTTTGACCTTGTTGCGCTTACAATCGAAGTGCAAGCAACATTGATCGATCTCGTTTGTGCAAAGTAGCGTTGGGTGGCGAAAGCGGGACCAGGTTGAGATTGATACCACAACCATCGCGATTGATGATTCTATGCAGCGTAGGGACGGGTTAGGAGGAGGGTGCTATGCTCACGCAACATTGGCGTTTTGAGTATCCAGGGGAGAAGGCCATTCATTAGGAGATACCCTAGCAGCAGGCTGCGATGCGGCTTGCGTTGATGGATATGACGAGAGGCGTTGTACCAGTACCCAGAACACGCAACTTACAAAACAATCTGCCCTTAAGCCACTTTCACATGCTTAATAGGTTCGTTGCTGCGATTGAGCACGTCGAAAGGTTATTTCGAAAACAATAACCTTACGCATGTGAATCGTGAGCCCGAGCACGTGACAACAATATGCGGAGCTCGGTAGTCTTGGCTTTCGGGCGAGGCACTTCATCCTTTGTGCAGCCCTGACTAGTACTACATCTTGATCGCGTCTACTACCACCGCTTCTGCTCGCTGATACTGACAAGATGATCTGTCAACGTTGTATGAGACGCCTTGGACGGCCCATTGCTCCCCCGAGAATATCCAACGTATCATGTCAGTTCTCTCAAATCGCCCATCAAAGAGCCCAAGCCGTCACGGCACATTCCACAACAGCAACCAACCCACGACCAAACGACAAGCCCGCAGCGACTTCCAAATCAGCCGCGCAGCCGTTCAGCACACCCGAGACGCCTTCACCACACAATCTTGACCTCCCCATCGATACGAAACGCCAAAGCAAGGCACCGGTGAAGATCCAATCGAGCGTGCCGGCGGGCACTGTCTTAAAGGGATTGAATTTCATGAAGAATAAGGAGGATCCTGTGGCATTGGATGATAAGGAATATCCGGACTGGCTGTGGAGTGCTCTGGAGAAGAGCAAGCCCGAGGCAACAGAAGGAGGAGCAGAGGGAGATTTGTTCTGTAAGTCATTCACATCCTCACACGGGACACCCAACCAGTTGCAAGAATAGACATACTGACTGATATCCTCTCTCAACTTTCCAGCGAAATCCAAGAAACAGCGACGGATAGCCGCCAAGGCATTGCGAAAACAACAGCTTTTGAATCCGGAATCCCTGGCGCCGAAGGTGCCGCTGTATGAGCAGACGATTGACTTGCCGGCTGGAGATGGGAGTGTGACGGGTGCAAAGGACGCGAGACAAGCGAGACAGGAATTGACCAAGGCTATGAGGGAGAAGCGGAGGAGTAAGATCAAGGAGGCCAATTTCTTGAAGGAGATGAGTTAGAGCGCGAAATGAGGTAGAACAACACCATTGTGGGACACTTATGTCGACGGAAGAGTTGGCCATCTGGGAGCCTCATTTTCAAGCCTTGCCGGACTGGACTCGTGTGCCTAAAGTGTGGCACGAGGCATTCGCAACGTCGCGTGGACTGACTCGATCAAGAAACGAAAGTGAACAGGAGAGGATTCCAGTAAACAACGCATTCCTATTATCGCACTAGCGTCGAGATCCATTCTCTTGCATCGCTGTCCGCCTGGTCGCTCGGTGTTACACAAAAGCAAAAACAACCCCTTCCAACTCCAAAAAGCAAAATCTCAGTCTGGTTGTGTGTGTGTCGCCTGCGAGGTCAGCAATTACACGATCGAAAGGGTCTCGGGCTCGACTTACCGCGTCATTCTTGTGCCAAAGGCCTTCCAATCGTGGGTTGAGGTTACGATGCGTTCGGTCGTTCGTTCGGTCGTTCGCGTGATTCGGTTCGATTCAATTCGGAATGTTCGCTCGTATCGCTCGCGGTTCGGTGTGTCGACGCCGGTTGCTGCTCGCTGCAGCTGCTCGCTGCATCTGACCCCGAAGAGCGCCCCAAAACCCCCGAAAAAAAAAAACAAAAAGGCAAAAACTCAAAAGAGAAAGCCAAAAAAAAAATTCGGTACTTGACCTTTCCGTTCCGCTTTCCATCAGGCTGCTTTGCTCTGGTTCACTCTGCTGCTGCTGCTGCCGCTGCTGCAGCAAGAGAAGAGAACAAAAAAGGGCAATTGAATCATCTACCTTGAAAGATGCGTGGCACGTACCACAGGGCCCGCTCCTCGCGCTTGAGCGTGTCAAAGTCGTAGACACGGCCGAGGAGGAGGTATCCATCGTCCATCACGTCCGTGCTGACTTGGCCCTCTGCGCCCGCGAGCTGGACTTGCGGGCTATTGCTGTATTCCACGGTCGGGACGGCTTCATCGGTCGGGAGCGAGATACTCCTGTATTCCGAATCCTTATCGCTCTCGTCGGAGGCGGACGAGGGCATGTTGCCGTCGTCGGAGGTTTCGTCTCCCGCAGCATCGTCTTCCTCCTCGAGAGTTGCCAGGCTTGCGGAGATCGGAATGTCGTCGTCTTCCCATGGCAGCTGGTTGGTGGCCGTTTGCTTCCGGCCTTTGACGCCCGTGTCGACGAGAAGTTTGTGCAGAGACGACGGGGGATTGGCGGTCTTGAGGGCCGATTTCATTGCTTTTCCAGGAATATCAACTGCGACAGAGGCCGCTGGTGCCTCGGGCTCCGCGGCTGCTTGGGCGATGTCCGCTGGGACGTGCTTGGCGTTGATCTCGGCGTTGATCTTGTCGTCGCTCTTGTCGTCGTTCTTGCCATTGTCGACAATCTCCTGCTGGCGTGGGAAAAGGAAGGCCGACATGCGCTTACACAGAGCACCCAAGAGGCCTGGCTCACCTCCGACTGGCTTCTTGGCTACATTCGATTGACGAAAAGCTTTCATCATGAGAGGCTCATCCCAAAACTCCACATCTGCGCGGATGATGGGAATCTCCTTCAGCGGGATACCGACTTTCAGCGGCTGCTTTGCCCGCTTCAATTCGCCCTCTGCGCACTCGAGCGCTTTCTCGTCATCCTCGAGCATCTTGACAAGGGCTCTGATACGCGCTTTGAGTCGAAGAATGAGGGCCGTCGCGCCAGGCTCGGTCTGCAGGACGGCGCGAAGGGCGCATTTGACCTTTTCGAGTTGATCCTTGTGCACCGCCATTTCCTTCTGGCGCTCCTCCTTCTCCAACGCGGTCGCTGCCTGGATCCCGAGTGATTCGTAGTACTCCTCGCTGACGCAAGGCGCAAACGTGTTGGACAGTGTCTTGGCCACGGGGAAGTCTCTGTCGGGCGCGGCGAAGGCCGGATGCACCTTCTGCATGGCGCGCATGGCCATCCTCTCCTCCCCATACTCGCGCAGCTGCTCCCGGCGCTTCGCCAGATCCATCGCCCACCAGTCGTCCCCGGTGCTCTCGGGCGCGTACGCCTCGTGCTGGAAGGGCCTCTCGGGCCCGCCCCAGGTGCGCCGGTCGTCCGTGCGCTCGATACTCTTGAAATCGTGGAACAGCGGCGTGCCGTTCTCCTGCCATCGCGCTTGTCGGATTTTGCTGGTGATGCTGTTGGAGCGGTGCAGCTGGCGGTCGCTTCGCGTCTTTTGGATGTGCACGTTGCCTTCGTCGTCGCGCACCCAGAACATGCAGCCTGGGTTGTCCGCCGCCGCTGGCGGTTCTGGCTGAGGCTCTTCTTCGAATTCTTCTTCTTCTGCCGCCTTCTTCTGCTCCTTCTTCGGAGGATGCACAGGCGCTGGCTCGTCCATTGCCATGGTTGTCGTTGTTGCGGCGGATGTTATGTGTGCGTGCGTGCGTGCGAGTGCGACGCGGAGGAGACGGAAAGAAAAGAAAAGAAAGGGTGCGAGTGCGAGTGCGGAGGGCGGGTGCGGGTGTGGAAGAGAGGATGAAAGTGTGTTAGTGAAAGTTTGCTATTGCGATAGTGGTGGTAGTAGTTATGGTAGTGGTAGAAGCGCGCGCGCACGTGAAAAGCAGAGTGAAAAAAGGGGCGGCAATAGATAGCGGCGCAGCAGCGTTTGTCTTTCAAAGGGTCATATTAGCCACACGCGCAACTTCACTTGCACAACGCTTTTAAACATCTGCAACTGCAATTCACTTCACTTTATATAGGACTCGGACTTCACGCGCAACTTTATATGCACTACGCTTTTAAATATCTGCAACTGCAATTCACTTCACTTCACTCTAGAATAGGCATTCGGAGGACTTCACGCGCGCGACTTTAGGGATTACAAGAACTCGACATTTCTCCCTAGGCATTCTGGTCTAGCGAAGAAGTTTCTAGCCGCAATACCTGGGACGAGATATGTACGTATGTACGTATAGGCTGGGCTAAGCTAAGTAGCGCCACGATTCACGAAGAAGTTCTCCGCCGCGAAAACGCTTGTTCGTAAGCGAGCTATTTTAGAGTACCTTCACTTCTTTACTACTTTAACAGAGGCAAAGGCAAGGAAGTGTCGCTTAGAGAGAGAGAGAGAGAATATCCACGATACGAAAACGACGAATATCTGTAGCGTTTGTTTTTGTTTTCGTTTTCTGCTATACTCATTTCAGACAGGTGCTACACTTCTGTTATAGCTCACTTCACTTCACTTCACTTTAGGAAAGGAGGGGGAAAAGTTGTTATTGTTTGTGATCGATCACATGCAAGAAGCCCGAGTTACGCTAGCTAGCCGAGGAGGACAAAAGTCTTGGCCTAGATCTATTCCCAACTTTGGGCTGGGATTCATAGCACAATCTTTGCGCTAATACTACTACTACGGCGGCGGCGGCGAGACGCACGTAGGCCGTTGGACAGTGAACATTGAACATTAATGATAACGTACGAGGAGAGCAGTAATACAGGAGTCATCAAATGTCCGTCCGTTCGTCCGTTCTTCTTCTAAGGAGGTTATTATCTATCTCTGACGAATTCCAAAACCCGTTCCTTTCGAAGGACCCAATGCTGCTGCTGCTGCTATTGTCATCTATCTGTTACGAAACGAACAAACAATAACAACAATGGTGCCGTGAATGCTACCACCCACTTCTTTCTATTTACAAAGATTTAAGACAGGAAAGAGAAGAGGACAAAAGCCACCGCACCGCATAAGTGCTTCCTGCTATTGAGGGGGGGGGGGGGTATCTTTGTCATGCGCTAGTAAAACATGCTTTTTAATTTTTCTTTCTCTCTCTCTCGGTACTTGGTAGCCACAACACCATGAGAAAGAAACAACAACAACAACTTTTGCAACCAACACACACACACACACAATAGCTTTCATCTTTTAGAGCAAGAAGACGGCGAGCGCGAAGCTCAAGAGCGCGCCGCCGGCCATGATGCTCGTGAAAGCTGCGGCGCCGGTGGAAGATGCGACGGTGGAGGTGGAGGATGGGCCGGATGCGGTGGCGGAGATGGTACCATTACCCCCGGCAGCCTGGGTGCTGGTGGTAGCGGCTCCCGTGCTGTCGCCGTTGACGGCGGAGATCGAGGCGCTGTTTGTGCTATAAGCAGAGCCGGTGATGGTGGTCGACGCGACGACGCCCGTCTGCTCGCTGATGTCGACGACGGTCTGGCTCGAGGTCTTGGTGGAGCCGGTGCTGGAGCCGGTGCTGGAAGAGCTGCAGCCGCTGCTGCTGGAGATCTTGATGCTGTCGTAGTCGCCGGTCTTGTCGCCGTAGGTGTACTCGCAGGCCGGGTTGTTGTTGGTGATCTCGACCTTCTTGACGTACATCTTGTAGGGAGCGCTGTCCCAGGTGGTGGCACCTCCGGCCCACTCGACGGTGCCGCTGGAGCTGGAGCAGCCACCGCACCAGTTGCCAAGCTAAGAACATGTCAGTGCTGCTCGGGGCCATTCGAGGCGCAGGGCCGGACGAACCTTGAGTCTCATTGGAGTCTGAGGATAGTTGGTGCCGCCGACGGTAAGGGAGTCATCGTAGGCGAGGGTGCGCACGACGGTGCCGTCGATGAGCCACTCGATGCGTTCCTTGGTCCAGTCCACGCTGTACGTGTGCCACGTACCCTGGGTGTCGCTCACATCGTGGTACTCGGCTCGGTCGTAGGCAGTGGTGTTGCCCTTGCCGAACTGTTGGACTACTGTCAGAAAGGTGTTGCAGAGACTCGGCATGCATTCGAGACACTTACAAAGTCCGACTGGACCTGGCCGTTGCTGCCACCGAGGAACTCCCAGTCGATCTCGTCCAGGTCATCGGACTCGAGGACGATGCTGGAGACGATTCCCGTGCCAGGAGCGGCCTTCATGACGATATCGATCCGGCCGAAGAAGATGTAGAAATCGGTCTGGATGGTGGGAGCCTGGTTCTTGTTGGCGATGCTGAATACGGCTCCATCGCTGCCGTAGGTGATGTCGGTGTAAGCAGCAGCGCTCCAAGAGGCATTGGCGCTGGATCCTTGGGTGAAATCGGCGCTGTAGGAGCTTGACGAGAGGCCGGAATCAGCAGAGCAGGTCTTCTCGGTCGGGTTGCAGTCGGTGGACGTCTGGGCGAAAGCGAGAGGAACTGCTGCGGCAAGTGCCGCGGCAGTAGTGGAGAAACGCATGCTGATGTCGAGATGCGGTCTGTCGTTGTTCGGTCCTCAGATGCTGCCCGGGAGACGTGGTGTGAAAGGTGTGTTGCGCTGGGAATGTGGCGGCAAAAGTTTTGGCAAACAAACGGATGAATGTCGAGTAGTAGTGAGTGAGGTGGTCAGTGCAGCGCGACCTCAGGGCAACAAAGAACCTGAAAGGCTTGTGCGCAGAAGTAGTAAAGGTCGATAGTAGTGTCTCGCGAGAAAGAGGAATCAATAATGATCAATGGGAAAAGGAGTACGTCAACGATGGAGCAGATGGAGGGCATAAAGGTATACGCAAGCAAGCCCGTCTCTTCCATCTCCACTGCATCGTCGTGCACTCACCTCGAAGCAGACCCACCGGAAATATGGATGCAGGTACGCGCTGCTACCGAGCTAGTCGCCTAGTCGCCGTAGTCCATTTCGCGGTTTGGTCTCTGGGAAGAACAGGTGCTGCGCCGCACGCCGACGATGCGACGCTGTCCGGCGCCCGTTGATTTGCCACGCTGGCGACCACACAGCCGTCGAATACCGGCAACCAAGACCTCCTCTTTCACACTTCCATCTTTATCGCTCTCAGTCGCTGCATGCGGAGGCACATGAAACAGTCCTGGTGATGCGGAGAGACAGGAGAAGTTATTAACCGGGCGTATGTATCATGAAGATGTTCAGGGCTGAAACAAGCACACACCGGCAAGTCGGGCGCTCATCAGTGGAGCATACAAAGGACGGGCAGAACATTGGATGGAGATGGACTGGAAATGACATCGTATCCGTATCGTGGTAGTGACTACTGTCCCTGAGTGGATGGAAGGGAGAGAATGTGCCTCTCGGCACCATGCCCTTCCACAACTCTATTGTGCTATTGCTTCCTCCTCACCACACACACACACACACACGTGTCTTCTCAAAGCTTGTCTATATTTGGCCATGTGATTACGACTGCACCTCACCACCTCACCAAGAAAACTCCAAGATGCGTTGGCCATGGCATGACATGACATGACCGCGAAGCTGTTGTTGAGAAGAATCATCACGAGAGCCAGCGTGCCTCTTGTTGCTTCTTCTCTTGGCACATCTCCTGTCTCTCATCTCATCCCACCCCATCCCATCTCATCTCAAGCCCCATGCGCAGCTTGCGCTCTGTGCTCCCTTGTATGCTTCTGTGCTTCGCCGGCTAACAACATTCGCCTGTTCGTCATGCGGCACCCGTCGCCGGCACGCACAACCCAATCTGCGGAGCACATATTGAGACGTCACCGCCTCTGCCAGCCGTTGCACCGTGTAATTGGGGGGTCCAATATACATAAGGCTCACAGCTGGCTTGTTACATAGATAGCTAGAGCCACATCGCAATTGATTGGG